ATGGAAAATGTAGCATTTATAGATGATTTACCTATAAAAAACTGATTTTCCAGTTCGCAAACTGTTAGTTTACCGGAGAGTAACTGTTCATATAATGTCATCTGGTTGGTGTTTGACCTATCCCTCTGAAAAATATGAGTTCGTCAATGGGAAGGACGACATGCCATATATGAAATGGAAAATAAACAATCATGTTTGAAATCACCAACCAGCTATAGAAAATTCACCCACATCCTACCTCCCATATAATATAATATGGAAAATAATCCAGTCATGTTTGAAACCACCAACCAGGATTTCATCATTGAATCGGGCGGTATCGGACATTGGATGGTGGCGATATCTCACCCATATATCAGTTCGGTTTATGAGTCATCGAAAATGCTGCTATACCCTCTGGGAATTTGACATAACTATGGAAATTCGTCATTTTCAATGGGTACCCTCTGGTAAACATACAAAAAACTATGGAAGATCCACCATTTTTAATGGGAAAACTCACTGTTAATGTCAATTTTCAATAGCTAATTGTTAGTTTACCAGAGGGTAAATCTTCTATCCATGGGCCCCAAGGGCCATCTTCCACGGTTGTTGAATCACCGGAAGTTTTTTGTGCTACGATGGGTCCAGCTGGTGCCACCGAGCTGATTGAAATATGTGGGAGATACTGATGAGTTGCCAAAAATATTTCGACAAATATTTCCATCAATCGGGTGACTTACCATAATTTATATATGGTTATAACATGTTATAAATGGGCTTATCATGATTAGTCAATATGTAATTTACCAGTTATATACCAGCTATAAGTCGATATATGTTATACCCTCTGGTAATTTAACAGTTTGCTATTGAAAATGGCCCATTTAGTTCGTTGATTTACCTATGATTTTCCAATGTTATGTTAGTTTACCAGGCCGGGTATATTTCAACAAATACTGATAGTTGCCATTAATCCATATGATCAGGCTCCTTTTATGCCCCCATATTTCACGGGGACCTGTGGGTCAGAATCCCTCTTTTTTATGGCATCCTTATGGCCAATAGTGCAGTTGAGGATAGATCTGGATGAATTATCATATTTCACTCGTCTGAATTCATTGTCAAATTGTGGGAGAATTTCCTTTATAAACTATCAAACCATAGTGAGGTCGCGATGCTATCGGTGGTGTTTTCATTTGCCCAGATGCAGGGTTTTGGAGGTCATCATCCCAATTTTCGTTGCCCTTCAAGAAGCTAAACTGCTACAGGATGAGGAAAACCAGTGATGTGAATGTTAGTTTATAAACCCCATTAACATCCATGAAAACCAGTTCGTTATATCTACCATTAAAACCATAGAATTCATTCAACCACTTCTATTTCTTCGGCAACTGAACGCTACAACGCTCGCTATCGCTGGGCCTCTGATGATCTCGTGTTGCCGCAGGCTTTCCTTGATGTCGATGTCGCAAAGCTCAAACTCCTGGGCTGGGGAGAATCTCGCTGTGAGAATCTCAATGGACATCATGGCTGTTGGCTGAAAAAACACCCAACATGGGAATATCATGGGGAAAAAATCTGTGATAACTAGCTTTAATATGGTTTAACATGGATAATAATGGGATAATAATGGGATAACAATACTGGTTGGTGGTTTCAACCTACCCCTCTGAAAAATATGAAAGTCAGTTGGGATGATGACATTCCCAATATATGGAAAAATGTTCCAAACCACCAACCAGCTAGCTACTTCAGATGATTCTTGGGTGTATCGAAAATACCGTGATAGCTATAGAAAACACCTTGAGACAATGATGATCAAGCGTCAATTTTTTTGGGGCACCCCAGCTTTCCGACAAAGCCATTGTCCAAACGGACACTTCAAGAAATTTAGGGATTCAACGCGGCCACCTGGCTATGACCCATTGACAAACGCCCCGAGCAACCAGCCAAGGAATATGAAAGTCTGAGAGATCCGGGAATTGGGGGATTCATTTCCTCTAAAAAACTCTGGCATCAGTTTTCCGAGGAAACACACTCGATGAACTGTATGCCTAAACTTATGGTTCTTGCGAATCCCTAATTTGTAGAGGAACTTCCCATCAAAAGCTACCTGGTTGGTGAAATTCCCAAGAAAGATTGACCAATTCCCACTATGATAAACCATGTCATTTAGAACACCCCCCCCAAAAAAAACCATATGTCCCACGCCCCATGATGAGTGACATCGGTGACGAATCCCGATTTTTGGTTTCTTAAAACCACATTCTTGTTGAATGGGCTATTTACCCATTAATGGTGTTTTAATGGGATATATGATGGTGATTCAATGGCATTTAATGGGATTTAATGGGATATATGATGGCTTACCCTCTGGTCATTTAACATAGACGATACCCCATTTAGTTCGTTGATTTACCTATTGAAAATGGTGATTTTCTACAGCTATGTAAATTTACCAGAGGGTAAATCACCTTGGAATGCCCCATTTCGAGCAAAATCCCCAGGAGCCTCCAAGTCCTCCTCAATGGCTTGTGGGGGAACCTCCAACACCTGACTCAGCTCAAAACCCACGGCTTTTGGGTACTGTTCATTGGTAAATTATCATATTTAACTAACCTAAAACTGGTTGGTCACCTACCCTCTGAAAAATATGAGTTCGTCAGTTGGGATGATTATTACCAACTGAATGGAAAAAGAAAAATGTTCCAAACCACCAACCAGTTATCATATTTCACTAACCTAAGATTAAGGCTTTGTTTTGGATGATATTGGGAGATTTTTCCCTTACTTACCATCCTTCCAGCGAGATCGCAAGGTCCTTCAAATTTGCCGAGTGTTCATGGCAGAAATTTTCAGGCTTTGAACCTTCTGAACCACGATCAAGATACATACTGTGGATGGTTGCGAAATCCTAAAAACCAGTTGATAGGTGGTTAATCCCATTATTTCTAGGGTTTCAACCATCCAAGGTGGTGCAGGATTTCGCAACCATCCACCGTATCACAGGCAAATCAATAATGCGTGGCCTTTTTTTTGTCTTTTCGCCACTGGACACCCTTGAGGTTCCAGCACGGCCCTTGACGAAGCTACATCAAGGCTGCTCAGCTTACAAACATCCGCGGTTTCAAAATATCATATGGCAGGGGATAACTATATATATAGTGCCTACTATATAGGAACTATATATATATATATTTATAGTAACTTAACAGACTTATTATTGTGTTTTCTAATAGTTTCTAACCATTATATGGGAGTACCAGTTTCATTCAACAGAAACTCATTGCTGTGTGAGTACCCCTAAGCAAAGTTTATGAACCCAGGCTTGACATTAGAGATGAGGATAGACAATTTCTACTTTTTTTTTGTTTCATGCTTGGATTAAAACATAGCGCAACATGTGGGATATGATCGGAAATCACTTTGCCATGAACTGATGAACGGTTTGGCCATGGTTCACATAGCGATGTTGATCATCCTTCCCAATCCTATCGTAGATGGTGTATCATCATCATCCATTAATATCCATTGATGGTTTATTAATCCCCATTAACTATAGTTATGTATCATAAACCATAGTTACTGGACTATAGGTCATTAATAAACCATTAATTACCATTAATAACCATTAATAACCATCATCATCATCATCATCATCATCATCATCATCATCATCATCGAAACCCAACCATGCACCACCAAAGCAGCTTAGAATGGGAGTGCGCCATTACTTGGAATGCGACAAAACTGCAGGCCTTGACATAGCTTTCGGACATCGAAGAATCATTTGGACACAGTGCGGAGCACGACAGCAATGAACATTGGAGTTGGGGCAGCACCGATTTTCTTTTTTTCACCAAATTCATGGCATCTTTTCCCCAGCGAAAAACATGTTTCAGGTTCCAAGTTTTTGGATCTGAGTACAGCTCCGGCACAGGAACTTGTGGGCAGTTGCAGTGAACTAAGTGGATCGATTTCACTATATTTAGGGGGCTATCCCAAGCTCTGGGTTTATTCTTACTTGTGCTAAACGTAGGGAATGAGGGAATGATCCACAATAACTCTGAATAATAATCCCAGCAACCCCCAGCAACCCATCCATTCCCTACGTTTGGCACCAGTAAGTTTTGCACCCATGGTACAGAAAAGCAGAAAATCAACTGCACCCAAGTATGGTTTCTGACCCATCCCGTTTCGTGGGAATCCACACATCTTTTTTTATCGGAAAATCCCGAAAATGGATGGATTGTTCCCATCCCCTAAGAACTGGATGCATCACCCAACTGAATTAGTTATAGTTGATTACCCTCTGGTTATTTAACGTAGCCATGGAAAATCATCATTTTCAATAGGTAAATGATCATAAATCATCTATAAACGGGCCATTTTCCATAGCTATGTTAAATAACCAGAGGGTACATCCCATAAAAAAAATCATTTATACCATAAAAAATCCAAATTCTTACTGGTATGTTGGTAAAACAATGCCATTTGCACCATCCCCAATTTCAGCATTTTTATAGGTGGTATGTTTACTATTCCCAGTCATGGATGGTTTATGACATTGTTTCAACCACATTATAGTAATATCTCGTAGCTGGTAATATGGTAATATAGTATCCAACCGGTCAGATTATGGTAGTCAACATATTGTAGTTTGAAATCAACCAACCTTATATCATGCATATAATTTATGGACATGATGGGGATACAATGGGGATAAGTATAATGACTATAATTGACCATTGACATTGATGATAGTCGTTCTACCCTCTGGTAAACTGTTACATAACTATGGAACATCACCATGCTATCAATTGGAAAATCCACGAACTTTCTATGGTCATTTTCAATAGCTTTTTGTTTGTTTACCAGAGGCTATACCATCATATATCCCATTAAAACCCATTAAATCCCATTAAATCCCATTAAATCCCATTAAATCACCATTAAAACCGATTAAAACACCACTATAAATGGTCATTTTCCAGTTCGCTTTTTCTATGTTTACCAGGCCGGGTACTATCCAACTAGCTTGACGGCGCAGCAACTCCAGCTTTGTACACCTCACGTGAGAAGCGTCAGAAACGCGTCAGCCATGGACGGCGATTCCTGAGATTTCGACATCGTTTCGGATGGAAATCATGGGGGATTTTCTCTGGTTTTTATAGAAAAAGCGAACTGGAAAATGGCTATAGAAATAGTGGATTTAGCCATTAAATCATTGTTATTGTTATTATTCAATCATTAACCAACTATAGTTATTTAATACCCTCTGGTATAGCTATATTTTATATACCTATGGTTGATATGGTTGATATGGTGAACTATGTACCCAAAAAAGAGGCTTTTGAAGCTGAACACGGCCGTCCTCAAGGCGCCAACTTGGTGAATTTCATGTTTTTTTTTGGGAGATACCCTCTGGTAAACTAACAGTTTGCTATTGAAAATGGCCCATTGAAATAGTGGATTTATCCATTAAAATATGGTGATTTTCCATAGTTATGTTAGTTTACCAGAGTGTATCCATATCAAAACCATTAAATTAGAAAACATACTAAACCTCCAATATTCCATGAATATTCCATCAATAGTCCATGATCTACAAAAAATCTGGTTTAGTATGGCCTAAACCACAATATCCATATTAAACATCAGTATCCCATGATTATCCCATGAATATCCACTTAACCTCCAATATTCCATGAATATCCCATGAATAGTCCATGAGCTGCAAACTGTGGACCTCTGGTATTTTAACTAACAGTTTGCTGCTCTAAACATCGATGAACATGGTGATTTTCCATCCTGATCATTTACCAAAGAGTACCCGGCCTGGTAAACATAGAAAAAGCGAACTGGAAAATGACCATTTATAGTGCTGTTTTAATCGGTTTTAATGGTGATTTAATGAGATTTAATGGGATTTAATGGGTTTTAATGGGAGACACCCTCTGGTAAACTAACAGTTTGCTATTGAAAATGGCCATAGAAATAGTGAGTTTTCCCATTAACGATGGTGATTTTCCATAGTTTTTTGTATGTTTACCAAAGGGTATCTGACATTTGACCATTCGCCTGAACATACCAAGACCGCCCTTGGAGGGATTTGGATGAGAACACCTTCTCTTTTCCTGGGCTTTCTTAAGAAACAAACCTGGTGATTGTACAACAAAGCCCTGGGTATTAAGTATCCAAAATATTTCGGGCTTTGCACTGTGTAAATCTTGAACCAGGAATTCTATCCTCATCATTTCTGTGGCTTAAATCATGTAAAACATCACGTTTAGTTTGAGGGTTAAATCACCCATTCTCTGATATCATCATGATTCTGGATGAAAAACTTACTGGTGCTAAACGCAGGGAATGAGGGAATGATCCACTGGCGAACTATCAATAATCATCCCAGCAACCCCCAGCAACCCATCCATTCCCTACGTTTAGCACCAGTAAGAAAAAACCATGGTTATTGAAAATCGCCATGCTATTAATGGGTAAATCAATTATTTCGACTGGGCCATGGCTTCAAAATAGCTATGTAACAAATTACCAGAGAGTACATCTAAAATCTGTTTCTGTGCTCCATGTAATGGTATACTTAGTTGTATTTTGGGGTGATTTGAAATGAAACCATTGCACCAGCTCACATATGGTTGAGTAAATGGCCATTTTTAATGAAATCACCATGCTATTAATGGGTAAATCAACTATGGCCATTTTCAATGACACGATTATTGATGGGAAATTGTCACCTGGTTGGTGGATTCAACACCTCTGAAAAATGATGGAGTTCGTCAGTTGGGGTTACTCCCAATATATGGAAAGTCATAAAATTCATGTTCCAAACCACCAACCATCTAGCTACTTCAGATGATTCTTGGGTGTATCGAAAATACCGTGATAGCTATAGAAAACACCTTGAGACAATGATGATCAAGCGTCAATTTTTTTCCCAGATCTCGCTTGAATCCCACATTTCCATGATATGTTCGGTCGCTGAAATAAGGGTGCAATGTGGGGCCCCCGTTAGATGTCTAAGTTGGTGTATAACTCCAATGTCACTATGGTTTATGGTACTTATAACGAACTAGTTATTGGGGCTTTTGTTAACCAACTTATAACGTTTGGGGGCCCCACATTGTGGAAACCCCAACATTTTTCCATCCAGAGGGCTGGTGCGCGTGGGCTGAAAGTGCGTGGAGTCTCCCACTTGGCCCATTCCCTGGAACGGTGGTGGATTTCGGGAGCTTTCTACATAGATAACACCATATTATACAATAATATTCATAAATATTATAAATATCATATATCATAAATCATATATCATATATCATATTGGATATATATATATAATATTATGTATATATATATATATATACACATACACGCCTTGGGAATGTGGTTTCCCAAAACAGTTCTTCTGATCTCCTACTTTGGGATTCAAATCATTGGAAGAAACAAGGCCAGAATCCCTGTACTTTCAGACCAGATATGCTCATCGCACGGCATCATGTCTAGGTTCAACTTGTAGAAAGTCGTGCTTCTGATATATGGGTTTGTCTGAAAATAGGGTATATTCCCAAACACATAGCCATTTAATAGGGATAATGATCATTAACCATTGGGTTTAGGGGTACACTATTTTCAGACACACCCATATGTTCATGTCCAAGCCCTAGCTAGCCCGGACAAAACCAACTCAATTTGCTGGCTTAGTCGTTTCCCCCATGAAAATATCAATCCACTAAAACACTCATCGATCACCTGGGTACTAGGTAAAACCTCACATCTTAACATCAGTTTTTATAGCCAGGTTGTGATTTTTTCCATCATTTTTCCCATCATGTCTGGATGATAACTCGCTCTACTGGACGATCACTCCATGGATCACTGGAAGTTCCCGAAGTTACAGGATTGGTGGGGTGAACTACCGTCTTCGCCATGGTTCTGCAGCATTTTTCAGGGCAAAACACACACACCATTCATCACAGTAGCTTTTTTTATCCTCCAAGGATGTGGAAATGGGAGCTAGTTCAAAAAAGGGGTGTAGCTAGTTTGAGGATAACAAATGTGGAGTCAGTAACATTTTTATCCTCCAATGGTGTAGCTAGTTTGAACAAATATGGGGGCTTTCCAAAGTCATCGCTAGCCCTCGGAATTCAACGACCATTTTAGTATTGAAACCCATGGTGACTTGGCTGATGGACCAATGTGCAAATCTGCCAGGCTCGCGGCATTTGCGCCGGTACCCTCAGGTCCGTCAGATCCTCATTTTGGGATTTGTTACATGTCCAATGAACTCCCTGTTGAACATTCTAGCTTCAGTATCATTTTCCCATATTTTCCATATCTATGTATATGTATATATAATATTTTATATATCTGATATACTATAATAAATACTGGTTGGTGGTTCGGACCCCTCTGAAAAATGATGGAGTTCGTCAGTTGGGATGATTATCCCATATATGAAATGGAAAGTCATAAAACTCCATGGTTCCAGTCACCACCAACCAGCGACGGATTTCGTTCTCGAATTTCCCAGCCACGTTTCGGCTAACCGGAATGCTAAACCTCACCAAGCCGTTTGCTTGACCAATTCCCACTATGATTCCAACCAGAAATATATATATGTATATATATATATATATACCCTCTGGTAATTTAACATAGCTATTGAAAATCACCATTTGTCATAGGTAAATCAACTATTTCTATGGCAATTTTCAATAGTTATGTTTGTTTACCAGTTTTCATAGATGAAATGGAACGTCATAAAAATCATGTTCCAAACCACCAACCAGAAATATATATACAGTATATATATATATTTAATAATGGTTTTCCCATGAAAAGCTCCATTCTTCATGAGATTTCCCAGCGTTCCCAGAAGATGCCCTCGAAGAATCGATCTGGGAGTCATCGGGGTTGGAAGATGAGTGAAACCACTAAAAATGGGTGAAAATCTCAGGGTCGACAAGTTAATTTACCAGAGGGAAATATTTTATATATCCGATATAAGATATGATATATATATATATTATACAAAAAACACCAGAATTTCCCCATCGAGATTCCCACTTTTAAAGGTCCCCTACTAAACAAATCACCGTTTCACCCGCCTTGCTGGGCATATTCAGCACGTAGCGTCGGTGCTCGACTTCGGCCACCGGATGCACCGAGAGCATCTCCTAGCCGCTGGCGGCGAGGGATCACCGCCCGTCATGGGCTTATGAGATATCTACAGTCAATGGATGTTAATGGTGGTTCTAAACAAACCAAAACCAACAAAAAGCATAGTTGATGAATGTTAATGATGGATACACACAAAAAAAACTAGTCAATGTTAATGATATGATAACTATAGGTAAGTCAATGGATGATATATCTATAGTCCAGTAACTATGGTCTATGATACATGTAACTATAGTTAATGGGGATTAATAAACCATCAATGGATATTAATGGATATTAGTGGATGCTAATGGTTGTTAACGTTAATAGATGATATATCTACAGTTAATGGATGTTTTCTAAACCAACGAAAACCAACAAAAGCCAACAACAACCATAGTTGATGAATGTTAATGATGGATACATATACGGTAACTACATTTAAATATACGGACTTTTAAATATACAGACAGGTATTTTAGACTACCTCCGGGAAGGTTCTCCTTGGCCCGCCCAGCCCTTTAAACATACGGAATCCAATTCATTGAAAGATCCGGCAACTACATTTAAATATACGAACTGGTATTTCATACTACCCCCGGGGCCTCGCGGTCTGGCCCGCCCTCCACATATTAAAATGTCGTTACCCTATAATTTGGGCCACCCTAAATAGCGTTCAGTTGGTGCAAATAAGTCCAGTAACTATGGTTTATGCTACATGTAACTATAGTTAATGGGGATTAATAAACAATCTTATAACTGGTGGGTTAATAAACCATCAATGGATATTAATGGATGTTCATGGATGTTCATGTTAATGGATGATATATCGAATCTATAGTCAATGTTAATGGATGTTAATGATAGTCAATGGATGTTCATGGATGATAGATCTACAGTCAATGGATGTTCATGGCGGTTCTAAACAAACCAAAACCAACAAAAAACACAGTTAATGGATGTTAATGGATGTTGTATAGGTTGGGGCCCTCGTTTACGATAGCTAAGCTGGTGCAAATAACCCCAATTTCACTATGGTTAAATCGTTAATTAATGGAGGCTTCACTGGCTTTTCATAGTGAATAATGAAGGGATGCATACAATGTGGGGCCCCCTAGTGATGTTAGTTGGTTAACAAAAGCCCCAATAACTGTAGTTATTTGCGTACCATAAACCAGCCTGTGACATTGGAGTTATGTGGCCCCCAACTTAGCTATCAAACGGGGGCTCCACTTTGTAGGAATATCAACCATCAATTTCAATGGGATTTTGGACTAAGAACTAGAACTCGGAAAAAGCCACGGATTTCATGGGAATAATCTAGGGATATTTTATGATAGGCAAAAAGATTGGGAACACAACTTGGATCTACACCATTCCATTTTTTTAATACCGTTCCATTTTGAGGTATTTTATGGTATTTTATGGTATTTTATGGTATTTTATGGTATTTTATAGTATTTCCTTATGAAGTTCTGGATTAGCCCATCTTCGCTCAAACTAACATTTTCAAGAAACCCATGGCTGTCCCCATGGTTTTTCAATTCGCCAAAGTTTGGGAATGAACATGACTTAATCATCAAACATGGGATTGAACTTCTTACAGTAGCCTGTATAGTATTTTCAAACATGGCAATGGAAGATCCTCTATAAAATCAATGGTTTTTATGGAACACATCTCTATAAATGGGGTATTTTCGAAAAAGTCACCTTTGACACCAGAGGGTAGCTCCCTGGTTGCTGGAAGCAGGGATCGCTTCCCAAATATGATGGTCACTTTGGAAGGCCATTCCGACATGATGGAACCAGTGACATCCCAACTAGTTATAAGTTGGTTTATAAGCCCCAGTAACTATAGTTATGTGCGTACCATAAACCATAGTGACTTGGAGTTATGTTCACCAACTTAGATATCGAACGGGGGCCTCACATTGTAGGTATTTCATGCTGGTTGGTGGTGCACCATCTTGAAAAATGATGGAGTGAAAGTCAATGGGAAGGTTGACATCCCATATATGAAACGGAAAATAAAATTCATGTTCCAAACCACCAACCAGCTAGGTATTTCATGGGTGCATTCACCAAATATGTTGGATTTTACTAAACGTTAATCCAGAAACCGCGTGAGGATTCACTTGATCAAAAGGCAACACGATGGGCAGACTTGTAGCAAAGCCCCTTGTGGAAATGATTAGGAACAGCACGTCTCCGCTCATGGACGCGCTAATTCACCACAGGCTCCCGCTCAACAGGTACTGTGTCGGGCTGCAGTTCTCCTAACTCACAGGGTTTTGGGCTCCTCTTCGTCTTCCTCATCGTCATCTTCCGGCATGATGTTCTGAGCAGCACGCCTTCATGGCTTCAAAAATGGCTACTTCAGCCAGGGTACAGCAATGGAATTTCATGGAACATCATCATCTGGTTGGTGGTATACCTACCCCTCTGAAAAATAATTCAGTTGGGGTGATTATTCCTAATATATGGAAAAACATGTTCCAAACCACCAACCAGTCATTTGTAATAGGGACAAAAATAAAAACATAAACCATCGAAGCAACCGGGGCCATAGCTTAACCATAGCAAACTGTCAGAAATGACCGTGAAGTTCCCCCCCGTGACTTTTTCGTGGTGTTGATCTTGAATCCGACGAACGTCAATGGCTTTTGGGAAATGATGGACAAAGCTGACCCATGGTTGGATGAGCGACTATTGTTGGCGAACTACCCGGCCTGGTAATGACTAACAGTTTGCGAAGTGGAAAATCACCAGGTTTAATTGGTAAATCAACTATTTCTATGGCCATGGCTTCAATAGCTTTTTGTATGTTTACCAGGTTTAATTGATGAATCAACTATTTCGACTGGGCCATAGAAATAGTTGATGTATCCATGAAACATGATGATTTTCTATGTCGCTTTTTGTATGTAAAAACCAGGCCGGGTAGATACCAGTCGATGGAGCCCCAGAAAAATCCCCAGACGGTGTCAAACGTGGTGCAGGCTGGAAGAGCCCCCATTTGACTGTCGCATCATGGGATGTAGATATCAAGGGGGGCAAATGTCCCATGATGATATCAATTTCATTCATGTTACCCTCTGGTTATGTCAAAATAGCTATTGAACATTGCCATTGATTTAGCCATTAAAAATTGTGATTTTCCATAGTTATGTTAGTTTACCAGAGGGTATGCTTTTCCCATGATGTCCCATGATGATATCATCATAATGTCCTATGATATTCTTCATCTATTATGATGATATCAAGGGGACATCATGGGATGCAGACCCGACAACAATCAATATCATCCCCATGTTACAGTAATACAGTAAAGTCATCATGTATTCTTGTCCCAAACGTGGATGATTATTGTTGGGGATATATTACCCAACAATAGTCTGGGACCTGGGACTACAGTACTATCATTCAATGGGAGATCTCCAGGGTCCAATTTATGGAGGTACTGTACCATATAAGGCCATATTTTGCGGGGATATTCCCTTAGATAGGCCTTATATAGGCCTTATAGATGGTAGGTACCTCCAATAAATCGGTTCCTGTTGCATGGCCGTTGAATCATCCCCTATGTTACACATCCCATCCATCCCATTAGATCCGCGTAGTCTGCAACTTCTTACATCCCATTACCCTCTGGTAAACGTTAACGGAACTACGGAAAATCACCATTTTGAACAGGTCAATCAACGAACTCAATGGGCCATTTTCAATAGCAAACTGTTAAATTACCAGAGGGTAGATTCCCATTATTTTCCCACAATATTAAAAATATGATGTCCGCAAACATCCACAGACCTCAGCAGTATAAGAAGTTGTTGAGATATACCAACGTTATACCCATATTTCCCATCAAAAAAAACCATAAAGGATCCAAAAATGGGTATAATCCATGATCTATAATGATTCTTGGGACATAAAGAAACCCATGATCTATAATGATTATCCCAGAACATGTCCATGACATCTCATCATTGAATCCTATGATATGCATCTCAAACATCCATATTGAATAAACAAAACCCAATGACATTCCCACGATATTCCTATGATATTCTATACAAATCCATAACTGGTTGGTGGTTGAGCCCTACCCCTCTGAAAAATATGAAAGTCAGTTGGGATTATGACATTCCCAATATATGGAAAAATAAAACATGTTCCAAACCACCAACCAGATAAAGTTTTCCATTTCTAGTTGGTAACTCCATGATATTCCCTATGAAATTTCCCATCATTATTCATTGTCCCATCATATTCTGAAACATCGTATTTCCATCATATCCCATCATATTCTCCATATCAAAGCCCATCACATCCAAAATTCCATATGATACCCATATATGAAGATGGAATTCCTGATGGATATTCTCCATCATTGGATATAAACCCATCATATCCCATTTCATATGGAATATCAAAAAAAATCCATCAGATTCCATATGAAAACAACCCAACCCCCCAGTCGGATCCCATCGGTCGACCCAAGGAGTTCCAGGATCGATCGGAAGTCGTGACCTGGGAAAGAAAACTGCGGTTTGGGGAAAACACATGGCAGTGTGTCAAAACCTTGTACCCCTGTAGTTCACATCAAAATAGCTGGTAAATGGATGTTCATTCCCCTAAAAATGGTATTAATAGGTATTGATCCATACCCACATGGGAAAATCTGCATGCAAACGACAGAGATTTTCATGGGATGCAATGGTAATAACTATGGTAACTATGGATGGAGTTATATACTGGTTGGTGGTATACCTACCCCTCTGAAAAATGATGAAGTGAAAGTCAGTTGGGATTATGAAATTCCCAATATATGGAAAACATAAAATTCATGTTCCAAACCACCAACCAGATAAAGATGTGAAAACATATGCGAAATGCGGGGAACATCTTGGAAAATCATCATGAAGCTAAGGCCCTATGGTAATTTCAAATCGCGAAGTTGACGCACTTCTAACATGGTTGATTAGGTGGATACACCGAACTAGTATTCAGGGGGTTTATCAAGCATTGAGAAAGCAAAACATAATCTTCAGCAAATCCAATAGCTATGGAAAAAATAATTTGATAAAGTGGTCATTTTCAACAGCTATGTTGGGGGGTACCACCCAATTATCCTATTCTTCTCCCACTGAGCTCCGTCAGCTTGATATCCCTGATCTCTATCCCACATCGCCAATAGCAAACTATGATCCTATGATGATCCATTATCCCACTTTTTTAGATCTCCAGTATACTAGAACTTTTGAAGAAACTATCCAATTTTTGGTGAACATACACCGACTTTTCCCTTTTTTGGATATTTTCACCAAATGAATGAGAAAATGCTTTTATTAGAGATTTTTGGATATTTTTGGATGATTTCATAATAGATCATCCATAATAGATCATCCATAATAGATTTTCATATTTTTGAATGATGAATTAGATTTCATAATAGAGAATCAGCTTTTTTCTCTCCCAGCACCCAGCTATTCTCGTAACGACCACTCTCCAATCTTTGATGGTTCAATCCCCACATTTTCGGTTTGCCCAAACCCACTAGCTGTTGGGTTTACCCTGTGGTAAACATACAAAAAGCTATTGAAAATGGTGTTTTAATGGGATTCAATGGTGATTCAATGGGATTTCATGGGATATATGATGCTATACCCTCTGGTAATGACATTCACAGTTTGCGAACTTGAACATGGTGATTTAGAAATCGTGGATTTACCTGTTCAACAATGGTGGATCTTTCCATCGTTTTATGTGAGAGTTTACCAGGCCGGGTAGTTGCACCAAGCGGCCCTTGTGATTTACCTCCAGCAAAACTCCCCATCTGGCCCATCTCCAGCAAAATCATCGACATATGACATATGAAACATATCAATATCAACAGTCAAGTATAGTCATACTTATCCCCATTGTATCCCCATCATATCCATAAATTCTAAAAATATATATATTTATTATATATATATTTATTTATTATATATACATATCATCCTATACTTAACCATATCTATTATCATATGGTGATATAAGTGATGGTGATATATAGAAATATCATATAGTCATATGAGCCATAAAACATACCCCTATCCCATCTCATGAAATACTAGTTGGTATACGTTTGTTGGTTGAAAACGGTTTCCCAATCCTATGGGGGCCATCGTAATCCCCAATAAACCAGGGTATTTTGTTCATGGCTCATATAGTCCATACTTGTTATATTGATATGGATATTTAGGTGGATCAACCTCTCATTAAATCATCAACCATGTAGTATACACTCTGGTAATTTAACAGTTTGCTATTGAAAATGGTGATTTATAGTGGATTTACCCATTGAAAATTGTTGTTTATATATAGTTTTTTGTATGTTTACCGGAGGGCAACCAGATTTTCAGTTTTCCATTTCTAGTTGGTAACTAAAAATTTCCATCATATCCATCATATCCGTCGGATAGTCCATGATTTGAATCGCTATGGAGTCCACCTCCAGGTGATCCAAAGCCATCCGCTCCGCTCCGTTTCGCCAAAGGCACCGCAAGGTCCAAAGCACATCAGCACCGCCGGCAGCGGAATCAACGAGAAGATCACCGCGTAGATCGTCACCCCGCAGACCTCGGCGGTCTGTGAGGGAGTTCTCTTGGGAGTAGGATATGGGATATTATACATATATATATAGATATAGTGAATAAATATATATAGTATGTATAGTATATATATAGTGTAGAGATATATATATATATATAGTATATATAGTGTATATATATAATCTGTATATACATATATATATAGCATATATAGAACGTATCAATTAGTATATATACATCATAGTTCATAATATATATCTCCATATAATAAGATATAGTAATATACTATATACATACTATACGTACACACTATATCATATATATATATACATCCATAAGAAAACCTAATGGGTTTTAGAGTTTTGGTGTACACATAAATCTTATTATAAAAACATATATATTCATCGGTCTATATAACAATATATATATATATTGCAGGATGTACACATCATATATTTACATAATCTAACATACGATTGTAAATAAATCATGTGATCTATATAAGATGTAAACAAAATTAAATAAAATACGTAAACAAATGAATAGGTAAATAAATATATATATATCCATATCATTGGACATATTTTCTTAAGAACATTTTTAATATATAAAATGTATACAATCTATCTATTACATCTGATATCTGAGGGGGTTAAAACCAGATGATTTTCCCATGATTTCTAGGTACAAACATGGGAGATCCAGGTCACCGTGGGGTCAATGATTTTGAACCACCTGGTTGGTGCTTGAGCCCTACCCCTCTATATATCCCCGTAAAATGGTTGATAATATGGCTTTAATATGGATAATAATGGGATAATAATGGGATAATATACTGGTTGGTGGTATACCCCTCTGAAAAATGATGGAGTTCGTCAATGGGAAGGATGACATCCCATATATGAAATGGAAAATAAAAATCATGTTTGAAACCACCAACCAGACACCCATATCTGTGTTTGCTGTTGCCTTCTTTCATATTGTTTTTCACACAGAGCATCTCAATTTTGAATCGTCTTACACTATCCATAGCTCTGAGAATGGGTCAATCCTCAAGCGATTCATTTTGATTTGGGACAATCCATAGATCTTTCATTCACAAAGTCTCTCACAACAACCCAGGTCTCAAGGCGGGGTAAATGGTAGAGAAAAATTCACCATTTCCTCCCCTTGTGGCTACCATTCACCCTATAGGTTGGAGCCTGATTCATTGGCTTCGGGGCTTAAGCCACCAGCCCGATCTTTATTGAGTTTTCTTGCTTCCCAACAGCTTTGTGCCCATTTACGAGTTGCTTTACACAGATCTATCGTTCACCAGAAACCCCCAAAAATCACACTAAAAACCAACTTAGCCAACACACTCCACCCCTATCACCTTTAGGAACAGTCCATAAATCCCCACCTTTACAGGATGGGGCCCCCCAGTTATAAGTTGGTTTATAAACCATAACAAAACCCCCAGTAACTAGTTCGTTATATCTACCATAAACCATTGAATTCAACCACTTATGTTCACCAACTGAACGCGAGCTCGACTGGGGGCCCCACCCTTATGAACACTCCAAACAGCTCAATCCCGTCCCGTCCATTCCGAGCTTCAACAGCTCCCAGCTTGAAGAAGACATGCATCGTGCAGGGCAAGAGGAAACATGCAGAGCCAATGGTCGTCAAAGCAGATCCCACCTGGGGCGACATGGATTGGTTTTTTGGAGACGTGAACATTTTCTACATCGTGCCCGTAATCCAATGTCACAGGATGTTGTTTTTTGTTGGTGATATATCGAACCAGTTTTCATGGGATTATTGATTGTAATCCATTTATAACTGGATGATTTATAACCATCACCAAAAAACACTACCCTCTGGTAAACATACAAAAAAACTATGGAAATTGATCCTTCCATAGTTCGTTGATCTACCTATAAATGGTGATTGTCCAGTTCGCAAACTGTTAGTTTACCAGAGGGTACTTGTCATTGTCATATGAGTTTTATAAAAGGATATAACAACTAATAGACATTGATGTCAATGATCATCTATTAGATCTAACAACTATAGATATTGATGTCATAGATATTAAATATAGATATATTAATATTAGTTCATCAATATTAACGTTAATATGATGGTATCCCATGATCATGAACAAATGGGATGCAACGCTTTTTGAAAAATTATGGATCATCTTCGTTGCCTTCACCAACGCTGCCAATGACCACCAGGCTTTCGAAAAAATCTTTAGAACATGGCCATTGAACATGGCCATTTAGTTCCTTGATTTACCCATTAAAGATGGCGAATTTCCATAGCTATGTTAGTTTACCAGAGGGTATAGTTCCAAATATGATAAACCATAGCTGGTTGGTGGTGCAATAACCATCTTGAAAAATGATGGAGTGAAAGTCAATGGGAAGGATGACATCCCATATATGAAATGGAAAATAAAAGTCATGTTCCAAACCACCAACCAGTTAAGCATTTCGGGCTTCCGATCTCAACCTTATTTGCTCGCTCGAAGTGGAGGTTATGTCAAAGATATGCGCGATCGGGTCGAATTACAATGGCATTTACTCGTGAAACACCAACGATCACGGGAAAATTAATTGGTGAAACACGAACGATCCTGGGGAAATTTAATTGGTAGATTCAATTCCAAACATGGATTGATGACAATCCATGGCACATATACTGATAATAATTACGTTGGGAATATGACAGATGACCCCAGCATTGTTTTGGATTGACATAATATATAAGATAATATATCATACTCACATGGTACATGCTTTACTGGTTGGTGGTTTCAACCCCTCTGAAAAATATGAAAGTCAATTGGGATTATTATTCCCAACATATGGAAAGTCAAAAAAATCATGTTCCAAACCACCAACCAGCTATAGTTCCAAATATCAAAAACCATAGTCTGGTTGGTGGTGCAATAACCATCTTGAAAAATGATGGAGTTCGTCAATGGGAAGGATGACGTCCCATATGAAATGGAAAATAAAAAATGTTCCAAACCACCAACCAGCATAAACCATAGTTATCGGAGTTAGAAATCAACTTAGCTATAGTTATATCTACCATAAACCATTGCTAATTCAACCTTTCGCCATATCTCAACTGAAGGATATGGCGAAAGCAAAGGGGGCACCATATGGCACCATCCTGCGAATGTATATGACACATATGATAAATCATACATCATATCATACATAAAATCGCTAAAATAAATAATTGGATGTATTGGGACATCAAAATATATAAATCATATATATAAAATCGCTAAAATAATTTTTTTAAATATAATACATGAAAATCATATATAAATCATACATCATATCATACATATTGGGACTTTCCATAAAATAAACCATCCAGTTATGGGGGTTCCATCGTTTATGGAAACCTCCACCTTTTTCTGGGTTATCTCATCCCACTTTGTAAATAGGTTGTATCTCTGATTCTAAATGGGATAAGTAGGGTTAATCCACATATAATGTGAGGCCCCCCAGCTATAAGTTGGTTAACAAAAGCCCCAGTAACTATAGTTATAAATGCCATAAACCATAGTTATTGGACTTATAAATCAACTTAGATATCTTGGGGGCCTCACATTGTATAAACCACTGTGCCCATTCTTTCCCTTTCGCTCCCTACTGTGGTCCCCTACAATGGACCCCCCGATGCGTTCCAAGGCATATTTGGAGCGTTCAAAGCGTTCGGCACCTGGGGATACGAACGGGACATATCCAAAACCAAGCTCGCTTTTTGGTGATGTTTGTGGAAGATCTATGGGATCATCAGGGATCATCAAGGAATTATTGTTTCATTTACCCTCCAGTAAATTAACAGTTCGACCCTGCCAGTAGATAGGGGTTGGAAGACTAGTTTCCACTATAAATTGGTGATTTTCAGGGTCGAACTGTTAATTTACCAGAGGGTATGTTGCCATTTTTGACACTTAATTATGTAAAGCATGGGATCAATGAGGCATTTGACCAACAACCATGGAATATACATATATATATATACATGCCCTCTGGTAATGACTAACAGTTTGCTATTGAATAGATTGCCCATTTAGTTCGTTGATTTACCTATTATTTTAATGGTGATTTTCCACAGTTATCTCAGTTTACCAGAGGGTATGTATATTTATATATACCCTCTGGTTATTTAACATAGCCATGGAAAATGTCCCATTTGTAGATGATTTTCCCATTAAAACCTCCATTTATAAGGGATTTTCCATGGCTATGTTAAATAACCAGAGGGTATATATATATGTGATTCGGTGGAATTCATGGAAATATCATGTGGGAAATGTATCCGGGATAACATGATGACATGATGACGTGATGGTGATGACTGGGTCTCAAAGAACCGAGTACCTGCAGCATTTTTTAAGTCATGCACTGTGCGGCATAAGGGTGAATGAAGTATACTTAAACTTGATTTTCCCTCAAAACAACCCATTGATCATGACCTTCCTATAGATCTAATTATTTAGTACGTCATGCAAAGTTAGATTTTCCTACAGATTTAGCTTAATTTTCCCTAGATTTCCGATAGATTTTCATACTTTCCCTAGAAATTCCATTTTCCACCTGGGGAACTCATCGGAGGTTTCCTAAAATGATTGCGGATTTTTCATTGCAAGAAACCCCCATATTGTCATCATCAGTGTGATAGTCTGGGTAAATTTTCATTCAATCATCTGAAACCTATTTGGGCTATTTTGGGATGATTCCCCTTACTAACCTAGTTGGTGGTTTTAAGCATCTTGAAAAATATGAAAGTCAGTTGGGATGATTCTTCCCAATAATTGGATTCCCAATATATGGAAAAATAAGAAATGTTTGAAACCACCCAGCTAGAAATGGGCATTTCACATGGGAACATCATCTAAAAATACTGACCTTCCACTGGAAACCACCAACCAGTAACCTTTGATCCAATAGAGAACCTGAATTCCTGGCTGAGGGCCAAACTCCGGTTCTTCGAGAGGACCTTCTTGTTCTTCTCGGTGGTCGCCTGGCCAAAATAAAGCACCAAACAGGACAGTTTCTTTGTGCATCGTCACGATTTTGGTCGGATTTCACTTCTCTATCCTTTTGGGGGTTGCTATGGCCTATAATTCATTATATCTATATATATATATTATATAGTTGCAAACACACATTGACCTTGCTCCCATTTACCAGTCGCTTTGTTTCGGAGACATGATATGTCTGCCTCAAATTTGCGGGGAGTTCCGCTCCCCAAACATGGGCCCATCTCCCAACATCGATTCCTGTCGTGAAATCCTCGGTTTTCATGGGGACATCAATTCATGTCCTTTTGGGCAACATGTTTTGGGCAACATGTTGGTTAATGGTGATTAATGGTGATTAATGGTGGTTAATGGTGATTTATGGTGGTTAATGGTGATTAATGATGGTTGATGATGGTTGATGATTAATTATCTGGTTGGTGGTTGGTTTCTACCCCTCTGAAACATGATGGAGTGAAAGTCAGTTGGGATGATGATTCTTCCCAACTGAATGGAAAGTCATAATCCGTTCATGTTCCAAACCACCAACCATTGCCAAGCTTAGATACCCTGCAAAAAAATAAGTTCTTTGTTGGTGAAAGTAGATATTCCCATTGATACCAAAAGACTGGTTAGGATTAGTTTGTACCCATCTAAGATTGACCTAGCAACCAGTATTAATCATTATTAACCATGATTAACCCATTCAAAATGGTGATATCACCATTAAACCAACCATTTTACAAAAAGTATTCAGGTGTATATACCATCCATTAACCATCCAAAAAAACCCTGATATACATAACTATATACCTATATATAGCCTATATATACCACCAACATATACTTAGATGGGCCATGGAGTTAGTCAACTAGTCAGTAAATGGCTTATTTCATTGGGATTTTTTGGGGGTAAAGAAACCCCAGTTACTAACTAGTTTTCCCTAACTCCATGGCCCATCTAAGTATACCATATATAGCTATGATAGCCTGCTTGGGGGAACCTTCCAATCCCTCCAGGAGATCGGTAAAAACAGCCTTAGCGGCCGGGGCATCGGAGATCTTCATGCTCACACGCTTGGTGCCGCCAGGTTTGGCCACGGCACCTGCCCTCGGCTGCAAAAATGGTGCCTTTTTTTGGGGAGTTCACTACAGGATGGGGCCCCCAAGATAGCTAAGTTGCCTTATAAGTGGCTTTATGGTAGATATAACTATAGTTAATAGGGCTTATAATGGTTTATAAACCCAGTTATAACTGGGGGGCCCCAACCTGTAGAGATTTCTGGAAAATTTCACCAAGAATAGGAAGAGTCTTGGTATACCATCTATCATTGAGCTACTTTTTTACAGCATTTATCTATCATTTAGCTACTATTCTTGGTATACTATCATTTTTTTTAGGTCATCATTGAGCTATTTTCCTTGGAACTTTTTTCGGGCATCCATAGATTTCACCCCAGAGAACTTGAGGTGAATTTGAGCTAAGCAAGGGGATACAACCAAGAGTTGATAATGTTGGTATGATCATTTTGTAGCAACAACACTTGGAAAACCATGGGATTTCTATGGCATTTCTATGGCATTTCTAGTATTGAAATGCCGAAATCCAGGGAACCATAGACTTTGTGAACAGCTCTGACTCCGCAGTTGCTCCAACTGCTGGAGGATCAGAGATTATTTTGGGGATATACCATTCATTTTCAGGTACCCAAGCTCTATCTTAAGTGGAGAACATCCGAAACCATCAGTTTCTATTGGGATTCCGTCACACTCGAAACCATGTTTTTTTCTGAGGGGATCAACGGATAAACCATCCACCAACTGCTACAGTTGTTCGCCGTTTTTCGCAAACATCTTTCTTTTACTGACCTTTTTTCAACCCACCGGACCGAGAAAAGTTCAGGGCCGGACATGGACATACTCTTCCTGCGAGTTTCGACGACATATCTTCTCGTTGGATCCAGTTGGGAATCTACAGGAAACCGGAAACACAGAAACATTGGGATAAAAAATCTATGGTTATATATATATATAGTGATGACGATATTTAATATATAATCAAGAGACTGGGATAACAAAATATTGAAGATTTTTTTCTTAAACCAATCTCTCTCTCTCTATATATATAATTATATATACACCGTCTACATATATGTTAGAGAATGTCAGGAATATCTGCACTTTGAATAGTTCGATCGGATTGGAAGAGTGAAAGGGGCGGAAACCAACGAACTGGCGAACTGGCTCAAATACCAGCCCTAGCCTCAAAATAGCTGGGTAAATGGATGTTCATCCACTCAACTATGGTATAATGTGGTGGATCGAATCATAAAACCATCCCTGAAAAACCACATACGAGTACCTGAAATGATCCCAAATGCTAGGTTGATGGCATTGGGTTTCTGAAAAATTCATAAGTTTTGATGCCACAACTATCAATCACAAGTTTCAAATAGAGAGGATCCAGAAGGCCCCTAAAGAATGTCATGAATAACCTTCAGTGGCTTGAAACATCCAGATTTTATGGATGATTTTCCCACTAAAACCTCCAGTTTTTCCGATTTCCCAGCCACGTTTGAAACGACGCCCTTCCGAAACACATGGGGCGATTCTCGTGGGGATGCCATTTGCATTGACAGATTCACTTTGCAAATCCAAAAAAAACTTAGCTAAGCCATATCAGAAAATTGTTCGCTATACATCATATATCATATATTTCAGTTCCCATAAAATAGTTGGTTTTCTCCCAATAAAGCCCGTACCCTCTGGAAATTTAAGAGTTTGCTATGACAATCACCATGTTTAAGGTCAGTATCGCACTCAATAGGCCATGACTCATCAACAACAGCCAGTTTGGTATGATTCGTGGAATTACCCTCTGGTAAACATACAAAAAGCTATTGAACATGGTCATTTCTAGTGGATTTACCCATAAAAAATGGTGGATCTTTCCATGGTTATGTGAGTTTATTGGTGGAATGAAAACTCCCAAAAATCACATCATAACATCCACCCAAATCGGGTCACGACTCTCCATATAGCCTACCACTTTCATCTAAGTTTCAATGGATTGGATTAAGGGAAAATTTACAGGAAAGCCCCATACTTAATGGGAAAATCTATGGTTTCCTGTAAATTTTCCCTTAAACCAATCCATTGAAAGTTACATCAAAAAAAAATCACCATGGCTTTCCGGACTTTTTTCTCCACTTTTTGTGGAGGCGAAACTGAAAGTTCCACGACCATCCGGACATGTTTTTTTTTGGTTTTCATAAATGGAGGATACCCCAAGCTCGCTGGATGATTTATTTCATGGAAAAGCCCAGCCACAAATAGCTGGATGATGTTTCTAGGGGTACCCCCATCACTTGGGAAACCTCCATATGAATTAATCCATATCCCGAGTTTATAGACAGGTCATACCTATGATTTATCAATGGTTTATCCAAAGACATATTAATCCAGAATTTATAAACCATCAAAATTGGTTGGTGGTTTCAAGCCCTCTGAACAATATGAAAGTCAGTTGGGATTATTATTCTCAATATATGGAACAATAAAATTCATGTTCCAAACCACCAGACAAAACCTTTGGACAATTTTCGATTCCAGTTGTTCTCTATGAATAATGTCCTTTTGGTAAAAATAGGTTTGGGCCGGGAGCTGGTATACCATCTATCATCATTGACCTGTTAAAGGCGTAAACCTTCAACCCCTCTATGAGTCAACCAATGGGAAAAGGACATCTATAGATTTGATGATTTCTTTCCAATAACTATGGGATGGATTGCGTAGATGATAAGATTATCCCATGAAAAAATCCCATTGATTGATGTTTACTATCCACTGGGATCATGGGACAATCAGATTCCATATGAAAAAAATACCAAAAATACTACAGGGTGGGGCCCCCAAGATAGCTAAGTTGGTTTATAAGTGGTTTAACACAGGTTTATGGTAGATATAACTATAGTTAATGGGAGTTATACTGGTTTATAAACCAACTTATAACTGGGGGGTCCCATCCTGTATTGATTAACCATTGTAATGATGGGTATACATGTTTGAAACCACCAACTAGCAGTTGTTCTCTACTTCTCCACAAAACCCTGCGGTTCTTCCGGAATTTCTCCTGCCAATCCGCTGCGCCATGGTTTCGTTCTCCGGAACCTCTCACGATCGTTCAACCCCAAGGGTTGAACATGGCTTTCATACGGGTTTTATATGGGATTTTCATATGGCTTCAATATGGATTCATATGGCTTTAATATGGGTTTTATATGGTTTAATATGATTTAATATCGATAATAATGGGATAACTTGGATAACACTAGAATAATATCGTTCAACCATAGAAACATTGGGATTGAAACAGCAAAAACGATGAAAAAAATAGGGATATAATTGATATAATGTCAACGGGAATTTCAAGATCCCAAAATGGAGGTACTGTACCATATAAGGGCATATTTTCTAGAGATATTCCCTTACATAGGCCTTATATATGGATATATATGGTAGGTACCTCCAATTTAGCTTCCTGTTGCATGGCCATTGACAATGGGAAATAATGGAACGTTCATGGGATATTCATGGAGTATACTTTCACACCCTCCGGTGTCAACGTGGCAATCCTCTGTCATTGGAAAAACTTATTGGGAATATCATCTGTAAATGCTGGATTTTCCAGCAAATTTCGGAGGGTAAAATGGTGTAAGCTTCGTTTATGTAAGACTGGCCAAACTGGAAGCATATCTAAAAAACAAGATTTCCAGATATTTCCAAGTTTAGGATAGTTTAGCTATTCACTCAAGATATCAGATTCTTTTTTAAAGGACAACACAGGTATTCACTTTTTAAATGTGCAAAAAGATGTTTTCCAACGATGGATCCGCTGGTTTTTTCCTTGACCATGGCTGGGGATGTTGGCCAAGATCAGATGGAGGTTTCCCAAGTCATGGGGGTACCCCTACAAGGTGGTGCCCCATAGTTAGCTAAGTTGGTTAATATAACTCCAATAACTATGATTTATGGTAGATATATCTATACTTACTATGGCTATAAACCAACTTATAACTGGGGGGGCGCAACCTTGTAGTTATCATCCAGCTATTGGTTTGGGCTTTTCCATGAAATTTTTACCTATCATCTTTGGGGATAGCCCATAAAAATGGAAACCCCAAGCCCAAACATATGAAACTCCAAAACATCGATCTTCCACAACCAGACTTTGGGGAAAGATTTCGGCTTCGATCATCCGACGGGTTTTTTCTGCTACACCTGAAACGTCGGAAACGTCGTGATCTTTCGACCCGACCATGTCTGACACTTGAATGTCGCAGATGTTCTGAGCTTGCATATGGGTATGGGTCAAAATTAGGTACCCCAAAATTATGGATGGCTAATACTAAACTAGACTAACATCTGTGGTCCCCTAGGTCGTCCATTTTGACCCACATCCATATGTTTTCACCCCTTTTGGATGGTTTTTGCTGGTGACATTCATGATTTTCTGGCCATAAATCGCAATGTTTGATCATTAGATCCCAATTTCCGAAGTCTAAACATACTTTTTCATCATTCAATCACCATTCTTCTCGCTTCAAAGTTCCACCACCATTTTTTTTTTCATGCTGGATTTTCATATATATATATGCTCATATATTCTCATGGTTAAATCATACCTTTTTCCATCCCAACATCCGCAGAACGCAGTATACTCGTACCTCCTCTTCTTCGACTTCATCAATCTCCTCTACATCCGTGATATGACACGAATGGTACTTGTGCGACCTCAGGAGACGTGACAAATGGCGGCGAAAACTGTGCTTTTGCTCTGGGGATTTCAAGGGATAAGTGGATAGGTGGACATAGATGGATTCATATGATCAGTGGATCTGTGCATCAAACATTCGAACCATTGGAATTTCACAGAACATGAAGATATTGGAAAATGTGGATTCACCAAACATCTTGGTTGTTACATCTATGCACCAAACATTGGAATTTCAGCAAACATTGGAAGATGTGGATTCACCAAGTAATCAATGGCCATGCAACAGGAACCTAAATTGGAGGTACCTACCATATATAGGGCCTATATAAGGCCTATGTAAGGGAATATCCCTAGAAAATATGCCCTTATATAGTACTGTACCTCCATTTTGGGATCCTGAAACTTCCATTGAAGTAATGGGGATATCACATGGGATGTATTTCAATGGATAATCCACCAAAATAACCAACCATTCCCATCGCGCAGTTACATGGTAAATCTCAACTGACTCAAACCAACCAACATTTTCGGATGACTCAAAATCAACCAAAAAAACAAACACATTTCAATGGGAATTTCAGGATCCAATTTATGGAGGTACTGCACCATATTTTTGGCCATATTTTGGGGGTATATCCCCATATATAGCCCTAAAAAATAGGCCTTATAGATGGTAGGTACCTCCAAAAAATCGGTTCCTGGAATGGCCATTGAACATTCGCGGCGAAAAAAAATCACCTTCCCCTTCTAAGTTGAGCTTCCCGGCAGAATCATCATTTACCATCTGTTTATTCAAGAGTTGCTATGGAAGCCGCGGCAATTTAGTGCGATAATTTACTGCACTTCAAAGTGGTGCTTTTCCATAGCTATGCTAAATTACTAAGAGATAAGAGGCTATATTCAATGTTCTCTATATACTTGGGGGATAGATTAATGTCTATGACTCCACTAGCTAAGATTCATGGATGCTGAGGGCAGTATCATGGGATACAATCAGGTCCTTTTTGGTAAAAATAGCTTTGGGCCGGGAGCTGGTATACTGTACCATCATCAAACACACCTGTTGTTTTTCAGGGGTAAACCTGAAGAAACCTCTCTATTCATCAACCAATGGGAATTTGGGACATCTATGGATGAATGATGTTTTTTTCCCAATACCCTGCCTGGTAAACGTTTACATAGCTATGGAAAACCACCATTCTTAATGGGTAAATCGGTAAATCATCTATAAATCATGAATGATGTTTTTTTAGTCCAATAACTATGGGATTCCATAGATGATTTGATTTATCCCATGACAAAAATCCCATTGATGTGAACTTTATCCACCGGGATCATGGGACAATCATGGGACTCAGGGCTGGATGATCCTGGGATACTCAAAAGGCCGCTTCTTGAAGCGGCGTTGAGTATGGGATTTATAGTAACCCAATTGTGATTATATCCCAACTTATGGAGGCTTAGTTATTCCATATAGTTATATAATTTTATATACCTAACAGTTCTTCGATCCCATAGTTATACCTAAGAGTTGTACCCATCAAAGAGTCAGTAACAAAATATCACCAATCAGATGGGTATAAATACAATGTACATAACTATGGAAAATCACCATTTTCAATGGGTAAATCCACTATTTCTATGGTCAGTTGTACCCATCAGTTGAGTTTTGTTCACCTAACAGTTATACCCATCAGTTATTTACGATTATGAAATTCCCAACTGAATGGAAAGTCATAAAATTCCATGGTTCCAAGCCACCAATCAGATACCCATCAGTTTTTGTTCACCAAACACCACCTGAGTTGCCCCGGCAGATGCAAACAGTAGTCCACGGCAAAGCCCACGAAGACAATCAGCGAGAGAACTTCGATGGCGCCGATGGACCACTTCATGATCTAAGACGTTGGAGACGGCTGGGGCTTTCTCGGTGAATAAAAATAGATACTTTAAGCCATATCTGGTTGGTGGTATACCTACCTCTCTCAAAAATATGAGTTCGTCAGGTGGGATTATTATTCACAATATATGGAAAAATAAGGTGAATTATAGATACTTTAAGCCATATTTAAAACAAAAAAATACTTTGAAATACATATAAAAACCATAGTTAAGCCATGTTTCTGGGGTATGTCCTCAATTGGGATCTATGAACATATTCCAGTAGTCAAGGGCACTTTAAACCTTCTGGGTAAATTATAATAATTCACAAACCTGAATTGTTGGGCCGTAAAAGGGGATGATTCCCCTAAAATAAACCATGATTCCCAGTGAGGTCGCAGTGAGGTCGTGATGAAATTTACCCAGAACCTTCCATTTGGCGTGGGATTTAGTGATGGACAGCAGTAAATCCATTACACTTTTTGGTTGGTAAAACATCTGCCGAATTTTCGTCCTGAAAAACCGAAACGATGTTGAACATGTTTATTTCAAAGACCGCGGATAGTGTGTTTTTGGGCATCCCCATGAAATATCCTCTGGTAAACATACATAAAACCATGGGAAATCATTATTTTTAATGGGTAAATCCACTATAAATGGGCGATTTTCAATAGCTTTTTGTATGTTTACCAGAGGGTAAATCCCCATGAAATAATTCATCATCTATCAACCATGTCCACAGATCTTTGATAGTTAAGACCGCAAAAAAAAAACGATATAAAAATCGATTTATTCATGATTCAGTCCCATGAAAATACCATGAAACTGGATACTGATGGCAAGACAATTCATTCTTCAATAGCTAGCATGAAAATTTACCATCAACTCCCCCAAAACTCATCAATTGTTCTGTGAACTCCCGAAATTTCGCTGAATTCTTCTGGGTAAATTAACCAAAAAATCACTCACCTGAAAGTTTTTTGGCCATCTTGGGAGTCTGATTCCCTAGAAACATTCAGATTCAGCGAGCGAGGTAGTGTTCTGAGGTGATTCAACTGCCCAGCGGCAATGACCATGAAGAATAGCAGGCCAATGACGATGGTCATCACGATGGTCATCACGATGATGGCCAGGTGCGTGGAACGTGTGAAGACCAAGACGCCCAAGAAGACGCAGCCCAGAGAGATGCATAACGTGATCAACGTGGAATCCAAGATCACCTGAGCAAAACGGCTGAATTCACGAAGTGGTTATGACTCACATAGCCATGGTTATTAACGAAATGGCCCATAGAAATAGATGGTTTATGTTAAATAACCAGATGGTAATGGTATATGGTGATATAATGGTGTTATTTGTTACATAGCTGAATTAACGAACTGGTGATATAATGGTAGATATAACTTGATATAACTACAGTTTTCATGGGGTTTATACCTTATAAGTGGCTTAGCTACTTAACTATGCTTAATGGTAGATATAACGAACTGGTTTTCATGGATGTATTCAGTCGGGGTTTTCATCTAAACCAGTCGATCGGTCACAAAAAAAGTCAGATGTTTAATCAGATTCGATGGGATTTCATGGGGACTCATCTATGAAACATGTTACCCTCTGGTGAACTAACAGTTTGCTATGGAAAATGGCCCAGTCGAAATAGTGGATTTTCCCAGCTATAAAATGGTGATTTTCCATAGCAAACTGTTAAATTACCAGAGGGTATAACATGTTGATTTTTCATGGGATATTCGATGGTGATTCATCTGTGAACAACAGTGATTTTATCTGGGTAAAATTTAATATTTCACTAACCTGAATTGTTGGGCCATTTGGGGATCATTTCCCTTACTCACTATGATTATAGTGAGGGAGAACAGTGAGGTCGTGATGAAATTTACCCAGATTTAATGGGATTTCATGATGATTTTATGGGAAATGGAGTGTAACAGTGTAATGGGATGTCCTGGTGTTTTTTTCTCTCGGTGATTTAGATTAAAAAAATGATTTAACCATCAACAAAATCGGGATTTTGATTTAACCATGTGACCATAAACATTTTCAGGTGGAATTATCAATAGTCACATGGTTACCCTCTGGTAAACTAACATAGCTATGGAAAATCACCATGTTTGATGTGTAAATCAACTATAAATGGCAATTTTCAATAGCTATGTTAAATTACCAGAGGGTAAATCCCTATTGTGACAATCCTGGATTGGGTTTTGAATTTTAGATGGTTTATCCATGTGACATCAACAAATTCACCATCAAAAAGTCAGGATGGAAAAACCACTGAATTATGGAATATCCATGGATATGCTGGGACGGTTATCATAGCATCGGTTTTTCTGAAAATTCATGGGGATTCAAGCGATTCAACCATCTCAGTGAGTGAAAATCAAAGTGATAAAAATGGTTCGATTTTTCTAAAAATCAACCGTTGGGACCATATTGAAACACCTATATATATATATAAATATATGTATATAAGTAAATATATATAGGTAATTAAATATATATATATAAGTATTCAAGATGTTCCCAATGTTCATCAATATTTTCAAATGTCCCCAACGGTTTCACCAACGGTTTCACCAATGGTTTCATCAATCCTGTACATCTTGGGAACAGATGGTCAAAGTGGCGTCCTCAGATGGTTCTTGTCAGGACAAGTGCTTCATAACCAAACATGATGATTTAATTAATGGGAATTTTGGCTTTTTATATGGTTTACTATGGATTGATATGGCTAAAATAAAAGGATAATCATGTGATAACTGGGATAACAATAGATTTTTTTTTATCGTGAAAAACCCATGATGAAATCGTGGGGATGATAGGATAATGGCATATTTCGTCCATAGCCTCAGGTACTCAAAGATAGCAATGGGAAATCCGCAGTGACCACAATGAGTGGAGCGCCTGTAAATGCGAAAATCATCGAAGTTAATGGTCTAAATGATGGATTTTCCAGCAAACTGTGTTTACTACCAGAGAGTGCATGGGGTGAACATGGGTTTTACTTGGAATCTTTTGGCTTCAGATCCCAGCTTCATGACCAGGAAAGCGTTCAGAACGGTACTTTAATGACTTCATCCATATCGAACTGATTCCAACTGGAGCCACAAAATGGAATTTGTAGTCCCATAGTTATGTCATATTCTTAGCATATATTCGCATATATTCCCATTCATCCTCAATTCAACATCTAAGAACATGAATGTGACATAATTCAATCGGTCCGAAAAGTTATCCCGGCTTTTTCCATCCTTTTTCGCCATTTTGTAAAGGCTGGCTAAGCCCAGCCGAACAAACATCCGAAGCAATATGTTTCCTATTATACATATATCCCATTAAATCCCATTAAATGTCATTAAATCCCATTGAATCACCATCATATATCCCATTAAAACACCATTTTTCATATATTTCCCCATGGTTTTCCCCATGGTTTTCTTCATGGTTTTGGGATGTTTTGGGGCACACATTCCGCCGAAACCAGTCGAAACGGGTGGGTCACCTTCTCGGCTTCGCTCATACTCCACAGCCTCGAGGCGTGCCAGGCGCCCTTGATCGAGGCTTCCGCCTGACTGTTGAATTCCTGACGCGACGAGCGACGACACGACTGTGGGGTTGGACCTGGGTGTTTAAGATGGATTTTTCTCTGGTGTATATATGTATAATATATACGTATGTATGTATGTATGCATGCATGCATGTATGTTTCTTAAAATGGGGGGATCCCCAAGTCACCAGGGTTGTTTTAATACTTAGTCATGGTCATCCATGACGACAGGATGATTTGGAGCTACCCCATTAACAATAGGGTCAAGTTATATGGGACTATAATTTGCAGATAGAATCTACTAATTTACCATAATTTTATTTGAAATGACGGTTCTAACCAACAAACATGTGGGATGGCTGCTTTTTTGATGGCTGCTTTTTTGATGCTTTACTAACAATGATCGAGGATATAATCTACTCATAAATGCGCTATAAATGTGCCAAACGAGGCTATCTAAAAACTACACCTTTGATAGGAGTGGCGTTGTCCGTCTATAAATGGAGGTTTACCGGCTTTTTAATGCCTTTCTGTTGCCAACAGCAAGTTGTAAATGGAACAATAAACAGTTATCTATCCATCAAGATTTGGCAGCAATAAATCTGAGTAAATTATATTATTTCACTAAGCTGAATGGCTATAAAAGGGGATGATTCCCCTGTACTTACTAACCATGATTCCAGGGTTCGGGAGAACAGTGAGGTCGCTACAATTTACCCAATGAAGGTCTAAAGTCTAAAGTAATAGATGACATACAAAACTATGGAGTTTTAACCCAGAAAGATCTGGAACTGTTGGTGAATGGAAGAATATGGGGGTTTCATAAGACAACATTGTAACATTGTAACATTCGAGGTTTCAGGTTGGCCCAATAGAACTGCCATAGCTGCTACAGGCCTAGTTGTTTGGGGATCAAACATTTTGCCAACTCAATTTTACAGTATCTGGTTGGTGGTTTTAACCATCTTGAAAAATATATGATCGTCAATGGGAAGGATGACATCCCATATATGAAATGGAAAATAAAACATGTTTGAAACCACCAACCAGGTATATGGATGGTTCACCAGAGTGCAACCCTAGATGTTCATATTCATATTTTTCATCCCTTTCGCTTCCTTTTTGAATGATCCTGCATCGACATCTGACGAGTGGAATCTATTGCGTTATCCCCCTTTTGGAATTTGCTCTCTGTCAATGGGAATTTCAGGATCCTGAAATGGAGGTACTGTACCATATAAGACCACATTTTGTGGGGATATTCCCTTACATAGACCTTATATAGGCCTTATATATGGTAGGTACCTCCAATTTAGGTTCCTGAAATTGCCATTCACTTTGTCAACTGCAATGATTGAATTCTGACTGAATTGCGGTACCTGAAAATAGCTGTTATCATACAGCCATGGGGATGATTCCCAATATATAAACCATCATTCGACGGTTTATACGGCGCAGTCGTCAACCCAAAGCACTCAAAACTCCACCGATTTTCAATCAATTCCCCAATCAGGTTGACGGGAACCTGACAATAATGTTTTTTTGGTAAAAATAGAGAGGGGCCGGTTTGGTATACCATCTATCATCATTTACCTGTTGTTAAAGGGGTAAACAAACCCCTCTATTAATCAACCAACCAATGGGAAAAGGACATCTATGGAACCTGAAACAAATCACCCTCAAACATGACAGAAATCACCATCACATCACCCATCATGTTGTTGGCTATGTTATATTACAGTATGGTCTCCCAATATCATCCCACTATCCCCTAATTATGGTTGGAATCTAAGTACTGAATAAGTGGAAATCCTGTTCGTAAAGACTTGATCATGGCTATTGCCCTGGCTAATCTTGCCATCAACAGTTTTACCACACCATTTTGATGCGAACAAAAAAAAAGGGAACTGGTAAATCCTTTAGTTAACCACACATTCTGCATGAAACTTGCCATAAATCCAATGTACCATGGGGTAAACTAACAAGAACTACCATCTGGTTATGATTCACATAGCCATGGAAAATCACAATGTTTAAGAACGGTAAACCATCTATAAATGGGCCATTTCCTATGGCTATGTTAAATAACCAGAGGGCAATATAGATGCGGAAAACCCCGGGCGGCTTAAAGCCCTGGAAAATGATCCTGAGTTGAGTCGCCTTTTGTCTTCCACGTCTTCATGTAAACGTTTGGAGGTTACTTAGATGGGCCATGGAGTTAGGGAAAACTAGTTAGTAAATGTATTATAATTGGGATATAGAAATGTATTATTTCATTGTTTTTTTTTGGGGGTAAACAAACCCCAGTTACTAACCAGGAATCGCTAATCCTATGGATCTATGGCCCATCTAAGTACACTTCATGTTCAGACACGCCAAAACGTAAGGCAAAAAATCCAGGAGTGAATTGCCGCGTGGTAAAAAGCCTTGATGACTTTGCGCATATCAACATTTGCAGGTGGCACTTGTCATGTTAGAAGCTCACCAAAGCTTGGTAGAGATACAGGAAGGGCCCCCCAAAAGATAGGTAAGTTGATTTTCGAAACATCTGCTAAGTGGGATATATGGTGAAGATTTATCAAACTATACTGTAGCTATACTGGTTGGTGGTATACCTACCCCTCTGAAAAATATGAAAGTCAGTTGGGATGATTATTCCCAATATATGGAAAAATAAAACATGTTCCAAACCACCAACCAGTATAGTTCGATTGGGTAAACTGAAGCAACTAACACATTTCACTTTAAAGGCCTTGTTTATCGGACAGGCGAATGACATCCAAACTTCCAAGGCATCCTGTGATGTATCGCAGCCCAAGCAACTGCCAGAAAACGGTCCCATTTCTTCATCGCATCCAGACCAACTGCGGAACCACCCAAGCGATTCACATTGGTGTAGGCCCTGCAGAACCGCTGATAGAACCCGTTTTTTTTTTTGCGAGGCCAGTGTCGTGAAATGGTAATTTAGACTACCCCCAGTATAGTTATATTAGTTATATCATATTCACCAGACTGGGGTTATAGTACATCTATTTATATCAACTATACTGTTGCATTATAAATAAATTACTGTACTTGGATTTGCTTAAGGGGTCCACAACAAATAAAAAATATTCTATAGATTCCCCAGTTCTGGTGGATTTCCTATTGGGAAAATAAGCCAAAGCACCTTAAACAAAACCCAGTATACCCTCTGGTAATTTAACATAGCTATTGAAAATGGCAATTTATAGTCGATTTTCCCATTAAAAATGGTGATTTTCCATAGTTATGTTAGTTTACCAGAGGGTATCCCCCATCAACCATAGCATTCACCCTCGCGTGAGTTCTGTGCGGAAAAACATCTCGCGATGAAAAAAAACACTGTGGAGTCGATTGCCACACCGGGAAGGATTTTGTGTCCATACTTTCAACCCAACTTTTAGTGGCTAAGGATTTTCTGTGTCCCATTTTTCCCTTGAGTTTCCTTCAATTTCATCTGAACAACTCTTGAAAAACCCGAGTTGCTACCCTCTGGTAAACAAACAGTTTGCTATTGAAAATGGTGATTTAGTTCGTGGATTTACCCATGAATAGCATGGTGGATTTTTCCATCGTTTTTTGTATGTTTACCAGAGGCTAATGCTTAGAGATTCACTTGAAACTTCGCCTGGAGATCGGATAAATCTCCCAAGATTCTTCGTGTGGGCTTCTACAGTCAGTCCCATTCAGAGCTCGGACCAGCATGGGGAAACGCCGTCAAATCATCCAAGTCATTAGACCAGTTACCCTCTGGTAACTAACATAACTATAGAAAATGACCATTTTTAATGGGTAAATCCACTATACATGGCAATTTTCAATAGCTATGTTAGTTTACTAGAGGGTACCATTTTAGTATATTTCAGTCTTGAAACCCATGTTTTTTTTTCCCAGTCGAAACGCCCATTCATAAATGATAAATGGGTGAACATAGCTATTGAGACATGGCCATTTGAGTTCGATGTTTTACTCATAAGTGGTGGGTCTTTCCATCTTTTTTTGCAAACGTTTACCAGAGGGAAACTGCCCCAATCCGTAAAAACCATAAACACGTGACGTCGCGATGTGAGGTCTATGAATCAACCACATCTATTGAGTTTTCTTGCTACAATGTGCAACACTTCCCCCTATTTATATATTTTTGTATATACATAAATCATAATATGTATATAATTGGAGGAAATTCCCATTCATCAACCTGAATTTGCACAAATGCCTTCTAACTCCGGTGTTTTTTTGATGTTTTTTCCACGGAAAATCCCCACGGTACAATGATGAACGCGTCCATTTTGGTGATTTTCATAGCAACCAGCCCAAAAAGAGGCCGGTTGACGTGTGCCCCCACGGGTTTCCATTTTGTACCCTCTGGTAATGACTAACGTAGCTATTGAAGCCATGGCCGAGTCGAAATAGTGGTTTTACCGTACCCATTGAAAATGGTGGATCTTTCCATAGTTTTCGGCATTTCGGCATCATTGGGGGAGTTCTCCAGCTGCCGAAAGACTGAACATACATCGCGATCAGCTTGCGATTGTCGTCAAACCACAGGAAATCTCAGCGATTCTTTTTGCGAAGGCGACGAAATTTGTCAAGATATTTTTTTTGGGAACTCTTGTGTTTCAAGAAGAATTCTCTCCAAACGGGATTTTAATAATGAAAAAACATGAAGAACATCCACCGTACAATGAATTTTCATGAAAATAATTCTCTCTTCGCAATGAACAACATCCACCATATATGATGATTTTAGTGGGAAAATCATCAGAAGTGAGGAGTTTCCAGCCGAAATGATGACCGGGTACACTCTGCCATATGATCTCTTTCTGCTGCATTTCGAAAGACAGATAACACGATCCTGCAACAAAATGGGGATAGTTGATGGGAATTTGTGGGATATTTCATGGGATATCTGATGGTATACCTATAGCCTAATCCTTCAAACAGTCAGTTTCTCTTCAAGACCGCCCATGATTACGCTCTTCACAAAAAATCATCTGGTTGGTGGTTGAGCCATCTCATGGGAAAGTCAAATGAGATTATCATCCCTGGTAGAACGGAGTACAGCAAATGTATATATATATAATATATATATATATGAAAGCACCAATCTGAGAAGATGTTTGTCAAGAAGTCCAAAATCCTGGTACCCGGATGGTACCCAGATAGATAGCGAATGTTTCATAGCTGAGATGGCGAATCCCCCCAGTGAAATGTTTGTTGGTTTAGATTCACCCCATGCTAGTCATATCCCAGATGAACCATAGAATTCAGCAAGTTTTGTGCATCAAAAAAAATCGCTTTCCCAAGATTTCCATCGATTTCCATAATCCTCGGCAAGGTGCCAGTCGTCTGGAAGCTTCCAGTCTTCATTCTCTGAGCATAGCTATAGGCCTGCGCATGGAAATCCTGCGGCTGCGCAACATAACACTGAGGTCAACACTGAGGTTTCCTCTTCACGAGGTAAACCAGCAAGGTAATGGTAATATAGGTTTACCCTCTGGTTATTTAACATAGCCATGGTATAGATGGCCCATAAAAATAGATGGATTTTCCCAGCTAGAAACCTCCATTATAAGGGATTTTCCATGGCTATGTTAAAAAACCAGATGGTATATTAATAGTAGTCATTACCATTACCTTGTTGATCTATAAGTATCTATAGGTTTCTATATCAAGGTTTAGAATAGTAATGAGCAAATAGTAATGGCTAACAAAAATTCTCCAAGTGTATTATATTATCATATATTACTATATATTACATATTATCACCAACATATATTATCCATATAGTTGGCTGGTGATATATCCAATATATAATTAACAATGTGAGGCCCCCAAGATAGCTAAGTTGATTTATAAGTCCAATGTCACTATGGTTTATGGCATGCAAATAACGAACTAGTATTCCTGGGGCCAACTTGTTAACCAACGTTCACATCACAACGGGGGGGCCTCACATTGTAGTTATATCCCCTAGTTATATTCCCAGGATATGGTTGGTTATTCATATGGCATGACAATGCTGAAAGGATCCTCTAAACTCACATTATCCAGAAAAAGTTGGCTGGTGATATATCCAATGTATGGGGATGGGTCAAAACCCTATCCCCCTGTAGTTCACATCAAAATAGCTGGTAAATGGATGTTCATCCCCCTAAAAATGGTATGTATAGGTATTGATCCATAGCCATGTAATTAACAATGATGCTGAAAGGATCCTCTAAACTCACATTATCCATATAGTTGGCTGGTGATATATCCATAAGTTGATTTATAAGTCCAATAACTATGGTTTATGGCATTTATAACTATAGTTACTGGGGCTTATAAACCAACTAACATCACTGGGGGGCCTCACATTGTACCAATGATGATGTTTCTATCCCTGAAAACAACTCCCAAGATCTCCCCTTTTCAATCAAGGCTTCGGTGTCTTCGCGTCGGTCCTTGTTGGGTCGCACCGGCCATTCTTCGTTTTGGGCGATCCACCAACTGCGGAAACCCACCAACCAACAGTTCAAGCTGATGATCTTCAACTCCTGCGTAGTCGATTCCCCTCTGGTAATTTAACAATGGGATTTAATGGGTTTTAATGGTGATTTAATGGTGTTTTAATGGTGTTTTAATGGTGATTCAATGGGATTTAATGGTGATTTAATGGGATTCAATGGTGATTCAATGGGATTTAATGGGATATATGATGGTATAGCCTCTGGTTATGTCAAAATAGCTATTGAAAATGACCATAGAAATAATGGATTTTCCCATTAAACATGGTGATGACTTCCATAGTTTTTTGTATGTTTACCAGGCCGGGTAAACAATAGATGGCATTTTTCACAGGGGAATTGATAAATGATTCTGGTGAGACAACCACCGAAAGAATGGGGTTTTCATAGGGGATCTTTTAGAAGATCGAATACCATCTGGTTATGACTAACATAGCCATGGAAAATCATAATTTTTAATAGGTAAACCTCTATAAATGGACCATCTATACCATGGCTATGTTAGTCATAACCAGAGGGTAAGATCTAATGGAGATGAGCCAGCCCCAAGAAAACAGCCATGGGTGATTTCACCAACACAAATGGGGCATCAAATCAGCCATTTTTTTTTGGGATACCCCTCGCGGGATATCATGGAAATACTCCAGTCCGGAGACGCCACCTGCCGAGCGGGTTGATTTCCAGGACTGGAGAACTTTTTTCGCTGGTCGGAACTGAGGAGGCTATGAATTCCATACCCTCTGGTAATTTAACATAGCTATTGAAAATGACCATTTATAGTGGATTTTCCCATTAAACATGGTGATTTTCCATAGTTATGCTAGTTTACCAGAGGGTAATGTTGGGATGATGTTTGATGAACCAATGGTTTCCATAAGGATGTTTGATGGTTGATGTATGCATCTTCCATCTTTCTAAACGATCCTTTGGATACACTTGGGGATGAACACTGTGCTCCAAAACTGCAGTGGCCAATTGGCCAATGGTTGTCGTGCTTTCGTGCTTTTTCAGCATGTTGAAAAAGATGAGAATACCATGTACCCTCTGGTAAACTAACATAACTATAGAAAATCACCATTTTGAATAGGTAAACCAACTATAAATTGGGTATTTTCAATAGCTATTTTGACATAACCATGTGGTATCTGGTGTCGTCATACATGGCAAGCAGACAAAAATCCCCGAACTAAATGGAGATTTATGGGAAAACCATCAAACCAGATGGTTGATTTTCCAGCCTGCACCACGTTTGATGATTACCGGAGGTTTTTTTTTTATCAGACATTCACCAGCACAACAAGAATACAACAAAGAAACATCTGGTTGGTGGTTTTAACATGTTTTTACCATCTTGAAAAAATGAGTTCGTCAATGGGAAGGATGACATCCCATACATGGAATGGAAAATAATCCATTCATGTTCCCAACCACCAACCAGAAACATGATCCTCAGTCTGCAAAGCATGATCTGAAGACTTCAGACATCTCTTCAGATGTCTTTGGGTCCCTTCTTGGATGCACGGTACCCTCTGGTAAACATACAAAAAACCATGGAAAATCACCATTTTCAATGGGTAAATCTGCGAACTAAATGGCCATGTTCAATAGTTTTTTGTATGTTTAGCAGAGGGTACCATCAATGAATCAATATCACGTCTCCATTTTGCCACAATTTTGGTCAGGCGCTCTTTAAATTATTTTTCCGTTTATCGTCATGCCGATGCTACCTCCCATTTTGTCGCCAAATAACCATCACGTCAACCACGATATATCACTATATCACTACACATCATGCGATTGTATCCCCAGTCTATCTCCAGTTTTACCGTAAATTTTCTCCAGCTTCTGGTCATAGAAATTGCCTCCTCCCCCACAGGCTGGTGACCCCCAGTTATGTTTGTTAGTTTATAAACCCCATTAACATCCATGAAAACTAGTTCGTTATATCTACCATAAACCATAGAATTCAGCCACTTATGAGGTATAAACCCCATTAACTGTAGTTATATCAAGTTATATCTACCATAAACCATCAACTTCAGCCACTTTTTTTTTAACCAGGCACCTGGTTTCGCAACGCGAAGCAACGGGGGCCCGGTCCTCGGGAGGGTTCACACAGAGATCCAAACTCCGGCGCTGTGCCCAGGGATCCTCCAAGCGAAAGTCGCTGGAAAAGCCGTAAGGCTCGTCCTGCCGAAGCGCGACCAAAGCTTGGTAGAGATACAGGAAGGGCCCCCAAAAGATAGGTAAGTTGATTTTCGAAACATATGCTAAGTGGGATATATGGTGAAGATTTATCAAAATATACTGGTTGGTGGTATACCTACCCCTCTGAAAAATATGAAAGTCAGTTGGGATGATTATTCCCAATATATGGAAAAACAAAATTCATGTTCCAAACCACCAACCAGGATTGTATATGAACTACTTAGATGGGCTGATCTATTATAGATGGTATAGTTATAGTATAAATGTCATATTATACCTCCGTGTTATGTTGAACGTTATGTTGGAACTACTAAACTGTTGGGCCATAGGAAAGATTAGCGATTCCTGGTTAACTGGGGTTTGTTTACCACCAAAAAAACCCATTATAATCCATTTACTAACTAGTTAATTATCGTGATCTATCATGGTATAGTCTTTTGTTATGATATGGTATAAATGTCATATTATATACAGTCATATATGATAAATATATACTACAGTGATCTAATATATTACGTAGTGTTGTTACTCTTTTAAAATCTGGTAGCTGGTAATATAATGTAATATGGTAATATAGTCATATTTGGTGATATAGTATAACATAGTCATATTGGGTGATATAGTACTACAGTACTATAGTAATATATAGTAATATACAATTATTAGTATTCAGCATCAAATGGCACTAGTGGCTTCCAAGCCCTGTGAAGAACCGCCACTTTAGGAACCAATAGCTGGCGAACATCACCATCAGAAATGCGGAGCGTTACTGTGGATGGGCCAGCGAAATCCGATAAACCACTGGATGGTTGACCTTGGATGGTTGAAACCCTACAATGTGAGGCCCCCCAGTTCTAAGTTGGTTTATAAGCCCCAGTAACTAGTTCGTTATAAGTACCATAGACCATAGTTATTGGAGTTATAAACCAACTTAGATATCTTGGGGGCATCACATTGTATATATAATGGGATGTTTACCATCTATCAACTGGTGATTCGGATTTCGCTGGCCCATCCACAGTGTTACTGGAGATATCCACTAATGGAATTCGATGAATCCGATCCATATAGCTAGATAGAAATTGCGTGTGCGACCTTGGATTGCTGAGATATTTATGACCCAGACTTAAAGGTAAATCTTGGTACCCTCTGGTAAACTGTTACATAACTGTGGAAAGATCGACCATTTTCAATGGGTAAATCAACGAACTTTCTATGACCATTTTCAATAGCAAACTGTTAAATTACCAGAGGGTAATACTGTTTTATATCTTTGATTTTTTTCAGAAGTGAATAAACACTAAAGAATTGAATCGCAGCTGGGTTGATGGACCAAGAATAGAAATGATGCGCGAAATATAAGGGAAATCATCCCCAAATAGCTATACCGCACAAAAAATGTATTCGGTTCCCATCTTGGGAATGGTCATAGCACCATGAATTATGGATTACAATGGCCAATATAAGAATTTTGAATAATGGGGGATGACTATAAGCAATGTACCATGCTTAGACTATAGCACGTCTAGGGATTCACAAAATAGGAGATCCTCAAAACCATTGCTTATTAATACAACCACTATAAATAGCTATGTTGTAGCGATATAAAACCATATAGCTATTGAAATGGTACTAATCCCATCGTAACATTCAACAACCTCATTCTATGGTCCCAGTCATGGTGTTTTTATCACCTTTTGGTTTCAATGGGATCCATGAAATCAACCATGCAGCTGTTGGGGATTCTATACTGGTTGGTGGTTGAGCCTACCCCTCTGAAAAATATGAAATATGAGTTTGTCAGTTGGATTTATTATTCCCAATATATGGAAAGTCATAAAATTCATGTTCCAAACCACCAACCAGTGTTTGAATGATTCCGAACCACCAACCAGTATAGATCCCAGCATTTCTGGAAACCCGCAAGTTGGCGTCAGATCCGCACTGTCCTTGGACACGCCGAGCAGCGGATTTGTGCCAGTCACCACCATGCCAAAGACCACCAACACATCCTTGGGATAGCACTGATCCCAGCTGCAGTTGGGGGTAAATGGGGTAACTATAATTAGTGGTAAAAAGTATTGTTTTTTTCCCGTTCTGGCGATCATTTACCTATAATGACTTGGAGTAACCCTGGCAAATGACAAGAGTTTCACCATGAAAAACTCTGGATTCATCGATGAAACATACATTTTTTGATTGAATGGAACAAGAATCTGGGTGAATGGAGTTTCACTCATTGTTTGTTGATTGACCTGTCAAGAAACATGGATTCAATCAACAACACCTAGATTTTCACCAACATATGGTGGGTTCCTATGGGGGTACTCCCCAGCTCTCATCCATTTTTGATTGGGATTTTCCATTATAAACCACCCGTATTTGGGTACCGCCATATAAGGAAACCCCCATATTTTAACCAAGAAAACATGCGGTTCAACCACAAAAAGGTGGCATCTTAACCAACTGAAAGTGGGTTTGGTGTACCAACGGACCCGCAAGATTGGGATAGGGACCCACACAACTGGTTGCTTGGTGATGCAGTGGAGGTGCAAAAACATAAAAAACTCAAAAGTTGGGATACAACCCCAACAACTATGGTTACCCTAAGGTAAAGTAACATAGATTCGTGGAAAACCAATGCTTTCCTGTTCCCAAAATGGTGTACAGTACTTCAATGGTGGGTTTTGCACATCTATGTTAGTTAATCCAAACGGTGTATATATATATATATGTATACATGTATATATGTCTGTATGTATATATGTATACATGTATATATGCATAGTTGTATATATGTATACATGTATCTATGTATATATGTAAATATGCAAATATGTATAAATGTATATATGTCTACATGTCTATATGCATATATGTATACATGTATACATGTATATATGTATACATGTATACATGTATATATGTATATATGTATATATGTATATATGTATATATGTATATATGTATATATGTAAATATGTATATATGTATATATGTATACGTGTATATATGTAAATATGTATACATGTAAATATGTATAATTATATGTAAATATGTAAACATGTATATATATATAAAATTATATGTAAAGATGTATGTATATGCAAATATGTATAAATATAAAAAGTGCAAATATTTGTATATATGTAAATATGTAAATATGTATATATGTATATATGTATATATGTAAATATGTAAATGTGTATATGCAAATATGTCTAAATGTATGTATGTCAAAATGTATGTATGTAAATGTGTTTATATGTATACATGTTTCTATGTATATATGTAAAAATGTAAACATGTATATGTATATATGTTGATATGTTTATGTGTATATATGTATAAATGTATATTTGTAAATATGTATATATGTAAATATGTATATATGTCTATATGTCTATATGTAAATATGTAAATATGTAAATATATAAATGTAAACATGTATATATATATGTAAACATGTCTATATGTCTATATGTCTACATGTATATATGTCTATATGTCTATATGCCTATTTGTATATATGTAAATATGTATTTATATATATGTTAAAATGTATTTTATGTATAAATGTGTATATGTCTCAATGTATATATGTATAAATGTGTAAATGTATAACAGTTTAAATCAATACATATGTATATATTTAAAAAACACATAAGTATATATGTATGTTATACATTGTTGACACTAATCTCCAGCAACTCATGGATGAAGGCTTATGGCCACAGATCTCCGCTTTTTTGCTCCATTTTCCATGTAGAGATCATGGATGACATAGATGTTACGAAACACCAGATAAACCATAAGTAGATACGTTTATCTAGAGAAGTTTAGACCATAGATAAACCATCAGTACATTGAGGGCAGGTAGATACCCAGATACCTCCACACATGTCCTAGATATATCTGTGCTTTACTAATGCGGTAAACCCAATCATATATTAAATCGTAGTAGACCAGCTTATTCATTTCTTAATATCTACTATTAACAGCTATAACTGTTATAACCCATATAGGTCGTTAGCCTCTATCATCCACAGTTATTACCCGTAGACAAGCACTAAGAAGATACCATATCATAGATGTTACTGACTCATACGTTTCAACCATAGATAAACCAGAGATACTCAGATACCATCATCCATCATGCATGGTTAACCATATAATCGTAGATTATAGAGAGCCATAGATAAACAATAGATAAATCACAGGCAAACCACACTTAACAGTTAAATTCCAAATGCAGCCTTCTACACTGGTGCCTCCATTTGCTGCAAACAACATAATGCAAAGGTATGAGCAGTGAGTGATCACGCATGCTCTTTGCCAAGTCTTCGGCTCTAGCATTTTACAATGAAAGCTTATTTTCAAGCAATTGAGCACAAGGTCGTGTTTGAATACCTTAAATAACCAAATTCCAATTCTAACCGATTAAGTTTTCAACTCAAGCAAGAACGAGCACGCGGTCGTGAATCTCTTTTTCGCCTCTCAGGCGGATGGTTGTCGCGGGGGCCACGCAGGCCTGCGTCACAGCTTTGCTGACGAGGCTGGAGAATTGCACCTGGCAGCCATAAAGTTGCTTCACCGTTCAAGCTTTTTCTAGCACAAGGAAACGTTTGCCACCCTGCCTTGCAAGTGCCGTTCAAAGGACGCAGGACTACAGCATCTTCAAATGAGGCCTCTGCAGTATACGGCAATGCAAATGCAAGCAAATGGCCGTTTTCAGTGTTTCCTGTTTGGCTTTTCGACATACGAAAGCCTAGGTTTCCCGACCTGCCAACGAAACCCATTTTATTGGGCGAGGCCTGCTACCTGCCAGCTATAACAAACCGAGAAAACACACGAATCAGTAACTTGAGCTTTCCAGGCCTGCTGCATGACGTCTTGTCTGTGAGCAGGAAGTGAAAGGACCTGTAATGTACGGGAAACCAGCTTAGCTGCCTCAGGCCTTGCTAAGTTTGGCAAACAAGACTGGCCTCCGCAGAGCGGTTCCCTGCTGCCCACTTTACGTCCTCAAATGCCTGCCGGAAGTCATCTCAGGGAGGAGTGCAGAGTTCGCTGCATCGCTGGCACGTAGCTACCTATGGTTTCGTAGTTGCAAACGAGCGGCAATACTACCACGGAGGACGCCCTGTCGACCGGGCTCGATAAAAACTCGGGGGCCCAGTCCGTAAACCGCTCGGCTCTGGTCCAGATGTAATTGGAACATCAAGACCAGGAACCGTGCTGGTCATATCCCCAATCCTGGAAGGCAAATCGAATGCTGTTGTTTGCATTGCTCCTGTCGTTTCATCTGATTCCCCGTCGGTCCTCCTTTAAAGGGTGTAGAATAGTTTTTGGTTTTTTTATTGCCTCAGGTGTCAGATTTTTTTTTGCCCTTCTTTCCCGGTACCATTTGCCTTGTATTTGCAACAGTTTGGAACTAGAACCTGTCATTTTGCATGGTATTTGCTACATTTTGGCATGGTCACTTTGCCTTTTTGCATGGTATTTGCTACATGTGGCCATGTTCGCCTTCATTTTGCATGGTATTTGTCACATTTTGGCATTTCAACCTTTCATTTGCATGGTATTTGCTAATTTTGGTGCTTCAAACGTTCTCATGTGGGTCTCTTGAGGGTTCTTTAGGCTTTCATGTACGGTTTCGTATAAGGTTTCATAATTTAGGGTTTCATTTAGGGTTTCATGTAGGGTTTCATTCAGGGTTTCATTTAGGGTTTCTTTAGGGTTTCATTCAGGGTTTCATTTAGGGTTTCATTTAGGGTTTCTTTACGGTTTCATTTAGGGTTTCATGTGGGGTTTCTTTAGAATTTCATTTAGTTTTTTTTTCCGGTTTCATGTAGGGTCTCTTATCAGGATTTCTTATCAGGAGTTCTAAACGTTCAAATGGGTTTCTTTGGAGCTTCTTTAGGGTTTTATTTAGGGTTTCTTTAGGGGTCCTTTAGGGTTGTCGTTTAGGGTTTCTTGAGGGTTTCAGTGTGGGTTTTTTGGGGTCTCATTTAAGGTTTCTTTAGGGTTTCATTTAGAGTTTCTTTAGGGTTCATTTAGGGTTTCTTTCGGGTTTCATTTAGGGTTTCTTTAGGGTTTCATTTAAGGTTTCTTTAAGGTTTCAATTTAGGGCTTCAATTTAGGGTTTCAACTTAAGGTTTCATTCAGGAGTTCATTTAAGTTTTCTTTAGGGTTTCATTCCAGGGTTTCTTATCAGGATTTCTTTTCACGATTTCTAAGCGTTCAAGTGGGTTCCTTTAGGGTTCCTTTAGGGTTTCATTTAGGGGGTCGTTTAGGGTTTCTTTCGGGTTCCGTTTAAAGTTTCTTTTAGGGTTTCTTTAGGATGTCAATTTAGGGTTTTCAGCTAAGGTGTCAGTTAAGGTTCATTTAGTTTCTTTTTTCAGAGTGTTGTTTAGGGTTTCTTTGGGTAGTTATTTAGGGTGTCATTTAAAGTTTCTTGAGGGTTTTTTGTATGGTTTCTTTAGGGTTAATGTATGGTTTCTCTAGGGTTTATTCATGGTTTCTTTAGGGTTCATGCAGGGCTTCATGTAGGGTTTCTTATCAGGATTTCTTTAAGCTTTCTTTGGGTTTTACCTAGGGTCTCTATAGGGTTTCATTTAGGATACAACGTTATCGGATACAAACAGAACAGAATAAAGCAAAAGAAAATGAAAAACAAAGAGACAGTAAAGACAGGAAGCAAAGAAGCAAAGGAGCAGGAAATAGAGCAGCAAAAACACATGACTGAAGAAAAGAAAAAGTCGACTAGTAGAAGTAGAAAGGTACAGAAGTACAAAAGCAGAGAAGCAGGGGAAACAGAGAAGCAGAAAAGCAAAGCAGGAAAAGCAAAAAGCAGAAAAGCAGAGACGCAGGAAAAGCAGAGAAGCAGGGAAAGCAAAAAGCAGAAAAGCAGGAACAGCAGAGAACCAATGTAAGCAGAGAAGCAGCAAAGCAGAGAAGCAGAAAATCAGAGAAACAGGAAAGCATAGAACCAGGAACCCCAAAAAAATCCAAGACCTGCCGCGAAAAAAACGTCCAAAAATAGAAAGCCCTCCTCCTTTAAATGCCACATGCGAACTGTGGGCGGAAGGATTGCGATCACCCGGTGGTCGCCTACGCGCAGACGCCCAACTTGATTGCAACTCACAAGTGCATGATAGCAAGTGTAGTTGCCAGGCCTGGCTTTGCTTGTGCCACCGCAAACCAAAAAGGCAACAAGCGGCGAAGCCGACCAGGACAACCACGGGGAGTCCTGCGCATATGAAATTTGAATGTTGCCTTCTTGCAATCATGAAAACTTGCTGAGACGACGACGCGCGGGTTTTCGGCAGCATGCTGCCAAATACATTTGACAGCAGTGCCTTTTCGAGTCATGCAGAACTTGAGCTCCGCGGCACCCCGAAACAGGCAACCTGCAACACGCTGCCCTTTGAATTTATATGGCTGTGCCCTTTGATTTCGTCTATTGCTGATCAAATTCCCGGCCTGTCGGGTAGTGTCTTCCGGAGAAGCGGCCGCCAAAGGTATAAGGCAAGGCAGCAACGTAGAATCTCCTACATGTAAATCACAGATAACAAAATTTGGCAGTTTTGGTTTTACTGGAGCCAACCCTTCCTAGGTTCTACTTGCCCTTTGCACCACCTTCTCCAGCCTTCCAAGCTGCCCGCTCATGTATCCAATAGGGGTTTCGATACTGGGGCCAACCCTTCCTAGGTTCTACTTGGGCCAGCCCTTACCCCGCCTTCTTAAGCCATCCAAGCGGCTAGGTTCTACTATCTATAGGGCCCTTTTGCACCACCTTCTCCAGCCTTCCAAGCTGCCGGTCATGTATCCATTAGGGGTTTCGAAACTACCGTTTGGCGATTTAATGGATGTTAATCCCTCTGCGTACGGATATGTATGGGTTATCAGGAGGTATCCGATGGTATCTGACGCTGGCGGGTATCATAAATACTATATCGTGAAAAAAACATAGTCCATAATAACAGTTCATACCCCGCAGACCCCTGCCTAGCCTTGTGCGCAGCTTTCCCTAAAAGGGGGGTCGGCGGCACCAGGGCGTTAGCCCTTTTATAAACCATAGATATGTTGTCCATCCATATATAAAACCATAAATTAAAAAAACCAGAGATATACATAGAAAAAATCGAAAAACCATACATCATCCATAGACAAACCATTTTTAAGCTATATATTTGCTACGTATATATGGAAAATATCTTTGCCATCGCCGAAGCCACTGCTTGCACCTCGGGTGGCAGAAGGGGTTCAGAGGTGGTGGTCACCGCCAGGCGCCGTGCTGACAAGGCCTGGGACCCGTTGGAGTTGGAATGGAAACGAACGTGTTATCGATATAAATATATTATATATATAATTATAATAATATATATATATATGCAAAATAGTAATAGATAACATGTTAAAATTATAATAGTCAAAAAGTTATAGCTAGTTATATTATGGATATTGTTGCTAACATGTTATAGTTGTAATAGTTAAATACCTACATGGTTATATAGTGTATCTAAAAAGTGTATACGAGTTATACATGGTTATCATGAAGTTGTTAAAAACCAATATATTTGTAATATACAAAATAGTAAAAGGTAAACACCATAATAGTTAAATAGTTAAAACTAGTTATATGGATCTAAATAATAGTTGATTGTTTTGGATTTAAATGTGATCCAATAGTGTTTTAAGACATGAAAAAAACTAAGTGTTTCAAGAGATATGGTATGGATCATTAACGTACTGTTTTAATAACAATTGTATGTTAAAAACGGTTCAAACACTGGATCGATACATCATATATTTAAATATATGATCCATGTGTAATAGTTGAATGGAATTCTCAATCTTATGACTTTTAAATGGTAGAAGTAGATTCACTAGTGTTTGAAGATATGGCGGTTGATCTAAATTCCTTTATCTGCAAACGACCATTCTTCGCGAAACAAATCCCCTTCTCAGGACAGGTTGTTTCTGATTAGGCTAATTTTTTGTAAGGCTTACTGGGCCACTCCCTTCAAAATGCACTTTGACTTTCGCCCACTCCTTCGCAGAACTTTCACGGAACTTTCGCGAAATTACCCCTATCCGCAGACCCTAGCGATCAGCAGGAGGCGCATCAAAGGAAAAGCAAACACCAGGGGCCTTAGTGTCTGGCTCTTGCAAGACCTCACTTTTGGAAGTTTGGCTGCTGCATTTGGAGCTTGTTTCTTGAGACTTCAGAAAGCAACGTTAGGCAGTACCGGCGGGTGCAAGGATGTGCTTCAAGACCATGGTATTTGGCTGTGGCGAAGCTTCACCTTTGGAAGCTTGGCTGCTACCTATGAAGGGAAAGGTAAATGTGCGGTACCATTCTCCTGCCGGACCCCCGGGCGGCAGGGGGTGGTAGCCCTGAACAAGCTGTAATGTATACAATGATAGTTATTCATAATATCCAACTTTCGCGAAACTTTCGCGAATAAAAACTATTCTTTCGCGAACTCGCAAAAAAAATCCGCGAGGGTTCCCAGCATAATATGAACGGTCTTCGCAATTAAAACTCTTTACAAGGACCTTTTGATCGATCACCACATGAATAATTCAATAGTTTTTGACCTGATGATTCAATAGGAATGATAGCAAATATGGATAGATGATGATTCAATAGTAATTCACTAACCTGGAATAATAAACGGACTTTGTTGGCAACATTTCAATCTACTTTACCTTTGTTTCTACACCCAAATATAAGATATATAAGGGTTTCCTGTGGAATTTCGCCTCAAACCACTTCTGGGAAGCTTCCAAAGTTCGAGATAGATGCGAAAAAACCCGGCAAACTGGTTGATCAATTCTGGTAAACTAACATATACACAGTTTGAATCGAAGTTTTTCCGCAGTTTGTATGCTTTGACATACATGGTAGCCTCCAACAAACATACCAAAAAGATGTGGAACGCCAATGCCGCCCATGCAGCCCAGAGAAAATCTACATGGTTATCCATATCTATGGTCATTTACATTTAATGTAACCATGGTCATAATATTTATATCATGAAACCAAATTATTATGGTCATTTTGATACATGTAATCTACATGGTCATAATTAATTAAATGTATCAAAAGCAGAAAACACACATAGCCTCTGGTAATGACTGTTACAGTTTGCGAACTTGAAGCCATGGCCCAGCCGAAAGTTCGTGGATTTACCCATTGATAGCATGGTGGATCTTTCCCTGGTTTTGTGTATGTCTACCAGAGGGTAAGTTATTAAAATCACAATGTTCAATAGTTAAACCATCTATAAAACACACATCAGAGGGTAATACAAAAATTGTCCATTGAGAATGGGAGTGTTCATGGTTGATGATACTGGTTGGTAATATCAAAACCAGAAAACACACATAAAACCATTGAATCATAGACATGACATGTTTTTTTTAAACATACGTGATGTCCGTTGTGATGTTCGCGTGGCACTTTACGGCACCGCTTTACGGCACCTGCGACGCACCATCCAAGCGAACGTGGCCCAAAGAAGCTCCTGGTGATTTAATGGTGATTTAATGGTGATTTAATGATGATTTAATGGGATATATGATGGTATAGCCTCTGGTTATGTCAAAATAGCTATTGAAAATGGCCATAGAAATAGTGGATATTCCCATTGAAAACGGTGATTTTCCATCGTTTTTTGTATGTTTACCAATGACTTACTGCTGCGTTTGACGTAGGGTTGCTGGATGGGTTGCTGGGGCAATGGGATGATTTTAGATTACGAATGTGATGATTACTGGATCTGGTAAACGTTTACGTAGCGAATTGAACTGGAAAGATCCACCATGCTATTAATGGGTAAATCAACTATTTCGACTGGGCCATGGCTTCAAGTTCGCAAACTGTAACAGTCATTACCAGAGGGTACACATGACGGGTTTCCTCAAATTTGGGGTAGCCCGTTTTCTTAGGAAAGCCAGCCTCATATGATTGTTGACTGGTGAATTCATGGAACAGATGAACAGATTTTCCGTGTTGATTTACCATCTGGTTATGACTCACAGTTCGCCATGGTTTTTCGATGGCCCTAATCGAAATAGATGGTTTACCGTTCTTAATAGCATGGTGGATCTTTCCATGGCTATGTTAAATAACCAGAGGGTATATGATATTTCAGAATATTTAAGATGCATGGATCATCGATGTTATTTCTCATGTTCCAATACTGTTGATTGATGTTCCTATCATCTGCAATGTGATGCCCCCCAAGATATCTAAGTTGGTTTATAACTCCAATGTCACCATGGTTTATGGTACTTATAACTAACTAGTTACTGGGGCTTTTGTTAACCAACTAACATCACTGGGGGGCCTCACATTGTGCCAGGGGTAGGTCCAATCCTCTCTTTCTTGGTTCATTCGATGACCGATTACGCGCAATGGAACCAACGCCATAAAATCTTGGACGATGAGCAGCATCAAACCACCCAATTCCTGTTTAAATACGTGAAAAAATCACATTTCAGCCCTTCTGTCAGCTCGATGTGCGGAATCATTATGACACCATGTCAAAGTTCTTTTCCAGAATCCAATATCATCTGGTTGGTGGTTGAGCCCTACCTCTCTGAAAAATATGAAAGTCAGTTGGGATGATTATTCCCAATATATGGAAAAAATGTTCCAAACCACCAACCAGTCATCCTTTCTGATCTATTTCTGCTCGCTTTTTTTTTAAATGCGCTAATGAATGTTTTCGCATCCTTCACAGGCGACAAGTCAACAACTCACATGTTTTATGCTCGGGGCCATCCCTCCAGTATCGTCACCTCGAAAACAACGTCCATTCTCAATGGAGAATTTTTGTATTACCCGGCCTGGTAAACATACAAGAAACCATGGAAAGATCCACCATGGTTCATGGGAAAATCAACTATTTCGACTGGGCCATGGCTTCAAGTTTGCTGTGTTAGTCATTACCAGAGGGTTAAATGATGGATACAACTCAAGATACATGTTCCATAGATCTGGGTAAATCAAAACAATTGACCTCTTTTGAAGAATCGAATGGGATAATCAATTTTTACCCATCATTCCAGTGAGGGAGAACAGTGAGGTCGTTATAAGGTTCCCTGATAGCTTATGCATGGATAACGTGAATCAGAATTGGATGATGGGAAAAAATTAACCGGAAACCTCTATATTTGCTGGTAAAAACCATGGTTTCCGGTCAAAATTTCCCAACAAAACCAATCCATGGTGTGACAATTACTGTGGGTAAAAGAATGCCATTTGCACCATCCCCCAGTCATCACCATAAAATTATAGGTGGTATGTTTACCATTCCCAGTCATGGATGGTAAAAATGGCATTGTTTTAGCCAGATTAAACCGTCATATCCCATTAATCGTCCCACCATTTTTAATGGGAAAATCCACTATAACTGGCCATTTTCAATAGCTATGTTAAATTACCAGAGGGTATATCCAAATGATACTCCCAGTATTTGTTGATGCCTCAATTCCATTAAAATCCCAAAAAAACATCCTATCTCGTTGGTGGTTTTTCGCCCTACCCCTCTGAAAAATATGAAAGTCAGTTGGGATGATTATTCCCAATATATATCAATATATGGGTTTAGCACTCAAGATAGACTAGCTTCCGGTAGTCAAACATTTTTCCAATCTGGTTGGTGGTGCAATAACCATCTTGAAAAATATGAGTTCGTCAATGGGAAGGATGACATCCCATGTATGTATTATGGAAAATTTTCAAGTCATGTTTGAAACCACCAACCAGCCATTACCATCCTATTAAACAATGGTTTTCACCCCATGAAAAACAATGGAAAACACCTGAAGGATGGTGCCGCCCAGTTATAAGTTGGTTTGTACACCCCATTAACTATAGTTATATCTGCCATAAACCAATTGTTATGAGAGTTATAAACCAACTTAGCTAACTATGGGGCACCACCTTGTGAAGATCAGCAAACCCGGGTCCTCTGTCTGAGCTTTCGCAGGGTTGCACTCCGCAGTAGCAGATCTCTTGCATCAAACAAGTCGCAGCGTTCGCAGCGTTCGCATTGATCACCACGACATCTGGCACCTGACGCGAACTCACACTAAAAATGCCACAAAATGGGGGATAAATCACCACGAATTTTGTGTTTTTTTTGGGGGAAAATATCTGAAAAAACCGGAAAGCATATCGATTTTCCCATGAAGATCATGGGGTTTTCCGGTTTAGAAATTTTCGCTTAAACCAATCCATTGAGAAATTCATCATGAAACATCGTGATTTAAACTAAGAGAATGGTGATGTAATAACTATCATAGGATAATATTTTGTATGATGGGGATACAATGGGATAAAATGTGGAATGTATAACCCACACAAAAATGACCTGTGGGCTTTTTGAAAACTGTGGATATACCCATCAAGTGCATTTCTAAGGAAGAGGATGATTAATCGGATAATTAGCATCTGCTAATTTAACGTAGCTATGGACAATCACCATCTTTTATACGTAAATAATCAATGTTTCAGGATCCTAAAATAGAGGTACTGTACCATATAAGGCCATACTTTCTGGGGATATTCCCTTACAAAGGCCTTTTTTCTATGGTAGGTACCTCAAATTTAGGTTCCTGAAATTCCCATTGAAATAATCATAAAAACTAACATAGCTATGGAAAATCATCATTTTTAATGGGTAAATCCACGAACGAAATCACCATTTTCAATAACTATCTATGTATGTTTACCAGGCCGGGTAAATGGACCATTTCCCATTCTAATCAGAGAATTCCATGGGAGAGTCATGGGGGTATACGGTCATCCCGCCCCTGCGAATGGGTTTCGAGACAAAACCCAGAGCTATTTTCATGGGGAAAAAGGCCATCCCCGAACTTATGGCAAAATGAAGAATGCAACTTGACCAGGGTGCATGTATACTATATCTATCTATCTAGCTACCTATCTATCTTATCTTGTCTTGTCTTATCCCATCTTATCTTATCCTATCTTATCCTATCTATCTATCTATCTATCTAGAAATATATCCATCTCTCTCTCTCTATATATATATATATATCTATACTTATCCCTATAATCCTATCTCTATATATTAAATTATTTGGGCCCTCTAAAACAAAGGATGTTGGTGAAATGTTGCTTCACCCCCATGGCACTTGGGAGAGTTTCCCCCGGAGCAACGGAGGCAACTTTCTGGATTTCCCTTCTGAAAAAACAGGGCTTTTCCCATCAAGCTCCGGCTGAACCAATCCATTTGTTATATCGGCAGCAAGAGGATGGATCGGTGGAAGGCCAGAAATTGGGTACCCGGCCTGGTAAACTAACAGTTTGCTATGGAAAATGGCCATAGAAATAGTGAGTTTTCCCATTCAAAGTCGTGATTTTCAATAGCTTTTTGTATGTTTACCAGAGGGTATGGGTCGTTCTGCGAAAGCCAAAGAAATAGATGGTTTAGCACAAAAAAGATAGACTGCCTCTGCTCCGGTAACCAAAGATGTTTCCAATCTGGTTGCTGGTGCAATGTGCCCATCTTGAAAAATATGAGTTCGTCCAACATCATGAACAATTCCTTGGGTGTAGCGCAATGAAACAAAAACTCCGGACATTCCATGCTTGACATATCTGGTTGGTGGTATACCTACCCTTTAAAAAAAAAGAGTTCGTCAGTTGGCGTTCACAGATCCAGTCCCAGAACGTTTTCGAAAGTTTGGGGGATTGGGAGAGGCCCAAAAAATATCCGATAGCTTCATTTGACGGACGGCGTAACGGTTACGTGTGGTTTATGGGGATATAACCAGAAAATGTTTTTTAAAGCCGACAAACAGAAAGTTTGGGGACCTTAAAAGCTTCTATGCCCCCATCATTTTCCAAGAAAATGGATTCCATTCCATGTTTTTTCGGGTTCCGGCAATTTCCGTTCCCGGTCCGCCTGCAGCATGACTTTCAGGTCTTCTTGCCCAGTGTCCCAGTGAAGGGTTTCCAACACCGAGGCCGAAGCTCCTCGGAGTTTTCAGACGCCATGGATCCATAGGTCATGACGAAAATCCCAGTAGGGACAGCCGGACAGGCCCAAAAAATGTGGAAAACATCATCCAACTAACATCCATCCTGGGATGATAGTAGACCTGGGATGATAGTAGATGTATCACTATCCATGAAATCCATGTCACTTTTTTTGTCAATTTCCTTCTGAGAACACCCTCAAAGATACAAAAAACTATGAAAATGGCCCAGTCGAAATCCTTGATTTACCAATTAAAAATTGTGGATCTTTCCATCGTTATGTAACAGTTTACCAGACAATATCGCACTGGTGAGGTCATCGTTGGCCCTGGGACCCCCACTTTTCTCCGATACCCCCAGAAAGCGACAGAATCAATAGTTCCATGTACTATAGCTGATCAATCATCATAACTCATCAAAAAACATCGTAAGTTGTCATAAATCACAAGAAATCATCATAACTTTTCATAAATCGTCATAAATGACCATGAATTATCATAAACCATCAACAACCCATCATAAATCACCATAAATCATCAAACATCATCATAAATCATCAACAATCATGATAAATAATCATAAATCAACCGCCAGTCCATAGCTGGTAGCATGAAAAAAAACTGACCGCACTGCAATCAGAGATGCTCGCTGAAACTTGAAGTGTTCCTCCTGGGAACAGCTTTTGCAGATGCTCTTCCTCAGCGACGAACGGCATGTTAAAGACTGGCCGTCGATGATTCGAAGGGAACATCTAGGGGAAAACCTCTAGGGTTGTGACCTTTGAATCTGGGCATTTTTCCGGCAGATTTTCCCGGACAAAAACACAAGTTCATGGAACCAGAACGAAGTTCTTATCCCCCCGTGTTTTGAACACTGAAGACATTCTCATACGTTCTTAACCATTCGCAGCCCCATCATCATATTCGGTATTTATCCGATTCTCCCAATGATTCCCATAAAATGGTTGATTTAATCATGCTGAATCCCACTTTATTAGAGGAAATCCCATCTAATCTCATCTTATATCCCATCATCACCATCTGCCCCCCCAGCTATAAATGGATTGTAATCCAATTAACTATGGATATATCACCCATAAACCATAGTTATCGGACTTATAAACCAACTTAGCTAACTATGGGGCACCACCCTGCATCATCATCATCATCATCATGATCATCATCATCATCATCATCATCACCATCATCACCAACAGCGACAACAACAACCGATGGAGGCTGCGTCCCAGAAACTGCCTAAGCCAAGCATGGTCTGAACTCAACTTTATAGATATCTTGATATATGAATAGTAACCACATAATATATGTATACATTATAAGTCCATTATGTGTATCTTACAATAAAAACCACAGGAGTCACCATATATATATATATCCATATATGCAAAGATAATATATAATATATATATAATATAATATAATATAATATAATATAATATAAGATAATATAATATAATATATAAAGTATAAAATATTATAAATAAAATATAAAATATAAAATATAATATATAATATAATATATATATATAATATAATATAATATAATATAATATATATAATATATAAAATATTATATATTATATACAATTAATATTTATACATATGATCTTTAAAAATGAATCACCATGTAGTAACGTGAAACCCTGGTGATGGTTTGCCGGTGTTGACCCTAAACCCCACGGCGTTTTCCACCGCGGCTCTAAGTCGCTGGACAAGAAGTGTTGCGTTTCCAAACCATCGCGGCCGACAACACGTGTCTGCACCTGATCCAACATCAACTAAGCATAGAATTTGATGGGTCTATTGACCTAGTGTTACTATATCCCATAGGATCCATGTATGCTATATATATGGTAACATTTACCATCAATATACCCCAACTGTTAGCATATATACCATACATGGATCCTATGGGTATTGGGATGAAGAAACAGGACAAAAAGGGCTACCTCAACATCGCTATTCCATGCTTCGATCATTTACTCATCTCATATTGTTGGTGTTGGTTGTTTCAATGTTTCATGTCCCTTTCTGCATAAAATGCACAAAACTTTCAATTGATAAAGCCGTCGAGTGAATCCCCAGTGTTGGATGCCGTAAATTGGGACTTCAAAGTTTGTTCGTGATCAGTACCCTCTGGTAATGACTAACATGGCTATTGAAAATGGCAATAGAAATAGTGAATTTTCCCATAAAAAAATGTGATTTTCCATAGCTATGTTAGTTTACCAAAGGGTAACATGTTGGTTTAATCAATAATCATTAAGTGATTCAAAATGATTTCATCAGTTCATTAACACTCTTTAACCAGTTCCAATTTCATAGTTTCATCACAATCCACCAAGTCTTGTGCTTGCCACAAAACAAACATACAAGGTGGTGCCCCCTCCAGTTATAAATGAGTTATAATCTCATTAACTATAGAAATATCACCTATAAGCCTATTAACCATAGTGACATTGGAGTTATTTTAGCGCCAGCGAATCGCTTCACGAGGCACCATCCTGTGCGAAACACCCCAGGCCTGATAGTTGGTGCAGTCGGCAGAAGGTACTGCCGTCGAATCATGTGAGAAGCATTCGCCTCGCTGCCGCTGAAGCGGAAAATTCATGGATTGGTTTTGTTGGGAACATCGAAACCGGAAACCATGGTTTTGACCGTGAAATATAGGGGTTCCCTATAAATTTTCCCATCCAATTCTATGATGCAAGCTATCGATTGGTTGTTGCACATAGCTCGGTAAATGAAAAATTGTGTATAGTAAGTGTAAGACTATGCTTATGAATACTGAAACAGGGGTCTATAAACTAACAACTACCCTCTGGTAAACAAACATGGCTATGGAAAATCACCATCTTGAATAGGTAAATCAACTATTTCAATGGGCCAGCAGACTGTTAGTCATTTGTCATTACCAGAGGGTATCATTTGAAAAGCCTCAGCTACTGAAAGCACTTGGTTGGTGGTTGACCTACCCCTCTGAAAAATATGAGTTCGTCAATGGGAAGGATGACATCCCATATATGGAAAATAATCCAGTCATGTTCCAAACGACCAACCAGATTAAGACTTGGGCTCCATGGTGGATATATGACATGATATAACTATACCTAAGGGGATGTGTTCATGTCTTTTTTTTAATGGGATAACCATGATGATGGTATGGGCTTTGGAAGCATCAAGCATCGCCGTTTTGCATGCTACTCATGAGGTGCGCCTCCAGCTATGTTGGTTTAGATTCACCGACGAGAAATTCGTGAAGCCTATCGAATTCAGCAACCATGGAATTTAGATGAAACAAAGCAAGTTGAAGCTCAACTGATCTTTCCAGAAACACCGAAAACCTGCTTGGTGGTTGAGTATACCAACCCCTCTGAAAAATATGAGTTCGTCAGTTGGGATTATTATTCCCAATATATGGAAAAACAAAATTCATGTTCCAAACCACCAACCAGGATTGTATATGAACTACTTAGATGGGCTGATCTATTATAGATGGTATAGTTATAGTATAAATATCATATTATACCTCCATGTTATGTTGAACGTTGTGTTGGAACTACTAAACTGTTGGGCCATAGGAAAGATTAGCGATTCCAAACCACCAACCAGTGGAAATACCCTTGGGGCCCTTGTTGTGAAGCCCTTTTTTAATCCAAGACACTCGGCTTTTTTGTCAAGCCCGGAACAGGTGAAAAAACGGGTGGTTTTTTATGTCTGGATCAGCTGGATCGGATCACAAAAATCCGCATGCCGGTATAATTAACAACCTAGATCTATATATAATTATATATATAAACATATATATGTATAGGATATATATATATATGTGAGATATAAATAGAATCTTAACAACCCATGATATACATTTAAACACATACAGTAACTACATCTAAATATACGGATTTTTAGATATGGCGTTACGGTATATATATACACATTATATTGTGATGCTTGATGTGGCTATGGTAGCCATCAAGTGGCATGCACCACCCAAGTTATCTAAGTTCGCAGGATCTGCTCCACTTGCGGCCCAGCTTCAACTGGAGAGGTTTCCCACGCGATCGCCATGGGTTTCGCAACGATGGAACGGACACGCGCGGAACAGCTTGGAACCTGAGACTCGCCGAAGAGATGCGGAAAAGACCCTGGAAAACGTGGTTCGAATTTTTGGGGAACAACATCATCCAAGTAGCATTCAACAGCACACTTTTCAGCATCTTTCGGGGGGGGGCTATACAGATTTACTGCGCAGATTACCATTTTTGGTCGAAAAACACCGCAAATCCCAGGCACATTTCAGGAAGTACTCTGGGTAGGTGTTCCTATCGATGGTGCGCCATTCCTCGGAGAAAAGACGCAAGGTGCAAGGTGAGGCGCAACGCAGTGATGTTTGTTGGGTTATAAACCCTATCAATACTAGCTATTTTTATTAACATATATAAATATATTCACACATATTCACATATATACTTATATATATATATGTATTCACCTATATATATATACAGTACATATATATATATATGCTGTATATATTTATATATATATATCCCTCAAAAACCATAGACTTCACCAAGTGAGTTCTGCGTGTTTTCTTTGCGACTTCGCCACCAGAAGCCAAAAAACGCTGTGATCAGAGGGCCCCTTGAGATTGTGAAAATTTAGGAGTTCATAGGTTTTTTGGTTTCCATAAAATATGATGGTGTATATGATTTAATACATATGGAGTATGTAATATATATGTATATATACAATAAGATATCATATACCATGGAATATTTAAATTTAATGGTACCAAGATCAATGGGATATTAACACTATGATGCTGTACAATATCTATGAATATGATACCTATAATTCTATCAGATGGGATATAAGCAACACTATAAATTCCCATATGATGATAATAAATTCCCACATGAATCAATTCCAACCATATGAGGGCACCAATATATTTCTATATCATGGGATATGCCGTAGGTATGTAAGCAACAATATGATATTGAAGGATTTGTCTGAAATGGGTGCGATGACACCTACAATCATAGCCAGGGCTTGGAAATTCCCCTTTAAATTTTCATGGCATTTCAATGGGAACATTGTCCATCATGTTGGTAAAGCAATAATAAATCCATATTGACGCCATATTTTCTGGTTGGTGGTATACCTACCCCTCTGAAAAATCATGGAGTTCGTCAGTTGGGATTCTTATTCCCAACTGAATGGAAGTCATAAAATTCCATGGTTCCAAAGCACCAGTTTTGATGTTGCAATAAACACCACACCACAAAAACGAAAGTCCTTGGGGATTGTGGATCTTATTGGCTTTACCAACATGAAAAACACTCATGACTTGAGCTGGTCGAACCATGCGTTGCAAAGGTCGGCGTACCACAAGTCACGTATGTCGTCCAGTCTGATCAAGCGGGGGTGCCTGCATATGGGCATGTGGGCATGATGAACATACCATACTTCAACGGACATCTCGGGGCCTGTTTCGCGGTGGTGTGTTGTGGCCTCTTCCAGGAAGATGGTGTTCAACTCGATATGCCACAGTGGTCGCGGTCGTGGCGCTTCCGGGTTGGCAGGCTGAGCTGGGATCCTCGCCTCAAACGTAGGTGGCTCAGCTTCATGCTGATACCCTGTGCGTGCTTGCACGGCATGAGTGTCAGCAGGTGCACTATGCGCTGTATCAGCCATCTGGTCGTGCAGGGGGGTATCAGGAGCGGAAGCAGTCTCACCAAGGCAGGTTGGTTGTGGAAGTACCTTTTTGTTGGCTTTAACCTCAAAGAACTGTCTGATGGTGGTCTGCTTCTTGGATGCTTGCCTGGCATTCTTGTCCCTTGAGGTCCCGAAGAAGCTAGTGATGGTGAGTTGCTTAGGACACCTGGCAGCACTTCGTTTGGCTACTAGGTCACCTTGTGTCTGCTGAACCGGGATGTGACTTACATCTTTGGTCGGCAGTGCATCAACTCCCTCTGGATGGGGCAAGTGCTCAGTAATGAGGGTATCATTATGGCCGGCAGCTACTTCACTCTCCTGTTGGGTTGTGGGTAATGATGGCTTCAGTGTGGGACCCAGGCATGGCGTAGAGCTTGCTGCCTGGAGGAGCGTTACCGGTTGAGGTTTATAATTGGTTGGCTGTGCAGGAGGGTCCTGCTTCCACTCCTCCAAGCTTCGTGGAGGCTGGTCAGCATCCACGGGCAGGCGTGTTGTGAAGGAGGCAACATTGCGGTATTGTGCGGCAACTTGAGCAAGCTGTACAGCATCGGAGTCAGCTTCTTCTGTTTCGGTCGCAGTGGCAATGTTGTCATCTGCACTCGATTGGTCCAAAAGCTCTGCCAGTTCTTCATCGTTCTCTGCAGTTTGGTGGGCAACTTCCACAGCCATTTGGGTGGGAACATCATGCGTAGGTGGTGGTGGTACTATGACTTGGGCATAGGAACCATGATGCACAGGCCTCGTATGATAGTCATCTTCTGGCCACAAAACGTCATCGAACGTGACAACACATTGGGTAGTCACCAGGATGCAGTAGTGGTGCACGGCTGCAGCAAGTAAAATTTGTTGGCGCAGAATGTGAGGACCAACCCGTTGAACTTCTCTGACTAAGGTTGGTCTGTGGGTCACTCCATCAGCATCTGGATGATGGTGATAGATGATGTCAACAAGCAAGAGCCTATCCATAGTGTTGGGCGATAGGTCTTCCGTGCGTTGGACCACAGCCATCATGTCATACTCTGGCATCTGAAATGGCGTGTGCGGCATAACATGGATCGCTTCAAGGCAATCCAGCGGTATGTGCAGGGCATCTGCGATTTCTTGAGTCGGCATGATACGTTGGTCATTGAGTACTTGGCAACATACTTCCACTCCTTCAAGCTGAAATAGGTGAAGCACAGTGGTGAAACGTGCTGGCTGGTTGCTGGACGCTGCCTGTACATGTCTTCCAGGAGAGTATGTTGGGCTAGCTGTGATGGCCTCTGAAGAGCTAGCATCATCTGCACGCTGTGACATGGATATGCGCTCTTGGTCGTGGACAACAATCTGAAATCCATCCCCATGACCAACCTGGTGTGTTGGGCGCAGTGTGTTGGGGATTTGAATCCACCTGTATGTGATGAGGCATTCCGCATGTCTGCAGTGTCTACCTGCGTCGGCTGCCTGCACTAGTTCATAGCCACTGACAACTTCAGGCAATGAACAGGCCACTGAGTACATCTGGAAGGTATCAGCTCTACCTGGCAGGACGGTGACCATGGAAGCAACTCGTGGCATGTCCAGGGACTGTGTGACAATCATGTCATAGACCACAAACGCATGACGTGCTGATCTTGGGGGATCAGGTTCAACAATGATTGCATCAAACCAGTCATCATTGTTGAGTTGATCAACCCATAGGGATTGGATTTGGGCTTCCCATCCCCTTGGTGGACCTACCAGTTGAAGGATTCTGGGTGCAGTCCATCTATGGATAGTGCGATGATCGATGTACCATGTGCGTACAGCTAGGTCAAAGTCATTGTCATGAGGGTTGAGCCCTAGCCCTTCTAACCTATTGGTTAGGTAGTTGACAAATGCAGGCAACACTGGTTGATCATGCTCATCCATTTGTTCATCATCAGTGTCCTCTTCGTCCTGATGTGGGCCGACCAAATGTGCAATGGGACTTTCATGCTCACGTCGGACTTTGGCAATTGTTGGTTGTGTGTGTTTGCCATGCTCAGCATCTGCTTGTGTCATGTTCTTGGGCTGCACCTTCCGTCCTAGCCCATTGGTGTGCTCATGGCGCACGGCTTTGCAGGCTACCATGGGCTGAGTGTCCATCATCTGCAGGGACGAGCGGACTTCATTGAGCACAGACATAGTGAAAGGAGGCAAGGCAGTTCCGATGGCACTATTGTGGTGGGAAACTAGAGCATTAGGTACAAGCAAGGCTGTATGGCTGTTCGTTTCGGGACCCATGGTGTACCAAGACATGTTTGACACGTCTGTCCATGCGGGAGAGCGTCTCGGCAACGGCTGCATCTGTACATTGGTGCTTACCGGATGCATCAGATACTCGTGGTGCTTGACAGAATCAAGCTCACCAATCAGGTCTGACTGATTATTGGGGATCGGATGCTGCCTGTTGTGTGGCACTATGGTCTTACAGGACATGCCATAATGTACTGGTCCATCTATGTCCGCCTGTGTCTCCATGGTCCAGGGTTTCAAAACTGAGTGCAAAGCACCAACATGTGTCAGAAAGTCCTGAAATGCAAAGGAAGTTTCTTCGCCTATCCTACTGTGGTGCATCCGCAGAAAATAGAAATGCCGAAGTGGTTCACAGCTGCGACAAACACAATGGCTGACCTCCAATTTGTGATTGGATAGACAATTGGTCCTGTGGAGATTGTGGTGTAAAATTTTCCAAGTGATCCTCCGGACAAAAAGACCTTCGAGAAGACATTGCCGAGGCTGCTGATGTCGAACCCCCAGGGTGATTTGCATTCAATAAGGGCCACAACCAACGATAAGACCCAGGTCACGGAGGCCGACAGTCCGAGAGATGGTGAGTAAGCACCTCCAATAGCCTCCTTGCAATCCATGTGGAGGAATGCCTGGCATCTTTTGTCATCATGCTTCCCCCATGGGCCTTGCGAACTGCCAAAACTGCCACAGTTCATGGGGAAAATGATGATAAACCATGGAAAAAAACAACTGGTTTTATCATCAATGTTTGTTACCGGAATGAAAAGGCTACTTCTCTTCTTGCCCAAAGAATCAATCGCATGTTCAAGAACTATAGACATTGACAGATAATAATAGTCATGAATAGTCTATTAATGTCGTATAACTGTACTATTGGAATTGGAATCTTTATCCGAGGAACTTGCTTTTTTTCAACAGTCAACTATCATTGGATTGCTTTAAGGGGGAAAAATGCAGGAAAGCCCCATGATCTTCATGGGAAAAACCATGGTTTCCGGTGAAGATTTTCCCAACAAAACCAATCCATTGAAAGTGGGGCCCCCTAGATAGCTAAGTTGGTTTATAACTCCAATAACTATGGTTTATGGTACTTATAACTATAGTTATTGGGGCTTATAAACCAACTTAGCTATCTAGGGGGCCCCACTTTGTATCATTGTTGAAACTAGGATGAAACGGGACGACCCCATGTCGGCTGAATCCGCGATCCCTTTAGCGTACGTTGAGCGGGGTGAATTCTTCCCTTTTGATGAACTTTTGCGCTAAAGTTATACAAACCAGCTGTAGTTATTCATATATTATGTATATATATATATCTATGTATGTACTCATATTATATATATATATATGTATACATACACAGTTGCACAAATATGTACATATATATAATATTATATATATCCCATACAACCATAGAATTCAGCAAGTGAGTTCGGTGCGGAAAAAAATTGAACCCCCACCATGGATGATCATTGACCCATTCAGAAGTGCCAGTTGTCCAAATGAGCAGCCCAGCCCGTGCACCTGGGGATAGAAATCTATTCCTTTTGGAAGCCCAACATATTAATATAGTTCATTAATATGATAGTAGTTATACAACATTAAGAGTAGTTCATTAATATGATAGTAGTTCATTGATACTATCAATGTTGTATAACTACTATTTATATGTTGTTCATTAATATGATATACTATGACTATAATAGTAGTCATACAACATTAATAGTCTATGGTTCAAACTTGGGTTACATCCACTAAAAACATCAAGTTCCTCGGATAACCATTCCAATTCTAGCCACAAAGAATTTTACACTACATCATGCTATGTGTATCCCCCAAAAATGCTTGGTTGAATTCACATTTTCAAAAGTGATTCCATCTCCCAACAAATCTTTTGAACAATTCCCAAGGCACGAACGGTGCAAAAAGATCCTCATATTTCTTACCCGCCTCCTGCGACGAGAAACTGCTCGCTTCTTTTTCGCCGTGCTGGGAAATCCCTGAAGTTTTTATATGGGAAAATCATCGGAATATATGGAAAGACATGGGAAATCCACTATAAATGGAAGCTTGAATGGGAAAGTCATAGTAACTTTGGAGCATGTTCTCTATATGAAAATTACCAGAAGGTACCCTCTGGTAAACTAACATAACTATGGAAAATCACCATTTTGAATGGAAAAACTCACTATAAATGGCCATTTTCAATAGCTATTTTGACATAACCAGAGGGTAGCCATTAAAGATCATGAGATCACCCAAGGCGAAGAAAAAACCCAATGAATCCACTGACCAACCAGGCTGGGAAGGCACCAATGTTTGCTTCCAGATGACATGGCGAATCTTTGATACATTTTTACCATTCCCATATTAGCTCACCAAATGGTGCTGGGACAAATAAAAACCTACATGACCGGGTGATTTTGGGCAAGGGCAGTCATGTAGGTTTTTATATACCAGCACCATGGTGAGCTAATATGGGATTGATGGCAAACGAGTTTGATGTACTCATTCGTGGCATACCACTTGGTTGACCCAGCTTAGCGCTTGATTTTCCAGAAATCCATCCATTCATGGATTTGCTTAAGGGACCACCAAAAACTAAAAAATATGCCCTTCATCGATTCCCCAAGTATTGGATTTCCCATGGAGACAATCAATTCCATCCCCTTCAGCAAATCCATCCATTTTCAGACCAATCATCCAAGGATCCAACTGAAGAACCCTAAATTGGAGGTACGTTAGTACCATATAAGGCCATATTTTCTGGGGATATTCCCTTACATAGGCCTGAAAAAATAGGCCTTACATATGGTAGGTACCCTCTGGTAATTAAGCATAGCTATGAACAAATCCATTATAAATGGAGGTTTCAAGCTGGGAAAATCATCTGTTTCTATGGTCCATTTTCCAGTTCGCTATGTTAAGTCGGATCCTGGCATTATGGTAGGTAGCTCCAAAAAATCGGTTCCCGGCCAGCATGGCCATTTACTCGTCCTGGTTGTGCCAATCGGGAAAGGTCTGCGGGATCCCAGTAGCTTGTTCCATATTGGAGACCGCCAAATAGGCTTGCAACCCGGTGATGCCCAAGAATAGAAGCACCAAGGGGTACTTGAACCTCAGTCCAAAACCGAGGTTAGTCATGACTTACTGGTGCGTTTGACGTCGGGAATGGATGGGTTGCTGGGGGTTGCTGGGATGATGACATTACTAGTGATTATGGATCATTCCTGAAAATTCCCTACTAAGCACCAGTAAGATGAAAAACTGCTAATCTGGTGAAACCGTTAGCTAATTATAGACTTCAGATTGGTCATTCAGGGCAATTCAAGCCTCTGTGAAGTTCAAGAGAACCAAGGTCTTCCTGAGGTTGCTATAATCACAACCATCTTCGAGGAACCGAAGAGTCCCCAAACAACCCACTCCCCTAAGTACAACAAAATCAACCCTCCACCTTCTCTTGGGTTGGTTAAAGCGCAATTTTGTTGCTGGTAAATTGCACATCCCCTAGGTCAAATCCCATTTCATTTCATCTGATCATTCCTAATCCCTTTATAAACACTCATTTTTTCGTTTAAAACATCCCAATCTCTCTCGGTAACCTCCCCATTTTTTGGTGAAGTCCCAATTCTTGTGGCTTAACTCCTCATTTTTCTCAAATCCACTTTTCTTGCTGACCTCCCCCTAGGCTTTTTCCAAGAAAAAAAACTCGATGAACTCACTGGTTGGTGGTTGAGCCTACCCCTCTGAAAAATGATGGACTTCATGCACTGAAAGTCAGTTGGGATGATTTTTCATTCCCAACCGTTTCTGGAAAGTCATAGAAAATCTTCCAGTCACCACCAACCGGATCTTGATGAACTCCCAATTTTTTTGGGTGAACTCTCCATCTTCGGCATTTCCCAAATTTCCCAGCCGAATTTCGCCCAATTTTTCCATGGTCAGTGCACCTTTCGATGGCCTTGGGCATGAGATCCCCGAGGCAGCCACCTGCCTGCGCGGCTCCCACGCCTTTCTTGCTGGGGTCTAAGGCGTCGGCCAACATCACCATACCTGGGCCGGATAGGCGATGGTTTATACAGGAGGCCCCCCCAGTTTTTTGTTTGTTGGTTTATAAACCATTAACTCTAGTGTTATATCAGGTATATATCCATTAACTCTAGTTTAACTCTAGTTTATAAACCATGAACTTATGAATGCATCCATTAACTCTAGTTATATCAGGTATATCTACCATAAACCATGGTTAAACCACTTTTTTTAGGCAACTGAACGCTATCTTGGGGGCCTCATCCTGTACTGATATAAAAGTACCCTCTGGTAATTTAGCATGGCTATAGAACACGGCCCATTTATAGTTAATAAGTAAATTTAAACATGTTGATTTTCCACAGCTATGTTAGTTTACCAGAGGGTAATGATTGGGAAAATCATGCGTAGATGAGCTATTAAAGTTAGTCCTTTGGAGGATTAGTTATGTAGGGAATTAGACTACCTGGATTTTTGGGGATTTGGAAATCACAAAATAGTAGGGAAACATCGGGGGACCTATCAACCAAGTGGTACAATGAGAATATTAAGGATAATATTCATATATGATGGGGGTAAGTTAAGATCTATTATTTGAAGGATCACCCGCTTGTGTTTCTGGGGTTGCTTCCGCCAATGCCATCGAGTTTCCTCACCATCGGTAGTTATATATATATTTTTTTAAATTACAGTTACTACCATTATACATATTACATGTATGTATTATATATATATATATTATACACATCCATATCCTGTATATACTAGCAATGGTCAGAGAATCAGTTCCCTTCCAGCGTGACATGTTGACAGATCCAATGGATTCTCATCATTTTCCCCAGAAAGGAATGGCTATGGATGTGGCGACTCCTCTATTTTTCAGACAAAGCCATATATCTGTGGTCATACAATGATACATACACACATATATATATATATGAAATTAACATATATGTGATATATTCTGTAATAAAATAAAATATGATATAAATATAAATAAAGTTAAACAATATAATTTTAAATACAATATACTTATACTGTAACATAATATATATATATATTTCATCAATCATATCACATATGAGCATATCCATTTTCATCTCGACATATCTATCATACTCTTTCCCCACACACTATCATTCCATTATACTGGTTGGCTAGAAACGGGATTCCCCGCTCTTGGATTATGAAATAATCTTCCATATACTGGGTAGTATAATACCCGAACTAATCATCAACCAACCATCATTTATCAGTTATATCCACTTATTTCCCTATATTTTCATGGTGAAAACCAAATGAAACGACTATAATCATCAACCAACAGGGGTTTTGAACATCAAATCCCATTGAAGTCCATAAAATCATCCATAAAATTATCATCAAATCCCATTATATAACCATTACCATCTGGTTATTTAACATAGCCATGAAAGATCCACCATGCTACTAATAGGTAAACCATCTATTTCTATGGGCCATTTCCCATGGCTATGTGAAATAACCAGGGAGTAAATTCCATCAAATCCCTGCCCCCATGACCGCGGTCGAGGGCCCCGGCTCTTCCGTTTCGCCTGCTGCGCCACCGACTTCCGCGACGACGACGTCGACGACGTCGACGTCTCCGCCAGGATGCAACGCCTGGGCAGCGAAGGCCGGAAGGCCGGAAGGCCAGGATCACTAGATATGACAATCATTAAGATCATATTAGATAATGTTATATAGATATCTAGCAATAATAGATAATAGACAATAATCTATATAGTTATAACATCATATTAATGATAATAAAAGACAATATTAGATAATAATAGATAATAGACATCATAGATAGACAATAACAGTTATAGACAATAGACATAAATAGACATGAATAGACAATAATAGCCATTAATACTAATAATAGTCATTAATAGATAATAATAACATCATAGATATGACTAGTTATATATAATTAATAATAGACAATATCATGATATGATATTAGTAACAATATGATAACATATAATATAATAAGATATCATAAATAAGATATAATTATAACTATGACTCGTAACATTAATATTACTAGTAGTTTATAACTATGACTAGTAACATTATTATTATCTTATTAACATTGATATGACTAGTTACATAACATTACTGATAGACAATATACTAATATGATAACATGACGCTAGATGTGATAATATAATATAATTAATCATATTTCTCGCCGCATGATATGATATGATAATCATTAGTAGTACTTGGTGGCTCATCCCACGGATCGTAAGTGGGTTATAACCTTGGGTTTTGGATTGGGCTAAGTAGGGTTAGTTGACTTGCAACTGGGGTAAACTAACCCACTTACTAATTGGTTTTACATCTAGTCATAGTAATAGTCATACATTTATCTATCTAGTCATAATGGTAGTTAAACATATCTGTGATACTTAGATAATAGTAGTTATACAACATTAAGATATACTATGATACTATAATAATATGATAGATAATATGATAGATAATAGACACTAGTCCTAGATAATAATCAAAACCATTGATAACTTCAAATTCTAGAACTTTAATAGAATCAATCAAGTTATAATAGTTATATAATATCTATCTATATATGATAATATGATAGATAATGTGATACCTAATATCTATGAAAGATCTGATAAATAATAGATGATACAATCTAGTCATGTGGTAATAATGGGATAACAACATCAATAGCAATAACAGCAACACTAACAATAACAATTGGAGTAATAATCGTAATAGTTTATATAAATATATATATATATACCTGTTCATACTGGGATAGTCATTAATCAGATATCTAGCCAACATGCAAACGACGCATCCTGCTTGATTTTGATACTTTGGCGTCATCTTAGGAAGGTTTCAACATCTCCGAAGTCTTCCAAACCAGAGAAAATATGGTCAACTCCAGCCACAAAAAGGTGATTTTAATATTTTACCAGGAAAAATGGTGCCACTAGCCTATGGTCATTTCTCCGATACCCGTTTTTTTGGGGAGATGGCTTCTATTGAAATCTCCAGAGGTTTCCTGAAAAACAGCGCTTATTGTAACCAGTAGAGCTAAAAAAATGTCCGTCATGCTTATGACACTATTCAATCTCATAATTCTGATTTTCCATAACTTTCCATTAAGTGTTACTTTCCCATTATGGTTCAGGACGTATTCAATCCCATATTACTTTCCATATTTTCCATACATTTCCATTAAGTATTCAGTCTCCATCATGAATTCCGAAATCCAAAGTCCCATTCTAATGAAACATGTTCATATATCCCAATTCAACATACCCCCAAAAAACATAGGTTAACTATGGCGTTATATATATGCTTCATATTCCCCCAAAAACGGTGTTACCCTCTGGTAATTTAACATAGCTGTTGAAAATTGCCATTTGTAGTTGATTTACCCATTAAACATGGTGATTTTCCATACCTATGTTAAATTACCAGAGGGTACATTATTAAGGCTTCATCCTCGTCTGTTCCGTCTGTTCCCTGACCTGCAACAGGTGTGTAAGCGCTCACCAATGACCAGGGTTGATGGATAGGCCAGGAACACAATCAGCCAGGCTAAGGTGACCTGAGAACATCAACTTTCAACGACAGTTTTTAAGGTGCTAAACGAAGATGGCTATCTATATGATGTAGTATAGATATACAGATGTACTTTGAATATGGTATAGCGTTATAGGATATCTTTTATGATATATAGATATATGACTGTATATATCTATAGATATAGGATTGTATAAATGATGTATCATAGATTATGGGGTGGACTATGGCATATGATGGGATAGCATCTATATCTTGATATGGTATATTATTTGAACACTTTAGATGTGGCTCAGATATTTTATGGGATATGATTTAGTATTTCAATGAATACATCTAATACGGGTATGAACGTATGATATTTCAAAAAGTATTTTATAGGATATAAGTGATATATGACCAACTGACCAATCATCATCGGCCATGTTCATCATGTTCGCCCTTTTCGAATGGTTAAGTGTCATAGATTCCCATTTACTGCTGACTGAAAGTTGTGAATGATGGATCCCCTCTGGTAATAGCATTGAACATCCGATTGGTCTGGTTTTATAAAATGAAGGTTTTTTCCATGGCAGTTTGAGATGGCTTTATATGGTTTTATATGGGTAATGATGGCACATAAATGGAATACTCTCCAGTAAATTAACATAGACCCTGCCAGATAGGATTTGGAAGTTTTTTTTTGGTGAAACCACACAATTTGTTGGTGATTTTCAGGGTCGAAGTGTTAATCGAAACCAGGGGGTAATAGAAACATCAACTATGAATGGAGTGTCCATCGCCATGTTTGATTACCGGTGGGTATCTATCTAATCTATGTGTCATCATTCCAACTGGCTTTGCAGAACCAGCCCTAAGCCTCTCTTCACACATCTGCCAATCTTCTCCAGTTGAAAAAAAACACCTGAGGCTTGTTTCACCCCAACATTTCCAGCAATTTCCTCAGTTCAAACAGCAAAAACCAACAAACAAATGGGTATGTCTGAAAATGGGGTATACCCCCAATTATAGCCATAAAAAGTAGGGATAATGATCAGCAAAACCATTGGGTGTAGGGGTTTTCTCTATTTTCAGACAAACCCAACAAACAAACAACACGAGGAGTCCAAGGTCCTCACCTTCGTCACCTTGTCACTTGAAACGCAGCCAACATCCGAAGAATGCGCCAACCCCCTATTTTTGTGGCTACAAGGTGAACAGTTGTAGGATGAACCCACATCAAAAAGGTGGCGATGAACCCATAGCTGCAATGTGAGGCCCCCAAGTTCTATGGTTTATAGACCCCATTAACTATCCTTATCATTCCACACTAAACGGTGGTTCAAGCATTTTTTTCAAGCATAAGTGTGGATCAAATTCAAAACCATATAACTGTTTGGTGGTTTTAACCATCTTGAAAAATATGAAAGTCAATGGGAAGGATTATCCGCAACCATTTATTAGTTATTCTGGTTGGTGGTTGAGCCTACCCCTCTGAAACATGATGGAGTGAAAGTCAGTTGGGATGATGAAATTCCATTCCCAACTGAATGGAAAGTCATATAATTCCATGGTTCCAGTCACCACCAACCAGATCATCATCATATTCCCATTGTTCTTGGTTTATACCCTATAAAAACCACTATTTACCACTATTAACCACTATTAACCAACCTATTGTTCCAGTCACCACCAAGCAGCTTCTAGGTATGTAACCCCAAGAAATCGCGATTTCGTGGCCACGAAATCGCGATTTCGACATTGTGGGGATATTCCATGAATCGATTCCGATGCAGCCCCAAGAATTGACCCAGCCTAAGATAGCTACAGGCTGGGGCCCCCAGTTGAGCTCGCGTGAACCGTTGGTGAACAGAAGTGGTTGAATTCAATGGTTTATGGTAGATATAACGAACTAGTTAATGGGGTTTTGTTATGGTTTATAAACCAACTAACATCACTGGGGGGGCCCATCCTGTAGTGGTCCATGATATTCCCATTCTATCCCTATTTTTCCTACCATTTTTGCTAGTTAAACCCCAAGAAATATCTCCGGCTTTCCCCCAACGTTGGTTCAGAACTCTCCTGAACTCCTACGGAAATTGCCTCGTCCCACTTGGACGAACAAACAACAACTCTGCACCTGAAGCTTCTTTCACAAAACTCATCCGGGATGGGTGAAGTTACCCATGAATTGACCATATGACTGAGGGAATAACCATCCAGCTATGCCAGCTATTACTTTGGGTACCATCCGGGAACCAGGGTTTTTGACCCATAACCGTCTAAGAAAAACATCTGAGACTTCCAAAGTTCGACACATATCTGGATGAAAAAAAGTTCCGCCCAAACTGGGGACATCAAAAAAAACCAAGTGCGGAGGTTGCAACATCATTTATCCAATGCCCACTGTATCACATGATATCCCAAATATACCACTTCTGTTGGTGAACTGAATCCATTTTGGTTAAATCAATGAAATCTGGATAAACCCACCAAAAACACGCCAAAAAACGTAATTCTCAGCTAAAAAATCCCATGAAAAGCCTCTATCCTGCAATGGGTTACTTAAGTATCCAATTAGATACTTGGCCAAAAGGTTCCATGTTGGAAACTCTCAGTCGCCCCTTGGGAACATGGATACTTCTAGCTCCAAATCATAGTAATACCCAATTCGAAGCTCAACTGCACCTCCAGATACCCTCTTGTAATTGAATCTGTTTAGTTCGTTGATTTACCTATAAATCATGATTTTCGATGGCAAACTGTTAGTGTACCTGAGGCTATCCCCCCCCCCATGACTTTTCGTTTCGTTTCCATTTTTGTCCCCTTACTGGTGCGTTTTACGCAGGGAATTTTCGGGAATGATCCCAGTCATCACATTCGTAATGTCATCATCCCAGCAACCCCCAGCAATCCATCCATTAGCTACGTCAAACGCACCAGTTTTCTTCCAATTCTCACCATCCATCTGAGGCTCCCAACGCAGACGCCCATGAAGAATCCGAACTCCCTCAGCGGTCGCAGCACCGAAGCCAAGTTCGCAAAGAAGGACATGGCCGTGGTGAAGGTGGTGGCCGCTGTACTACTGGCAGCCTGCACCATGAGAAATGGTTTTTTTGGGGCGAAGTGCAAACGCAGCTGAGATGGGTTTTTGGGAGTTTGGAGGAATAGTGGTATAACCAATCTATGATTTTTTGTAACCAAAGACAATGAAGATCAATGAAGCATAGTTTCGCCAATCATAGTCCAATCCAGATCAATGATCCGGTTTTCACGACTTCGAAATACGAGCCATCGACCTGTGAATGCAACAAGAGGTGGAAAATCCACAGGGAAACCCTTCGGAAACTGATCCGTTTGTGGACAAAAATCATGGGGTTTTAACATGTTTGACCAAGCAAAATAGGGATATCAACTTGATATCAACCAAGGAAATGTTGAAATGGATGTTATCACCAAGAAGACTTGGGTTTCTTCAGAAGTTCGTAGCAATATGTACAAAGTGGGGCCCCCCAGTGATGTTAGTTGGTTTATAAGCCCCAATAACTAGTTCGTTACAAGTACCATAAACCGTAGTTATTGGAGTTATTTGCACCAACTTAGCTATCTTGGGGCCTCACTTTGTAGGACTCCCACCATTTTTGGCTCCTAGAACATGACCCAGCTGTGAGCAGCATGTGGGGCACAGATGTTTTTAAAATGGGATGGAATGAGTTAGCCTGAAACATAGGCCTTATATATGGTAGGTACCTCCAAATAAATCGGATCCTGAAATGGCCATTGATTATATTTCAATACATTTCAGATTATTATTTACTCTCTGGTAAATAAACTTGTTGACCCTGAAAATCACCAATTTTTAATGGAAACTAGTCTTCCAACCCCTATCTGCCAGGGTCTATGTTAATTTACCAGAGGGTAGATATGTTCAATGGAAAACACATCAAGAAGCTATGATTTCTAAACCCAATTCAGGATTTTCCTGTACGTGAACACTCTTCAACTAGTTCCAGGAAGGTGTGACTGAAGCAACCTGATATTTCGCGAGATCTCTCGAAAAGTAAAACATATTCTCTGAATGGATTCCGCCAGTAGCTGAATCCCAATGGGAACATGCCAATCATCCTAACTCACCGTAAATCCAGGTCAGGTTATCAGAAGCACCCCAGCTTCCCAAGAAAAATCTGTCAGTTTTTCCCATTGAGTTCTTTAGTTCCATGATTTTCCCATACTGGTTGGTGGGTGGTATACCTACCCCTCTGAAAAATGATGGAGTGAAAGTCAGCTGGGATGGTTTTTTCATTCCCAACTGAATGGAAAGTCAAACAAAATCATGTTCCAAATCACAAACCAGCTTATAGTTATGTAAACCCCAACAAATCGCCAAACATATTTGCTCATATATTTTCCCATATTTTCCCATATATTTTCCCATTCAATGAAGCTCCGGTACTATAGCAGAGCCTGCATGTATGTGAACTTCAATCTGTCGACCGGCTCCCTGGAAAACAACCTCAGGTCACACGGCGAAATCAGGGTACCCTCGAGTTTCAAGTAACCCAACATGGGAATATCATGGGGAAAAATCTGTGATAACTAGCTTTAATATGGTTTAATATGGATAATAATGGGATAATAATGGGATAATAATGGGATAATAATGGGATAAGAATGGGATAATAATGGGATAACAATACTGGTTGGTGGTTTTTCGCCCTACCCCTCTGAAACATATGAAAATCAGTTGGGGTTATGAATTTTCTAATATATGGAAAAATAAAAACTGTTCCACACCACCATAATGTTATGGTTGATCTAGATACACTATAGTTTTCTGGATTTTCACATAGATTAACTTTGGCTTAATCAAGAGGAAGATGGTAACACATCATCTCTTATCTATAGTTGATCTTTCTATTGAAATGGTTTGACCTTTGGATTTTCAATAGCTATCTTTGTTTACCAGAGGCTAACTGATGGTTTTCTGCAAGGTGGTGCGCCAGCCCAGTGATGTTTCTTGCTTTAGAAAAACGCATATGAATACTATACTGGTTGGTGGTATACCTAGCCCTCTGAAAAATGATGGAGTTCGCCAGCTGGGATGATTATTCCCAACTGAATGGAAAGTCATAAAATTCATGTTCCAGTCACCACCAATCAGTATCTATTTGCCCAAATATTTACCCATATTTTCCCATATATTTTCCTAGACTATATGGTTATGGTTCAAGCGCCTGGTACTTAGGTAACCTAAGTCATAGCTGGAAAAAAAGCTGGATGGTCATTCCCTGAGTCATAAATTCAGTGAACTTGACCCATCGCCATATGGATGTGGGTCAAAATGGAAGACCTAGGGGACCACAGATGTTAGTCTAGTTTAGTATTAACCATCCAAGTATTGGGGTACGTAATTTTGACCCATACCCATATATCTACCGAGCATAAAGCATACCCTCTGGTAAACGTACAACAAACTATGGAAAGATCCATTATTTTCAATGGGAAAACTCACTATTTCGACTGGGCCATTTTCAATAGCTATGTTAAATTACCAGAGGGTAAATAGTGAAGTTTGATTTCTTTGTTTTCTGTTTTCTCAACCGTCTCCCACTTTGATTTTACTTTCTGGCAATCTACGATCCAAAGCTGATCTGTTGGCACTGGGGGGTGCGACACTAAAACTGTTCTAAGACATAGGTAGATTTAACTGTTAATTTGATTTAGTGGTTTATACACTTATAAGTTGGTTTATAAACCCCATTAACTGTAGTTATAAGTATATCAAACCATAGTCATTGGAGTTATTTGCACCAACTTCGCTATCTAGGGGGCCCCACATTGTAGCTATTGAACATGGCCATAGAAATAGTTGATTTTCGTAGTAACCATGGTGGATCTTTCCTTAATTATGCTACCAGAGGGTATCTCATGGTTCTAAATGGCACCCAAGATCGATTTTTTCAAATTACTCTCTGGTAATTTAACATAGCTATTGAAAATGGCCCAGTCGAAATAGTGAGTTTTTCCCATGAAAAACGGTGGATCTTTCCATAGTTTTTTGTACGTTTACCAGGCCGGGTACCAATCAAGATACCTTAGATTCTCATCAAAAAACGGTGAAAAAGACCTCATTGTCCTCAGATAAAAATGGCCATAACTTCACTGCCTTCACGGCTCATCATCTCCCAGGCTTGGGCCAACCATTTCCATGTGGGGGTTTCCTGAAATGGAGATATCCCAAGCATTGGATGGTTTAGATGGAAAGTCCCAATCTAAAATGGATGAGAACTGGGGGTACCTCCATTTCAGGAACCCCTTTTCGTGTAGAATCAGTGATTCCTTTCGGAGAATTCCACATGCACAAATACCCAACCGGGCAGCAAAGATTGCTTGTAGAAGTCCGTGTAGACAAAGAGCATGTCAGAGCCAACTCCAATAACGATGAAGACACTGAGACACATCCTGAAACACTCAAAGGGACCTATCTGGGTAAATGATAATAATTCACTAACCTGAATTAAGGCCATAAAAGGGGATGATTCCTCTTACTAACCATGATTCCAGTGAGGTCGCGGTGAGGTCCTTAGAATCTACCCAGACCTATGTATATAGGCGATTCATCCTGCAAATCGCAAGAAGGGACCTCTGTTTACCCTGGACAATCCAATGGAATCCAATGGGTTAAGAAGGGACAAAAACTCCACGAAAAAAGTGGGGTGATAATGTCAACCCTGGATTAATAAACTCCGTTGACGGTTGTTCCATTGGGGGGATACCATCTAAGATATCTAAGTATCAGATGAAATGACTATTTGGGGAGTACCCCCCTAGTAGGTGGAATTAGAAGTGATCACCTTAAAACTGATGAGATCCTATGAACATGTAGCGATTTGATTCCTGTAGGTTCGCCAACAAAATGGTCAACAAAAATCACGGAAACAGTTTAGCACCAGTGAAATCTATGAACATCCAATCCAAAAAACAGTTTTGATACCTGACATCTTCATCAAGTTCCTCCCAAAATTCCCTGAGAAAAACCGTAAAAACACCAAACCTAAAACCTTATAAACCTTTCACTAATCGATTTTTAGCAGCTTATTTTTTCGGTGTTCATAGATGTTCGCTGCCCTTCAACTGGTATTCAATGCGGTTCATCAACTATTAACCAATCAACTATCAACTAAATTTTACTAATGATTTGGTTAACCAAAAGTTGACCAAAGATCAAGATATTTAATGGTTGACCCTTTCATCACCATAACTATCATCAACCAAAACACTGAAAGAAAAGGGTCGTACCATCTTCACCCAACCAAGCAGAAAGGAACGAAAGGCACCTGTTGATATCAAACAATACCCTCATACTTCCATCAACCAGTGGTTTTCACAGCTTTCAACTGTCTTTTCAATGATTTTCATAGGGTTTTAAGGAGTTCTTAAGCGCTTTTTCATTGTAGTTTACCACAAAAGTGTCAGGAAAATCAATCCTGAAGAATCCAGTTTTGCCGCATCTTTGACCAGGGATCAGATCTCTGACGCATCTCTAAATCCGAAAAAACAACAAAAAACCAATGGATACCTCAATCAACCCCCCCCAATGTTCTCCCGAAAATCACCCGCATCGGAAAAATAACCACCTTTCCAAGCACTTCACCATATATCTGGGTAAATTATAATATTTCACTAACCTGAATTGTTGGGCCATAAAAGGGGATGATGTCCCTAAAATAAACCAAAAATCCGGTGAGGGAGAACAGTGGAGGTCGTGATGAAATTTACCCAGATATATCAACCAGGCATCCCCCATTATCTCCCATGAAATTATCCCCCTGAAATACCAGCCATAGATTTTTTCATCCCATTCAACTCCTCCTTTCTTCACCAGGCATCATCAATTATATCCTGTAATAATCACATAATAATCCCATCATGGAATTAAATCCCATCTTTAATAACATCAAACTCCAACTTTCATATACTTTCATAATAATCCCACATGTTATTATATACAAGTTATATAAAAGTATATGAACGTATAAAGTTAAAAAATATATATAAGAATCCCATCTAAAAATCCCAAGCCCAATCTTTTCTTCCCCAATCAACCAGGCATCATCAAACTGAATTCCCCGGATCCAGAGACCAAGACGAAGACCGCCAGCGTGGCTGGGATGGAGAGCATCACCAGGAAGAGCCCGACCAAGGCCAGGAACGGACTGCGGGTGTGCAGCGTGGCGTAGATCATTACGAAGGCGTAGGACATCACGGCCTTGATTGGGATGATGGGAGGGATGTGTAAATGTCTTGTATATATATAATTATATATGTAAAATGTTATATATTTGTATATATATATATGTGTGAAACCCAATATCTGTATAAGACTATATGATATTAATATGTATAGATACATATAGATACATATTAAGTGTCTTTAAAGATCTGTTTACAACCAAAGTCGACATGAACCAGTCAACCAGCAGAACCAATCTGACAATCATGAGATCATTTGATTGCTCCGATGACGCCTGGGTAGCTGCGATCTATGGAATGCTTCAAAGTGAACTAACGTAGGCATGGAACATGGTCCCTTTAGATTATATCAATGGGAATTCCAGGATCCTTACATAGGCCTTGTATATGGTAGGTACCTCCAATAAATCGGATCCTGAAATGGTCATTGATAATTTTTTCACATTATTTACTCACTGGTAAATTAACATAATCCCTGAGAATGAGAATAACCAATGTTTCTAATGGAAACTCATCTTCCAACCCCGATGACTGCCAGGGTCTATGTTAATTTACTGGAGGGTACCTATTAAAAGAATGTGATGTTCCATAGCAAACTGTTAGTTTACAGGATCCCCAAATTATGCCACGGGGCCACGGTATGCATCCCATTTAGCGGGCCAAAGCCACATTGGTCAACTGGGATATGTCCTATATATGGAGGTTTCCTACAATGGGGGATCCCCAATAGCTGGATGGTTTATTTCATGGACATTCCATCTATAAATGAGTGATTTGATTTCGGGGTACCCTCATTTCATGGCCAATTAGCCAGATACCCTTCAAACATGACAAATTCTTAGCCGGTGAACGTAGATCATCCCATTGATACCAAAAGACTAGTTAGAATTAAACTAGCCATCCAAGATTGACCTAGATTTTAGGAAACCTCCATATTATCTGGATAAATTACAATAATTCACTAACCTGAAATAAAACCATATTGGGATACTTCCCCTTACTAACCAGTATTCCAGTGAGGGAGAACAGTGAGGTCGTTGTAATTTACCCGGATCCAACATGGGATACACCTCCCCCACTCCGCGCCAATCCCAGGAGCAAATTTCGCGTCACTGGCCACTGCGGCCAGACTCTCGTAGGTTTCGATGCCATAGCCGCTGTAGAAAATGCGCACCTAGCGCCAAGCTGCCAGATACCCTGCAAGATACGTTTACCAGACGGATAAAAAAAAACACAAATCCTGGGAAAATATAGTGACTTAGTGGGATTGAATGGGATTTACTGAACAAATTGAATGGGATACCCTTCAAGAACTGAGAAATTCTTAGCTTGTTAATTAGTAGATATTCCTATTGCAACAGAAAATCATCAGGATGAGTTTCTAGCCAGTTGGTTGAGCCAGGCCGTGCCATGAAACTTTTGGATGCTGGTCGAAAAACCCATGGTCCCAAACAAATCCTGGGCTTAGCCCATTTTGAAGTAGCTGAAGCCCCAGTGACTAACCAGTAACACGATCCGCTGATCCTTTAAGGATTGGGAATCATCGATCTTTACGAAAACTTGGTTGCTCTTTTTGCACGAAAAAAACGAAAATCATGCAATACTCCTATACAAGTACATATGGTTTCATATTTGGCTGTAATTTGGCTTCCCAATCTCCAAAAGCCGGGAAAATGCAATGGGAATTCAAAGTTGCCGACTTCGCGACTTGCAATCGATTGGTTTAGCATTCATGGTCAGATCACCCCCAAAAAAGGGTGCGAAGGTGTTGGAAAAAACACATGAGTCAATTTTGCGGGAAGATCTTACCAGTTTTAACAAAACATGCAACATCAAGAAGTTGGCTTTGCGACAGAAAAAGTAGAAACTATTCCCAAGAAATAACCCAAATGATCAAATGAAGCCATGGGTAGCCAAAATCCAAATCTGTCTTGGTGAAATTTCAAGTTTTTCATGCTGAAATCACCCGTTTTTCTTCATGGTTAGACAAGTTCTTGATTTTTTTTGTCGATGGTTCAGTCCCCAATGTTTTGATGCTTGACAATTCCCTGATTTTCTGGTTGGTGGTATACCTACCCCTCTGAAAAATATGAAAGTCAGTTAGGATGATTATTCCCTGTTCCAAACCACCAACAAGTTTTAGTTGTTTCTGCTCAAATTCTCAATTGCTTCTTCTCATATCAGAATGTTCCCTGCTATTTCCGACGGTTCAATCCCAATTTCCATCTGGCAAAATCACCCCATTTTTCCATCATGTTTCTATGGCTTCAGTCCCCATCATATAGTGACTAATTCATAGAAACACCATAGAAACTACCAAAGAAACACCATATTTTTCCACCCATTTCCATCCATTTTTCTATTTCATCGGTGAGTTTCTGTGGTGTTTTTGGTTAAATCATCTCAACTCACCAGTTTTCACGGCACCATTTTTCGTGGCTTTTGAGCCACCAGCCAGAAACCATTGAAGTCTAAGCTCGCCATTTTCTGGCTGAAATTCCAAGCTGTCTCTTGGGGTTACCCTACATAGTTAGTAATCCGCTTGGTAATGACATTCACAGTTTGCGAACTTGAACATGGCCATATTTACTTCGTGAGTTTTCCCATGACGAATAAGGTCCCATAGGATCCATGTATGCTATATATATGGTAACATTTACCATCAATATACCCCAAATGTTAGCATATATACCAGCACCATGGATCCTATGGGGGTGGATCTTTCCATCGTTTTTTCTACGTTGACCATGGTCGCGTCATCCGCTTGGTGCGGAAAGCCAAGGGACGCCCCCAAAGTCGTTCTTGGCTGCGATGATGGACACCAACTCTCCGACCTCTCCAGAAGTGGCCCATGGTTCATCATGTTTAATAATGGTTTAATAATGTTAACCAATAATAATTAAAACATGGCTAATAATGGTTAAATAAGGGTTAATAATGGTTCATAATAATAATTGTTAAATAAGGGCTAATAATAATAATGGTTAAATAAGGGCTAAATGGTCATAAAAATGGTAAATACTATTAACCCTTATTCATTTATTGTCATACTATTAAACATGGTTAAATAATGGTATAGAATGGCCCATGGTTAAATAAATGGCTAAAAATGGTTCATAAATGGTTAACTAATAATTAATTCACACACTCATATATATATATATATGGAGGTGTCCGTCATGGGGGTACCCCCAGTTCTCATCCAGCTATTTGTTTGGGCTTTTCCATGAAGCCATCCATCCAGCGATACAGGGGTACCCCCATGACTATGGAAACCTCCATATAGGGATAGAATGGGAATATCATGGAATATAACTACTTTTTTGCTGGATTTGGCGATATAATTCGACGAATGACTAGATTTCACTTTCACCAGCAGAAATCATGGTTAAATCACCATCAAACATGGTGATTTAACCAACAGAACTGATGGATGCACATGTGATTTAATTGGCACACAACGGAGGTTTAAACACGAATAACCAAGATTTATGGGGATAGCATGGGAATATCATGGGATATAGTCGGAATATATCTTGCGAAGATTTTATTGGATCTTTTGGGGATATCAGCAAATATTTATCAGAATATCATCATTTTTAATGAAAATTCACTCCCCCACGGGGTGCCTCCCTCATATTCATCCCATTGTTATCCAATGATATTATTTGCTTGATAGTTGGTGCACTTGTATGTGGCTGGGCCACAAAAAAACGCATCCCAGCTGCGTTTTTCTAGCTCTGCCAGTTCTGCACATATTTCCCAAGTCGTGGGGGTATCCCAAGTCATGGATGTTTTGTCATGGAAAATCTTCTTGAAAAGGATGATGTTTTTTATCCAATATGGCTTTAATATGGTTTATATGGTTTAATATAGATAATAATGGGATAATAATGGGATAATAGTGGGATAATAATGGGATAATGGTGGGATGATGTGGATGACCATATGAATCAGCAATAAATTAGTGGTTGGTGGTATACCTACCCCTCTGAAAAATGATGGAGTGAAAATCAGTTGGGATTATGAAATTCCCAAGATATTGGAAAAATAAAATCCATGTTCCAAACCACCCACCAGATTATGTTTGTAGTCATATATACTTTCCGCAGAGTTGGTCATGGCCGCACAATGGACGAATTCATACCCTCTGGTAATCAAACATGGCAATTAAAGATCCTGTTACATTGCCAATCTTAGATACCTTGCAAAAAATGACAAATTCTTTGTTGGTTCGTAGATATTCCCATTGATACCAAGAGACTAAAGGATTAGTTTATACCCATCTAAGATTGACCTAGTTTAAACGGTGTACTAATCCCAAGGCCGGTATATTTGTGCCAGCCCCAAATTTTGCCGAAATAGTGAAGCTCCCCGGTGATGGGGTATCCAGCCACCTGACTAAACCAGAGGGTATTTCACCAATATCTATCCCACTGAACATATCCATTGTATCAAAAAAGACCAGGAATTTTGTTAGCTAAATCAGCAAGGCTAGAAACTGCTTGGTGGTTTCAACACTTCTGAAAAATATGAAAGTTAGTTGGGATTATTATATGGAAAAATAAAACATGTTTCAAACCAACAACCAGATTTTTACGAATCTGGCAGTTGGATCACCAATTTTCTTGGTGAATTTCCAATGATTGTTCATCAAATCCTTATCATTCCACACTAAACGGTGGTTCAAGCATTTTTCAAGCATAAGTGTGGATCAAATTTTCACCCATATTACTGGTTGGTGAACCATCTTAAAAAATATGAAAGTCAATGGGAAGGATGACATCCCATATGAAATGGAAAAAATGTCAGAAACCACCAACCATATTAAACCACATTAAAAAAATACCCACCATTGTTGAGAGTTAAATCCCTACTAGCGGGTGCATTTTCGGTTCCAAAAAAAACTATGATCATCATCTCCGTAAGTCGGAATAGAACCCCTAGAACTATGCTGACTATGATATAACTCAAGAAGAAAATGGTGGAACTGGTTGTGGATGTTTTTTCAGAAATTGGACCTGAATTCGAAGTGAGTTTTTTTTTTGGTCGGCCTTGTGGACCCCGACTGCCCCGTTTTCTCTTCCGTTTTTCATGACCCAAATGCCGCGATCTCCCTGGGATCCCTGCGAAACGCTTCCAGGAGCTGTCTAGAGCTTGAACTTTGGCTCTCTGACCACCCTGACCTCAGCCCAGGCAGTTCGAAAGGCCAGCGAAATCATATCATAATTGTGTTGGTTGGCAATGGTTGGCAATCACCTAATTATCGTATCAACATCATAAATATTCACTAATTATATCAGGCTATTCCATGATTTTTTGTTCGGCTTTCAATCATCCTTTTGGTCCAGGATTTTGCAACCATCCACAGTCAATAGCTGCAACATTTTGATTGGAAAAATTGCCATTTTTGGGGGACACATGTGACATTAAAACTTCGCCACAAAAAAAACAACAGTTCCCATACGGACCAAAAAACCATGGGGATTCAGGTTTAAACGATTTCGATTTCGATGGGCTTTGATGGGCTTCAAGCAAGAATGAATTGAATGTAATTCACCATCAATTATTGAGGGTTTCCAACAAAGAGGATCCCCTTAACATGTGTCCAACAAAGAGGGTCCCATGGGTCCCACGAATTGCAATGTCCACTCAAAAAGATGTATGATACGTTTTTCAAAAAACCATATGGACCATATGTTTTGGGTCTCATGGTGTTTTTACACCACCGAATTCTCGATTTTCATGATGAATCACTGGATTTTTGGGGTGCTTCTCACCATGGCTCTGAAAAAGAGAGGTGGATGATCCCAATTCCAATCGAATTCTTCTCCACGTTTGCTGCTGCCATACTTACCAACATTTACCACCAATGACAGCTCCGAGTTTGGTTTGGGTTTTCATGAGGTCGGGAATTCCAGGATCAGGCCATATTTTGAGGGTATATCCCCCTGAAAAAGAGGCCTGAAAAATGTGGTAGGTACCTCCAAAACATCGGTTCCTGGAATGGCCATAAGGTTTTGTTGCTGAGTCAACTGAAGTATGCCTTCATGGGGTGAAACCTTTTAGCAACATCATGTCTGGAGGCTGAAAACCTTCTGTATCATGGCTATCCTAAAAATCCCGAAATCTAAGAACTTATCATTAACCCCCTGGATACATATTTTTTTTTTCAGAAATCAATTCGAAATGATCATGACATATCCCATGGATATCTCCAGATTCGCCCTGAAACCCGTGGCGCTGTCCGCTGTCGGCGCGGCGCCTGCGGTGCAGCAATAGGCCTGCAGGGTGAAGTAGGAGCGCATCACGGTGACAGCCTCGGGACCTGGCAGATTCAAATTGTACAATGGTAGAATGATATATAAGCACAAATATATATGGGTAAATTAAAATAATGGTACAAAGTGGGACCCCATAGTTATAAGTTGGTTTAAAAGCCCCAGTAACTATAGTTATAAGAGTTATAAACCATAGTTATTGGAGTTATAAACCATAGTTATTGGAGTTATAAACCATAGTTATTGGAGTTATAAACCATAGTTATTGGAGTTATAAACCATAGTTATTGGAGTTATAAACCATAGTTATTGGAGTTATAAACCATAGTTTTTGGAGTTATAAACCATAGTTATTGGAGTTATAAACCATAGTTATTGGAGTTATAAACCATAGTTACTGGAGTTATAAACCATAGTTACTGGAGTTATAAACCATAGTTACTGGAGTTATAAACCAACTTATATATATATACACTTCGGATGGTTTATTGTCAACTAATTCGTACTGGTATATGTACAATATATATATATATATTTATATTTATATTATGTACAATGGTTTAAGCACCTATTTATTTCCAATTGGATTGTGGTAATATAACAATAACCATATAATAACCCATATATAACAAATAGTGGTAATAATAACCATATAATATATAACCAATTTAGAATCGAATCTGGATTAGAATTGAAACATTGTATATGGTAGCCAATTGGATGTTATATTCTTACATGTATCTAACATGAAACATTGTTAGGGCTGCAGATTCCAATGTAATTCTATATGACATTTCCAATTGGATTGTTATATGGTAGAATATGTCCAATTCTATTTAAGTACGAATATCCAATATTTAAAAATCGTTTATGGTAGATATAACAATATAAACAAGATATAAGTGGCAACGGTTAAATATATTATACAATAATTATACATTATGTTTAATTATATATTCTTATTGTTAAATCATCATGGTAGATATATAAGTGGTTTAACAATGGTTTAACAATGGTTTATAAACTAATTACCGTCTTGGCAATTCCAATTCTATTGGACTATCTTTGGTGAATTCTATTATTCTATTATATGTTTCTATGATAAATTATCATGATGTTAATCATTACATTACCCTTTGGTAAATTAACATAGACCCTGGCAGATACGGGTTGGAAGATTAGTTTCCATTAAAACTAGGCTATTTTCAGGGTCTATGTTAATTTACCAGAGGGTATCGACTATAGAATCATAATGTAGTATCACAAATATGTACAGGATGGGGCCCCCCGTTCGAGCGATAGCGTTCAGAAACGCCGAACCTAAGTAGTTGAATTCAATGGTTTATGGTAGATAGAACGAACTGGTCTTAAATTACCAGAGGGTACCTCTATAAAATAGATGTATTCATGGTGTTAATAAACTATGTTGATAGATGTTAATGGTGTTAATAAACTATGTTAATGGATGTATTCATGGTGTTTATAAACTTAGATTCTATTAATGGATTTTTTAACTGGGCGGGGGCCATCCTGTAGTATCTTGGATTATCGCATTCACTATAGTATTGTTAATGGTATTATCTTGGCAATAGTATTAATAGAATAGTAATGTTAATAGTAAAATGTTTATACTAAGGTAAAGCAAAGTATAGTATAGTAATCCACTGATACAGGCTGATGATATATTAATTACAACTGGCCAGTTCATTCATGCAGGACCTTGTTCATTACTCGATTAATGCCCTCTAGTAAACTAACATAGCTATTGACAATGGCACATTGATACTTGATAACCCATTAAAAATGGTGATTTTCCATAGCTATGTTAGTTTACCAGAGGTATCATATGATGATTTTGTCAGACATGATAAATCAGCCTTCAGGTTGCAACGTGGTTTTCAACAAGATGATCGCCATGGAAAAACGTCACTCCTCAACTGGGGCTTTCCGCTTTCCTGAGTCATGGGGGGTCCCGAACCTCATTCTCATCATTGTTCGATTGGGATTTTCGATGTTCACATCAAAAACAAACATCCAGTGGAATAATCCCATGGTAATAGTTATACCCAATTGTTGGGAATATGTTTACCATAGTTGGGATATAAGCCCTATAATCAATGGATTATATATCTGGGTAAATGATCATATTTCACTCACCTGAATTGTTGGGCCGTAAAAGGGGATGATTTCCCTATATCTAACCTGTGATTCCAGGCTTCGGGAGAACAGGCTTGGGTCGTGATCCAATTTACCCATGACCATGGAAACCATCAATCTGTTGGTGACCTCTTTTTCCCAAGAAAACCCGAAGAGAAGCTGGGGTTAAGCTGGCCTTGAAATGGAGGGCAGGGCAGGCACTGATCATAAATTTCAAGGCCCGAAAAGATAGAGAAAACGCTCAAGTAAGATTTGTGTTTATAGTTAAAATAATCAATTTTCACCATCTTTTTTGTCATAAAGTTTGACCTTGTCATCGATAGAATAGGTCAACTTCACCTTCTTCTTTTTTTAGCAGAACAGCGTCATAAACCACCCATGACTGGGAATGGTTAACATACCACCTATAAAAATGGTGATTTGGGGGATGATTCATTATTGTTTTACCCTGTGCGCATAGTATTATATAGTTGTACAGGCACAATGATATATTACATTAAACACAAAAAACATATTCTATGAAATGCACATGTAAGAGATTATATGAGATTGTATATGAATTACATTTACTCACATTAACCATTTCTGGCTGGTGGTTTCAACCCCTCTGAATGGGATTATTGATCCAAAATATATGGAAAAATAAAACATGTTCCAAACCACTAACCAATCCATTGAATTATATCATATTATCTTTAGCAGGCTTGGTTACTCAACCCCCATTCAAACAGTGAATTTTTTTCGTTGTAGTAAACTACCCATCACCAGCGCGACCGCGGTTATCCAAAGGTAAATCAGATTTTTGCAATGTGGGGCCCCCTAGTTATAAGTTGGTTCACAAAAGCCCCAATAACTAGTTCGTTATAAGTACCATAAACCATAGTGACATTGGAGTTATGTTCACCAACTTAGCTATCAAACGGGGGCCTCACTTTGTGTTTCCGCCCAATTCTCCGGGGGAATTCCGCCTGCATCAGTGATCTCTGCCTGCGCGGAGTCGTCGTCGTTAGCGCGTGGAACATGTTATCCGGATCCGGAAGAGCGGAAGACAAAATGCCCCGGTGGAATTCGTAAAACCTACCATATTATTACTATGGTATTATATGGTTATTATATAAATATTACTATGGTTATTATATGGTTAACTTAATATGTAACAATAACCATCATAGCCTGACAAAATCATCATATGATACCTCTGGTAAACTAACATAGCCATGGAAAATCACCATTTTTTAATGGGAAAATCCACTATTAATGGCCATTTTCAATAGCTATGTTAAATTACCAGAGGGTACCATATTATTACCATCTGGTTATGACTAACATAGCCATGGTATAGATAGCCTATTTATAGATGGTTTACCGTTCTTAAAAATGGTGGATCTTTCCATGGCGAACTGTTAGTCATAACCAGAGGGTACATGATATTTCAAATATGATGGTTATTATTACATATTACGATGGTAATCATTTATATATATATATAAACTATTCAGATAGGTAACTATTCAGATATGTAATAATTGATATATGATATCAGATATGTAAACTATTATAGATATGTAATGATAACCTACATTGATAAGAATGAGATCATAATATGTAATAATTAATGTGGAATTTCAATTATGATGGTTATTCTTACATATTACTACATATATTACCTGATATTCATGAATTCTTAATTTACATGTTATTCATCATGGTTTTATCATGATTTATTCATACTAGCTACATGGAACATCATGATCATCTAGATTGAATTACATGGTTCCCTTTCTCTTTGTCTATGAAATTGGGAAAACAACTCCATTTTTTTTGGTGATTACACTTGGCGGCGCTTTATTGCTGTGAATCTAGAGTCCTTTGGATATGTTTATGAAAATTCTCACCCGGAAATGTCAATACAAAAGTCAGGACAGGTCAGTGAGTTGGTGACGGCAGTCACATACCTACTGCTACTTCGTTTCTCACGCACTTCCTTACTGAGTTAACTGTTCACCCAACGTGACAGATTTTATGCAAGAAATGCGTCAAGTCCGTTGCAACAAGCGAAGCGTCGATCGACTTCACCATCCTGTGCCTTGACCGTCTTGACAGTGAAGATAGGAATATGATCAATGGCCATGCAACAGGAACCGATTTATTGGAGGTACCTACCATATATAAGGCCTATTTTTTAGGGCTATGTAAGGGAATATCTCCACAAAATATGGCCTTATATGGTACAGAACCTCCATTTTAGGATCCCGAAGTTCCCATTGATATGTGTGTTGGGCTTTGGGATAATAGTGGCTATATGATGCGAATATTTCCACGGCATATATATCACATCACCAACTGGAGAAACATAGTTTTATGGTATCTATGGGAGAATGAAATACATCATCAAACCATCACCCAATTCCATGCACCTTGCAGCATTGCATCACTTCGGTTTGTCTTAAAATCCTCTACCCTTGAAGTCGTGGCACCAGGTACAGACTATGTGACTTGACAGGAATTAAAAATACAATAAATATATAAAAAATACAACATCAAAATACAACTGTATTAAAAAACAATGGAGTTTCTTTTTTTCTCTGCCCGGATGAGTGAAAGATACGTGATGCTGGCTCAAGGTCATGTCTTGGCACAGCATTTTTTGGGAGTGACCCATTCGTTCAGCCGTTCAGCCACGAAATTCGCACCAGTTTTCCATCCCATTCTACTGATTTTTGGGGCACATATTCTTACGAGGTCAGGCCCAGGCCGGGTCCAGTTAGAACCCCTGAAGCCATCAACAGAGGTCATTGCCAATCTTAGATACCCTGCAAAAAATGACAAATTCTTTGTTGGTTCGTAGATATTTCCATTGATACCAAAAGACTAAAGGATTAAAGTACCCATCTAAGATTGACCTAGAGGTGAGGATTGCAATTTTGGGTCAATTGAACCGAACCAAAATCATGGGACTTCTTTTTTCTGGGTTGCCAGTGAATTCAGATTTTTCCCAAACCAATCCATTCAAGAAATTTCTACCGAAATAATCAATGGGAATTTCAGGATCCTAAAATGGAGGTACTGTAGGCCTATATAAGGCCTATGTAAGGGGATATCCCCACAAAATATGGCCTTATATGGTACAGTACCTCCATTTTAGGATCCTGAAATTCCCATTGAAATAATGGCTGTTAACCAGCTTTGACCTGGATCATCCCACGGACGGTTCGTCCGTAGCTTAGTTCACCCGAGTTTTTTCAGTGGGAACTGACCTACAAACACGATCCGTGGAGTTTTGTTAGTGGGTTAATCCTACTTATCCTGACAAAAACTCGGGTGAACTAAGCTACTTATGATCCATGGGATCATCCAACAATTAAAGGCTTGACCTTTTTACCATAGCGACAAGCTCATTTCTCTCGCCTCTGGCACAGCCTTGTCGCAAATTCCACAGGTGGCTTTGCAGAAGTCCTTCAAAGGAAAATTTCTAGGATTTACCTGGTAATTTTACATAGCTAAAAAAATGCAATCTATAGTTGATTTACCTGTGAAAGATGGCAATTTTCCAGTTTGCTAACTGTTGGGTTACCAGAGGGTAATCGTCTGATATTTGCTTTAAGATTACCCTCTGGTAAACATACAAAAACCTATGGAAAATCACCATTTTTAATAAGGACATCAACTATAAATGGCCATTTTCAATAGCAAACTGTTAAATTACCAGAGGGTATCTGAAAATTAGAACAACCCATTTTGTAAAGATTCCCAAAATAGTGAATTTCCCCATCGGGAAATAAACCATGACCTTTAGTAAATCAATGTCATTAGAATAGAAGTGATGGGGATATTTCTGCATATTTAGATATACATATTTACCATCTGGTTATTTAACATAGCAATGGAACATGGCCCATTTATATATGATTTTATGATGGTTTACCTATTAAAAATGGTGGATCTTCCCAGTCCGCAACTGAGTTCCAGCCATTGTTTTTTAAGGGATGGAGCCGAAGCCCTAGATCACCAGATATCACCAGTGTAGCCATGAAATGTTCAGGCATTTCACCTTTGAAAATGGGGTACCCGGCCTGGGAAACATACATAGATAGCTATTGAAAATGGCCATAGAAATAGTGGATTTACCCATTAAAAATCGTGATTTTCCATAGGTTTTTGTAAGTTTACCAGAGGGTATCTATTTGGAGTATTATCCATGTTTTTTTTTTCCCATCTTATAGATATTAACCCTATTAACTATAGTTATCTACCATAAAGCCACTTATAAGGCAACTTAGCTATCTTGGGGGCCCCATCCTGTACACTGGGATCCTTAAGGATCAAACCCTCTCGTCAAACACTCTCAAACAACATCCGTATAGATACAGCGATTTTTTGTCAAAACCCTGGTGCCCGGTACAGGGTGGGGCCCCCAAGATAGCTAAGTTGGTTTATAAGTGGTTTAACAATGGTTTATGGTAGATATAACTATAGTTAATGGGGGTTATAATGGTTTATAAACCAACTTATAACTGGGGGGCCCCATCCTGTAGTGAACACTACAATAGATGGGAAATGGATGGTCACCGCCCAAAATTATGGTACAGGTTGGTGGTTTTTTCCTACACATCTGGAAAATGATGGAGTGAGTTCGTCAGTTGGGATGATTTTTCATTCCCCACTGAATGGAAACATAAAATTCCATGGTTCCAAACCACCAACCAGGATTGTATATGAATTACATTTACCCACATTAACCATTTTTGTTCCAAACCACCAACCAAGGTTTTTTATGTGATTTTGATCCATCGCACCATATCCGATTCTACATGTCTCCCCATGATGCCGCAGCATTTTGATTGCTGCAAAATCCCACCACTTTTCCTGCAGGATAGGACCCCCCCAGTTATGTTTGTTAGTTTATAAACACCATTAACATCCATTAACCAGCTCGTTACATCTACCAGAAACCATAGAATTCAACCACTTAGGTTCGGCAACTGAATGCGAGCTCGAACGGGGGCCCCATCTTCTGGTTTAACTCCGCCATTTTCCATGGTGAAAAGCCACCATTTCTACCAGGGTCTCCTCCATATAGGCTTGATGTGTAGCACCTGGCAATGGAAAGCTGGAAAAGCCTTGTTGAACACAGGATGACTTTGATGATACCAACAAAAAACTAAGGCTCTGCCGAAATGGGCACCAGAAAAAAAACAACATGTGTTTTTTTCTTCAAAAACTGAATTCATCCAGATCTTCTTCCACCCAAATATGGGGGGTTTCCATAGTCATGGGGATACCTCCCAATGGATGGTTTATGATGGAAAAACACTTACTAAAATGGATGAGAACTGGGGGTACCCCATGACTCAGGAAACCTCCCAGGATGTCTTTCCTCCTGGAACATCCCGAACTGGAAAGGCTGGGGCAACAGATTCACCCTTTTTGTCACCACAAAAGAATCGCCATGAAAGTCAGAACTTCGTGCGGCTGTGCCCCTTGGAACCCTTGGAAACGGACACGGTCATCCCCTGGAAGAAGATGTGTTGTTTTTTTTTTCAGAGGTTTTGACCTTTTGACCTATAGCCATTTCACTTCAGGTGCATATGTTTGGTTAACAGATCCTCTTTTTTTGGGTCACAATGATATCAATGATCCAATCATCCAGGCAGTAGAATCCACTATGCTAATCAATCAACAACAATATATTCTAATATATGATGTTAATATGTGTTAATATATGTTAATATATGTTAATATATAGATGTGCCATATTAACATATATTAACATATATGAACATATATTAATGGTGCCAAAAGATGTCAAAAGATGATGTTAAAAACAATTAATTAATGGTTTTCATGGTCATCCCATCATGGGAACCCAAAAAAAAAGCGCTGGGATGCGCTGGGCAATTTTTGAGGTATATCATACAAGGTGGTGCCCCCGTTCGAGAACGCTAAGTTGGTGAACATAACTCCAATATCTATGAGTTATAGGTGATATATCGAACTAGTTAATGGGCTTATAACCAATTTATAACTGGGGGGGGCACCACCTTGTACCTGAAAAGTTCGGCGTTTTTTTGGGATAGTCATCCCTGAGAAATCCCAAAAAAATGCCAGGCTTCGGTCGATTTCGGTCGTGATGACATTTAGCCACTCGAAATCCAGTAACTGGGATCATTAACTCTGGATCTATAGCTATCTATAGCTATCTATAGTTCATATGGGGGTTTCCATAGTCATTGGGCTACCCCTTGATCGCTGGATGGTTTTTGTTAGGGAAAATCCATCTATAAATGGGTGAGAACTGGGGGTAGCCCTATTTTAGGAACGGCCCCATATATCCCATGATATTTCTCATCATGAAATCCTCACACGTGGGACATCCAATAAACCTACCATTTGGGGATGGTAAGCATAGCATCCAAATGGTTATTGTAGGGGGATGTTTATATTATTCGATTTATCTTATTCATGGGGATATAACATCAAATTTTATGGATTCTCATTTCTCATGGCTAAAACTGAACGTCAGAACCCAAAACCAATGTAGATGATTTTCGCACCTCCATAAAGTTTGGCTCCGAGTTCAGCTTTCATACTTCCAGGATTGGCGTACAAGGTGGTGCCCCCCAGTTATAAGTTGGTTTATAAACCCCATTAACTATAGATATAAGTTATTGGAGTTATAAACCAACTTAGCTAACTATGGAGCACCACCTTGTACATCAACCCCCTCAACTTGAGGATTTTGAAAGTACAACGATGACTTCGGCCATACGCCCCTGCGAGCCACATGGCGCCTGGAAGACATTGACCTTGGTCCTTCCATTTCCTGAGCAATTGTTCCACGAAATGGTGATATGATGGAAATATATGGTGGATTCACGAAAAGTTAGGTGATTCGATCGTTTGGTGAAATAATGGTTTTGTGATTTGATTTGGTGAAAGTTTCTGGTGAAATGATTTGGTGAAAAGGTTGCAGCCAGAAACTTGACATTTCACCAACCCAAAAGTGGTGATTTGATCGCCTGTTCTAAGGAATTCAACAGCAAGAATGGGGATACCCTCGGTAAACTAACATAACCATTGAAAATAACCATTTATAGTTGATTTGCCCATTAAAAATGGTGATTCTCCATAGTTAGTTCGAAAAACATACCTATTGAACATGGTGATTTTCGATAGCGGCGCGGCTATATTAATTACTATATTACCAAAACGTAATAATCAAACATCTGCATCAAAAACACTTAGGGCCCATGGCCCAACTCGGGATTTTAGTCGGCCATCATGCTATCCCCCCTTTTTAAACACCGCCATGCTGTCGTGAAATCCACAGTTTTTGCAGGCTCACATGGCAGAGATTTTTAAAACACCCTATTTTTCATGTTTAAATCTTAGTTCAATTCCAGCATGGGGATTCAGGGTTAATTCCCATGTTTGTCACGTTTGACTTTCCATGACTTCATGGTTACACGATGTTACACGTTTTGATGGTGAATTCCAAATATTTCACCATTTCAGCACCATCTTTTTTTTGTTCTTGTTAAATCCCAATTGTTCATGTTTAAATTCCAAAATTTTCACAGATAAATCATCCACATTTTTCAACCGTTTTCATGGTGCATTTCCGAATTATGTTCATGCTTAGACCCTAATATTTCACCATCGTTCATTCCCAATTTTCTATTTCAATCCCCAACATTTCCCCATTTTTTAAAGCTTTCTATCTGGTTGGGTTGCACTCCATGCATATCTCCAAGAGGCTCCCCATTTCAAAACAAAAAACGTTAGATACCTCTGACTCCAAACCGCTCTCTCCAAGTGATCTGCATATCCATCAGAACAGGGGCCCCATACCTCAACTGATGGTTTTTTTTAACCATAGATAACCATAGTTATACCGTATATACCCCATAAAAGACACCTCAACTCCACCCCCAAGTAGTCAGACCTTCTGAGTAAATTAGTTGGATTAGCTACCATAGCTGGATAGTATGATAATTACTTGGTGGCTCATCCCACTTAGTAAGTGGGTAATAGCCTTGGTTATGAATGGGCGAAGTAGGGTTAATGTTGAGTCCTGATTAGTACCTAGGGTCGCACTCATGTATTGTTTGGAGGGTTCGCCTTTGTGGCAAAACAAAATTGGGAGAGCCATTTTTTTTGCAAAAAAAATGTAATTGCTGAGAGGCATTTTTTCTCAAAAACGCTGTAACTCAGTCAATTTTTTGCTCATCTCCCTATCTGAGCCTGTAAATGCATCTCTATCTGAGTAGGTTTGTTTGCTGGGTTCACTATTGCAGCAAGCTGTGCCAGAGCAGCCCCTGGAAGCCCAGAAGGAAGCAAGCCTTTTCCAAAATTGCCAAATTCAAACTGCAAGCCTTTCCCAAAAGAACCAATCCCTTATTCAACCCCTATTAAAGAACAGCTTTCCCACAATTTTCCAAGGCCCTGGACCAGGAGAGGCTCCATTTCACTTTAGTAGGTTTGTTTGCTGGGTTCACTATTGCAGCAAGCTGTGCCAGAGCAGCCCCTGAAGAAGGGAAGCAAGCCATTTCCAAAATTGCCAAATTCAAACTGCAAGCCTTTCCCAAAAGAACCAATCCCTTATTAAACCCTTATTAAAGAACAGCTTTCCCACAATTTTCCAAGGCCCTGGACCAGTAGAGGCCCCATTTCACTTTAGTAGGTTTGTTTGCTGGGTTCACTATTGCAGCAAGCTGTGCCAGAGCAGCCCCTGAAGAAGGGAAGCAAGCATTTCCAAAATTGCCAAATTCAAACTGCAAGCCTTTCCCAAAAGAACCAATCCCTTATTAAACCCTTATTAAAGAACAGCTTTCCCACAATTTTCCAAGGCCCTGGACCAGTAGAGGCCCCATTTCACTTTAGTAGGTTTGTTTGCTGGGTTCACTATTGCAGCAAGCTGTGCCAGAGCAGCCCCTGAAGAAGGGAAGCAAGCCATTTCCAAAATTGCCAAATTCAAACTGCAAGCCTTTCCCAAAAGAACCAATCCCTTATTAAACCCTTATTAAAGAACAGCTTTTCCACAATTTTCCAAGGCCCTGGACCAGGAGAGGCTCCATTTCACTTTAGTAGGTTTGTTTGCTGGGTTCACTATTGCAGCAAGCTGTGCCAGAGCAGCCCCTGGAAGAAGGGAAGCAAGCCATTTCCAAAATTGCCAAATTCAAACTGCAAGCCTTTCCCAAAAGAACCAATCCCTTATTCAACCTATTAAAGAACCAGTTTCCACATTTTCCAAGGCCTGGACCATAGAGCCCCATTTCACTTTAGTAGGTTTGTTTGCTGGGTTCACTATTGCAGCAAGCTGTGCCAGAGCAGCCCCTGAAGAAGGGAAGCAAGCCATTTTCCAAAATTGCCAAATTCAAACTGCAAGCCTTTCCCAAAGAACCAATCCCTTATTAAACCCTTATTAAAGAACAGCTTTCCCACAATTTTCCAAGGCCCTGGACCAGTAGAGGCCCCATTTCACTTTAGTAGGTTTGTTTGCTGGGTTCACTATTGCAGCAAGCTGTGCCAGAGCAGCCCCTGAAGAAGGGAAGCAAGCCATTTCCAAAATTGCCAAATTCAAACTGCAAGCCTTTCCCAAAAGAACCAATCCCTTATTAAACCCTTATTAAAGAACAGCTTTTCCACAATTTTCCAAGGCCCTGGACTCAGTAGAGGCCCCATTTCACTTAGTAGGTTTGTTTGCTGGGTTCACTATTGCAGCAAGCTGTGCAGAGCAGCCCCGAAGAAGGAGCAAGCCATTTCCAAAATTGCCAAATTCAAACTGCAAGCTTTCCCCAAAGAACCAATCCCTTATTAAACCCGTATTAAAGAACAGCTTTCCCACATTTGTACTACAAGTACTACATGTACTACAAGTACTACAAGTACTACAGTACTACAAGTACTACAAGTACTACATGTACTACAAGTACTACAAGTACTACAAGTACTACAACTACAAGTACTACAAGTACTACAAGTACTACAAGTACTACATGTACTACAAGTACTACAAGTACTACAAGTACTACTACAAGTACTACAAGTACTACAAGTACTACAAATACCACAACTTCATCGGCAAAAAAAAAACAATAGTAATTAGATTTCAATTGTAGCCAATTGAAATCCTTACTTAATTGAGGATATGTTTTTCTTTTGGGAAGAAAATTTTTGACTTTCTACTTTAAAGAGAGTCCAGAAATAGTTTTGGGGGGGGGCCACACACTAATCAGGACGCAACATTAGTTCACTTGTAACTGGGGTTAAGACCCACATACTCACTGGGATGAACCAAGAAGTAGTTGCCTTCTGGTATAGGTGGACCCACTAATTACGCAATTGTGGGTGAGGTGACCGCTGCAAACATTCCAAAAAACACAACTCCAACCACCTGTCGGTCCATCTGTGCATCTGCTCTGTTATCCGTGCATCACAACAACTCAGCTCTATTGTTTTCTATCCTTGAAACTTCCGCCGCCGCCTTGTGTGGCACTACTGGTATGAGATCCAAGCTTGGAATGATAAAGCTAGCCTCATCCGGATTCACAAGAAAGTCTAACACGAGCTGCAACACAAACCAAAACACATGACACAAACACTATGAACGTGCTCGCGTAAATAAAACAAGCCGTGCCCGTCCCGTTTACAAATCTAGTCCTGGAAAACCAAAGCTATTGCCATGGTAAGAATACGAACCATATCCGAATCGGAATATATGTCATATAAATACGCAGCAACTATAGAGAATCACCGGGATCATCCCATGACATTTTGTATAGCTGTTGCTGAAATGGCACATGCGAAAAAACCGCAACCTCTGAAATTGCTGAAATGAGCATGAATACAAGACCCCAATCACTACTGGAAAAAACTGTGCGGTCCATTGACGTCTTGTTTCAAACAAACGCATGAAATGCCAAATGAAAATCTAGAGCCAAAACGTTTCAAAGAAATAAAATGAAGATCGCGAAACGCAAAAACAACGAAACAAATACGTGCAACTGCAACGCACGTTAAGAATGCAGAGGGCAGCTTGTAAGCAGCTTCTGATCATAATCCGAAGTTTTTCTTGTAAAGTTGGAAAATGAGAATTGTCAACCATCCCATCCCGCGCAATGTGGACTTGATTAATCTTTTGGGTCAACAAGCCAACATGGTTCATTGCATGAAAACCAAGCACCCAGCACATGCTCACCAAACTTTTCTTTTAGAAAAGGCCGCTGTCGACGAAGTGCTTCCATGAATTAATCATGCGGCCAAGCTTGATGCTGCGGACCTTCTGCTTCAGTGCAAGAAGTCGCTTGGCCAATGTCATCTTTCGCTCTTTCTGCGTCTTGTGGCGCAGAAAAAGCACAATTTCTAGCAGCGGGCTGGTTTCCGCCGATCGCCGCCACTGGAGATCTTTGTCTCGACGGAAAGCTTGGCGCGCGGTCATTTTTATGACCTTCTGCGCCCAAGCCCCTGCATCGCGGCCTAAAACGATGCGCTTTGAGGGCTGCCAGACCCGGCCGAAGGGTCCGCTGCCCAACCTTTCTCCCAAGCGCTTCTCCTCCCGCGGGCGCCGATTGAAGGAAGGGAGGCCGGATGTTGCCAGGCGCCACGTGGAATTCCAGGTCGTCCTGCTGTCGGTTGGCGTCGCAGCGGTACCGCCCGTGTCCAAAAAAAAGGTGCGTATATATATATATATACATACACATTACATATATATATACATATGTAAATAAAAAAAAATATATATACATATATACCAGTAGTACTGCACAAGGCGGTGGCGGAAGTTTCAAAAATAGTAAATCTATAGGAGAGGTTGGTTGTTGTGAATCACGGATGGCAGGGCGAATCCACTGATGGACCGAAAGGTGGTTGGAGTTGTGTTTTCTGGAGTGGCTGCAATGGCTGCAGTGGTCACCTCACCACAACTGCTGGATGTAGTGTGGAGTTGTAGGTGTAGTTGTAGTTGTAGTGTGGTGGGGCTGTAGTTTGAAGTTGTAGTTGTAAAGTAGTGTAATTAGTGTATTGTAGTTGCAGTTGTAGTTGTGGTGTGGTGTAATTAGTGTAGTGCATTGTAGTGTACTGTAATGTTGTGTACTGTAGTCTAGTGTATTGTAGTGTAAAGTATATAGTGTAGTTGTAGTTGTAGTGTGGTGTTGTGTAGTGCAATGTAGTGGTAGTTGCAGTTGTTGTGTAATGTAATGTAATTAGTGTTGTGTAATGTAGTGTAGTTGTAGTTGTAGTTGTATTTGTAGCTGTAATGTACTGCAATTTAATTAGTGTATTGTAGTGTAATGTAGTGTAGCTGTGGTGGCGGTGGTAGTCGTAGTTGTAGTAGTTAAAGTAGTTGTAGTAGTTGTAGTAGTAGTAGAAGTAGTAGAAGTAGTAGTAGTAGTAGTAGTAGTAGTAGTAGTAGTAGTAGTAGTAGAAGTAGTAGTAGTAGTTGCTGTTGTTGTAGTTGCTGTTGTAGTAGTAGTATAAGTAGTAGTAGTAGTAGTAGTAGTAGTAGTAGTAGTAGTAGTAGTAGTAGTAGTTGTAGTAGTAGTTGTAGTAGTAGTTGTAGTTGTAGTTGTAGTTGTAGTTGTAGTAGTTGCAGTAGTAGTAGTTGCAGTAGTAGTAGTAGTAGTAGTAGTAGTAGTAGTAGTAGTAGTAGTAGTTGCTGTTGTTGTAGTTGCTGTTGTAGTAGTTGCTGTTGTAGTAGTTGTAGTGTAATTTGTGTAGTGTAGCGTAATTAGATGTAATTAGTGTAGCGCAGTGTAATTAGTGTTGTGTAATGTAGCGTAATATATTTGTACTTGTAGTTGTAGTAGTAGTGTAGTGTAGTGTAGTGTAGTGTGTGGTACTTGTAGTTGTAGTTGTCCCTCTATCTATTTATCTGCAAGCTTGAAAACGAAGCTATTCTGCGAGACTTCCTCAGTTTTTGAACTTGAACACATCAAAAACGCAGCAATTCTGCGAGACTTCCTCAGTTTTTGAAACTTTTTCGACATCTCAACTTCCAAAAGTGTTCCGAACCTGGTGTGCTTTGTACATTTTGACTTGGAAATGTGCTTCGCGCCACAACAGCGTGCTCTTTTTCGACATCTGAACTTCTAAAAGTGCTCCGGAGCTGAGGTGTTTCGTACATTTTGACTTGGAAATGTGCTTCGCGCCACAACGGCGTGCAACTTTTCATCTCTCATCTGACCACATGGCTCCGCACCCGCCGCTTTAGCGAGCCTACTTTTCGACCCTCTGGAGCCACAAATCATTTGAAAAACACAGTGTTTCGCGACTTTCCTACCTTTTCGCGCACCTGGATCTTCTTTATTCTCACTCTTTCTCTTTTTGATATTCTTTCTTCTTCTCTTGTCTTCTCTTCTCTTCTCTGACTCTTCCCATCTCTGCGTTTCATCTGTCCATATTGTCGGAAGTTTGACTTCTAAACTTCCTTCGATAGATAGATAGATAGATAGATAGATATATATATATATACCTATATGATTTAAAAAGCGCCACCAACTTGACACGTATAGGGCACCACCTTAAACAAACGCAATGCCCTATGAACTCTTGCCCTAAAAACATCAAATTGACAACACGGGAAAAACACCTCACCAGCCCAGTTGTTTCATACGGGTGGCCCAGAGCATGAGGCGTGCTTGGTGCAGGACCTGGCGGCTGGAATTTTTTTCGGGCAGTCGTAGGCCGCATGGCAAAGGAACGCCAAGGCCAAGTACCCGCTCCAAGCACGCACATGGGCATCTTCGTCCTCGGCCTGGAGCACGTGCTCCTGCAAGCTCAAACCGTGAAGCTTCCCTCCGAAAAAATCCATCTGCCCTAGTAACAACTTATAGAAGCCATTCTTACCATGGCGTCTCATTCAAAATTGAAAATTAGCAGAAATATTGACCTTCCTATGCCTATGCCTTCATCGATCTCGAAGAAAGGAGACCGTGGTCAAGGTGAATGGGATACTATAAACCGCCATTTTTTCAGGGAAAAACATTCAACACTGCTGAAATACAACGGCCATTTACGCCGACCAACAAAAAACTATGCAATATGGAAGCAGACCACTCCAAGAAAACATATTTTCAAGCAACCGTTTTCGCAAAAATGTTTTGCTTTAATAAAGCAAGAAAATTCCACACATATAGAACAAGGTTTGGAACATAACAGAATCACCCCTCCAATCCGGCTATGTCCTGCGCAATCTCCACGAACATGGTGGCAGTGCCGCGGACGTTGGGGGTGGGCACGTGGAGGACGTGGTTCAGGTACGCTTTTGCTCGGAACGGGTCCGGGACTCGCTCTTATGTTTCAAGCCATGCCTGTGAGTTGAAGGATCGCAACACACAAGGAATGGGTTTAGGGTCTAATACGGCTGTTGGCTTTTTGTCGTAGCACAAAGGCCCACAAGGTTTAACATATATTTGGACAAATCGCAACATGATGCAACGCGGGCTAGCGTACGCGCGAGGTGCGCATGTGCTCAGCGCTTACTATAGGCTGCAGTAAACAAAGGCCCCAACAACTTGAAACCAAACCTTGGGCATGGGTTTACAGCCCCGCGCCTTTCGCAGCTGCTCCTGGAATCCCCGGGCCTCCGCGTAGGGTTGGTCGTGCAGGTGAGGCTCCATGGCCTCCAAGAACTTGATCACATGCCTGAAGCGAGCAGACTTGCACGCAATTAATCTGGAACCAGCACGCCGTTGGGACCAAACAGCCAGAAATCATGAAAGATTGCTTTCGCCGCAAAGGTAACGGAATCCTAGCGGAAACCATAACCAAAAAAAACTTCATGCGATTGTCAAATAGTCTGCCTCAATAAAGACCAGGCACGAGTTGGCTGAGATGGCCTAGATGTCACCATCATAGTCTCCCCCACCAAGTGCCGTAATCCCCATGCCCAACTGCGTGCATACGATGCTGTTGTTGGGGATGGCCCACCGGTGCTCCGGCCAGGGGACGGCTTCCCAAATCTCCATGTCGGTAGGGAGGAGCACCTGATTACGACACGCCCTAACCCTTGCCATTGAACACATCAGGCATTTGAAAACTAAATCATTTACCACTTTCCATCGACAATGCAATAGCATTGCTTGTCCTGGTCGAATTCAAAATGCGGCGCCAAGCAACAAATTTATCCGTGAACGCTTCATGGCTCTTTTGGAAAAGCGGTGTGAAAGGTTCCCGTCCCGTGTATGTTGCACACCGTGATGCCCTGCCTTCAAAAGCGGGCGGGGCGATTGCTCCACCAAGGCCCTCAGATGCCATGCGCCCCCGTCAAGATGCAGCTTGGGCTTCCAGCGCTGCCCTGACAGGAAGGCCACTGGTGCGGCCACCAGAGGCATCAGCATAAGCCTGTATCAGTCTCAGCAAATGGATGGAAATCTAGAGATGTCTGTAAGGAGTGTCGTTCACTGGTTTGGAGTTTCCAAATGCACAGATACAACGAGAGCTTAAGCAACAAACCAGGAAGTTTCGCCACTCAGGGCAAAATTTGGGTAACCTTAAGTTGACCCATTGACCCGCCAAATGAAGGAAGTTGACCCATTGACCCACCAAATGAAGGTTTACCGGTTTACCCAATTGTTCGTGTTGCGAACAGCCTGCCTTGAGTGGCATCCGCCGGAAATTAAAGGTGGAAAATATAATAGCATAAGCAATAAGTGAAACCAGAGAACCATGCGTCTTCGTTCTCAGCCAATCACTTGTGTTGACGGCTAATTGGCAATTGCCATCAGAGCACACTGGCAACGGGTGCCCCGATCGGCTCACTTACTGACCATGGATCAAATGCGTCAAGTACCACCCAGATAATCACCATCACTATCACCCAAGTATATAATTAGGTGGAGTGGGGGCTCTTTGGATCAGCCATGGATCATGGACCATGAGGTGGCCGTGCCTCGTCTCCAGCACTTGAGCCACCTTGTTCCTCCTGAGGAGGAGCGAACCCATATTTGAATGCCGATGTTTTTTTGCTTGAAAAGAACTGAACTGATCATTAAGGAATTTGGTTCACGAAGTTCCGAATCAAATCCTTCCGCTATTGCAATTGCTTGACCACATGTTCTCAGAAATGCCAAAGACCCACCAAAGGCAACCTTCAGGTTGGCAGGCAGCCGTCCTCCATTTCCAACACTGGGTCAGTCTCTTTGACCTCTTCTTCTTCACCTTCTTCATCTTCCTGCTCCTGCTCCTGCTCCTCCTCCTCTTCCTCGCCTTCTTCTTCTGACCCCCCGGCACCGCCAGCCGCCGCCGCCGGATCTGGCGGCGGCGGCATTGCTGGTGGCGGGATTGGTGCCACACCATACCTCACAGGCACATAATCCATTTTGACACACCAAAAACGTCCCCAGAGTATTAGAAAATTAGTCAAATTCATTTTCTTTCCGCACCATTCATTCTCACATGAATAAAATAAACACACAGCTTTACTTGCACAACTGTTCGCTAACTCTGTTTCCATTTTGACACGGGGGAATGTCAAGTCTTTTGAAAGGCCGCTTTGTTCTCCTCAGCGGTTTTGTTTCGCCAGCAAACGAAAACGCGGGAATGTTCTTTTTATGATGACAGTAGTTAAAGAACCCTTCTATCTCTCTGTGGGAAGAAGAACGCCTAAAGCAAACCGCCCTGCCACTGCACTGCACGGAGATGTACAATGTGACATGGAAAACAATTCATGTATTATTTTTTTCGCCGTGGGAAAAAAGATGGGCTCTTCCGCCAAGGTGCCTGCTAATGTGATGTTTAATTCACTTATAACTTATAACTAACCCACTTCTGAATGGGCTAAGTAGGGTGATCATCCACTTATAACTAGGGTGAACTACCCTCTGGTAATTTAACACTATTGAAAGTGGATGAAAATGGCCCAGTCGAAAGAGCGGATTTTCTCATTAAACATGGTGGATCTTTCAATAGCTATGTAACAGTTTACCAGAGGGTAACATCCATTAGATCCCAAAACAATCCCATGAAAAACCATTAGGATTCCTAACCCAACAGTTTTTTGCCCGGTTTTTCCAGAGCTTTTCATCCAAAGCTTCTGACAGGTGCGCACCAAATCGCCGCACGCACGGACACCCACAATCCTCACCTGGAGCGTCCTGACCCTCAAAAAATAGGGATTTTATGGAGGTTCTTATGTTTTTTTAAATTGGGATAAGCCGGATTTTCCGAGTTTTTATTGGGATAAGCCTGATTTTTTTTTGAGGATAACCGTTTGATTTTGTGTTTTTTTTTTTTTATTGGGATAAACCATGCTTTTTTGTGGGATATAATCTGATAATATGATATAACTATAGTTTTTGATGGGATTTCATAGGAAGAAGTTTCGATCATGACGATGATCTTATGTTTGTTCTTCTTTTGATTGGGATTTACATCATATCCATTGGGAATCATCATATGTATTTATCATTGGATAACGTTATTATGGATGGTGGATATTCACCATAAACCCCAATGTATGTATTCTTTGGTGGGGTTAAACCATTGCTGGTTGGTGGTATACCTACCCCTCTGAAAAATATGAGTCAGTTGGGATGATTATCCCACATATTATGGAAAATAAAAAATGTTTGAAACCACCAACCAGATTAAGAATTGGGGTTCATGGTGGATATATGACATGATATAACTATATAACTATACATAAGGGGATGTTTTTATGTAGTTGTTATTGGGGTAACCATGATAATGGTATGGGCTTTGCGTGCTACTTTTGATTTTATGATATAACTGAATTATGGTGATATGTTTTTTTGATATAAAATGGATGATTGTGATATAGCGGATATTTCACATGTTTCCAAATTGAGGTTTTCACGGGAAAGTTTGGTATCATCGATAGTAGGGATTTATTATGGATAGATAGTTAGATGGGGTTATAAATCCATCTCCTAACCCAAGGTAGGGATTGTTCATCAAAAAGTAGGATGGTAAGGGGATATGTCATGACCAGAGGGTATAGTTTTAGATTTCTTCCTCCAAAAATGGGATCAACGATGATTAAATGACCATGATTAATTGGTGTAACAATGAGCCGAACATATGATTTGAGTCTGAAAATGATGTCACCCTCCGCGGCCGTAGCCATTTGAATAGAGAACATGTGTAAAAATTACCCAATGGGTTTGGGGCTAGCATAGTTTCAAACAAATCCAAATCTAGTGGTAATTCTGGCAACCCAATCCATAATTTTCTTTAGTAAAATTGCTAAGGACAAAATTCGTGACAAAAAAGCAGCAAAACGATCTCAATCACGAGGTATACACCCTTGATATAGAAGCAAACTATCAATTGAGCAGTGTTCAAAACCTGCAACTTTGTCCCTTTGCTCTGGTCGGTTGAGAACACGATTCCCCGTTGGATTATGACAACCCCTGATAAATATTGGATACGAAAAAAAACCCTACAATCATCAACCAACCATCATTTATCAGTTATATCCACTTATTTCCCAAAATTTTATGGTGAAAACCATATGACATGACTACAATCATCAACCAAGAGGGGTAGAACGCAGCGACTGCGAAAAAAATGGTGGAGATTTCCATCAAAATTCAGGGGGATTTCCATCGACCCGACTTCCAAGATCCGAGAGAATTCGATCTGATCCAAGAAATACTTGGTCTATTTATGAGGGAACAAGTCAAGAATTAGGGTAAGCCCAAGCCTAAACCCCGAACCCCCTAGTCCGTCCCTACACTTTAAATATCTTCCAAGAATCCAACATAACAATGGAAATCCATGGAATAAATGGCAGTTTGGGAACAGATACCCTATGGTAATTTAACAGTTTGCTATTGAAAATTGCCATTTATAGTTGATTCACCCATTAAAAATGGTGGTTTTCCATGGCTATGTTTAAAAAAAACCAGGGTATATAATCTTAATGATTTGCCTTGAAGAAATGATGATTTTCCACTTCGCAAACTCTTCGTTGACCAGTGTATATCTATGGCAGATTTCCCAGCAAGCGATGGAATCCATGGCAACCAGCCCGCTGTGCCTCCGAATTCGCCAGACTTTCAGGCCACACGAAGTTGGTTAGCCCTTCCTAGCGGCGCGGAAATCCGAGGAAGCGATTTTCGGGTGTAAACAAATGCTTGGTTTCTGGGTTTTTGTGGCTATATTTGGCTATGACATATCTATATCTATCATATTTGAAGCTGTATTTATCCGATTCTCCCAATGATTCCGATAGAACGGTGGATTTAATCATGTTAAAACCAACTTTATTACGATTTCCCATCTAATCCCATCTTATTTTTCCACCACCACCACCACCACCACCATCATCATCATCATCATCATCATCATCATCCGCATCCTCATCCTCATCCTCATCCTCATCCCGCTTTTCTGCTGATGAAGACTCGCAATTTTTGGGGTTAGAAGTTGGATTTATAGCCCCATCGAAGTATAGTTCTATCCACCCTGAAGCCCACTTTGATGGTTAATCCCAATTATTCCCAAAAAGACATCATTATCATCCTAATTGTTCCCAGAAAATCCAAGACATTGGATACCCTCCAGTAAATTAACATGACGACCCTGCCAGTCATTGGGGTTGGAAGATTAGTTTCCATTAAAAATTGGTTATTTTCATGGTCGAACTGTGTATTTACCAGAGGGTACCCTCTGGTAAACTGACATAACTATGGAAAATCACTATTTTTCATGGGAAAATCCTCTATAAATGGTGATTTTCCATAGCTATGTTTGTTTACCAGATGGTAGTATAACCCCATATCAACAACCAACAGGGGTTTCGAACATTCCTCAATAATGCTTGAGACTCCGCCGGGCCGTGGAGTGGCGCGCCTCTTTCGCAAGAGCCACTGCCACGGCTAATGGCACCGCATTCCCCGTGCCATTGAGGTAAAGCCCTAGACGGGCTAAACCGACTTTCAACAAACATGGTGGCTGGTTGGTGGTTGAGCCCTACCCCTCTGAAAAATGATGGAGTGAAAGTCAGTTGGGATGATGAAATTCCCAACTCAATGGAAAAAACATGTTCCAAACCACCAACCAGTGGTGGGTATAATGTGGATATTTGGGATACTTAGTGGCGAAGTACCCACGGATCCTAAATAGGTTAATATCCCTGGTTATTTCAGTGGGATAAGTAGGCTGAATCCGCTTGTAGCTAGGGTTTTAACCTACTTACCAAGTGATGAGCCGCCAAGTCTCATTCTGCGTTTCCCAGGGATTTTTTAGATGCCCACCATATATACCAGGTGAGGCTCAACAGTTATATTTGTGGGTTTTAGACACATATACTAGTTCGTTATAGTTCCCATAAACCATGGGCACCTTATGAAGATGTAACCAACATCCTAAGGTGTGATGGAAGTTGCGCATGATCATGGGAACCTTAGATTCAATAGATTTATAGCAACTTCAAAAAAGATGCCGAAGTTTGTCTGTGCGTTTCCAAGGAATGTTGGCGATGTTTCCTCCAGCATTTCCAGATGTCCAACCTTTTGGCCTCTCCTTACGGGTTGGACGTTCATTCGAAGATCTATCGTGGTTAATCTTAGACGGGCCAATGTAAAACATATGGCTTAGTATCCCATTTATAGCAAACGATTAAGGTACTACGTCACCTATCGGAGGCTGAACAGGATATAGGAAACCGGACGTTTTGAACTACGAAATGTCGGGCTTGTTTTGGTACCCTCTGGTAATCAAATGCAAGGGAAATGCCTAGAAATGGGCATTTTAATGGGAAAATCATCTAAACATACTGACTTTCCATTGCCATGTTTGAGTAGCAGGTCGGGTAACATTTTCCGACGTGGTCTATCTTCAGCAAAAAAGAGGTGACGCACCGGGTCCCAAAAACGAACATGGTTGCCTGAGGGAGTTGGTTATGTCATCTCCAAAGGCAAAAGTGCAGCCTGTGAAGCCTGTGAATGTCGCTAGTACCCTGAAACGATTCCGTATTTGGTGCCCAATTTTCAGCCACACATCCCAGACTTTCCCATCTTTGCGAGTGACTTGTGTCTTGACCGTCGGGTGCTTGGAAAGGGAAGACCATATTCAGGAGAGAAATGCCAGGGTCGCAATGATTTTTATATCTCCTTAGTCCAGTTCGACCGGTTCCAGTCGGCCAGTCAAATCTGGCTGAACAATCAAGAAACATCATGCACACATCTTTCAAAATAGCCTCTGGTAAACGTTTACATAATTACATAACTATGGAAAGATCCATCATGCTTTTAATGGGTAAATTCACGAACTAAATGGTGATTTTCCATAGCTATGTTTGTATGTTTACCAGAGGGTATTTCCCATTAATACCCCACTAAAACTCACATTAAAATCCCATAAAATCACAATAAATCCCATTAAAATAGCTGTTATCATACTGCCAGCTATGGGGATTCCCCTTACGCGAGGTCAAATGGATCCAATTGGATTTTGATGATGACTTTCGCAACCATATGTTTCATTCCAAAGTAAACACCACCAACCCAAATACATCACTTGAAACTCCATCACTTGTAGATGATTATCCCGTTCAACTTCCATTTATAGATGATTTTCCTCGGATTTTCCCATTAAAACCTCTATATATTCCTAGGGCCTAGGGTTTTTTTCCCCGATTTTCCTATTAAAACCTCCATTTATAGATGATGTTTTTCAGATTTTCCCCAGATTTTCTCCACATCTCCAGGGCTTCCTGAAGAGGGCCAAGTGACGCTTCTGCCTCGGCACATAAGGCCTGGTAGTCGCTGAAGGACTTCACCAAAACCTCGATATTCCTGGGAAAAAAAAGGACCAAAGCCGGGAAACTGTGAGAAACATCTTGGGGAATCGGACCATGGATTTTGGGGCTGCAAGCCCAACAAAACCAGGGAAAATCATGGGAACAATGGGAAAACCTTGGAAACATGATGATGAAACATGGGAAGCATGAGGAAGAAATCCTGGAAACTTATGAATCATGGTGAACTCTTTGGGAAACTGATGATTCAAGACATTTTGAGAAACATCTGGGAGAGTTATCATATCATTGAATCATGCAACAACATATTCAACAACATATTCATAAACATTGGGAACAATTAGGGTGAACATCTTGGAACCTTCTAATTCAAGATTGGCCAAAGGGATAGAATGGGATTCAATGGGCGGTGGATGGTTGCACGCACCTGGTGGGCATACTGTGGCATCAGAATCTCATGATTTTCAGTGTGTCCTAGGTGTCTATCTTGGAAAGTTGTGATTGAAGAAACGCTTGGACAAATTTTTACATTTGGGAAAATCAATGAAAATCACGGTGAAGATCGATCTGGACCTTTGTTCAATTCACCGACCTTTTTCAGATGGGGAAATCTTGCACGATATTTTCTGGTGATATTTGAGACCCAACCAAGCCATGATTCTGAAAATGGTGGATACAGTGATGAATCTGTGGACATTTTGGGGTAAGACAATAAGCCACCAACGGATACAAGGTGGGGCCCCCTAGTTATAAGATGGTTTATAAACCCCATTAACTATAGTTATAGGTACCATAAACCATAGTTATTGGAGTTATGTTCACCAACTTAGCTATCGTTTGGGGGCACCACTTTGTATGTGTGGCAACTATAGAAAGATGTGGGTCCAATCCGTTGGGTTTAGTTTAGGTTCTCCATTGTCAACCGGTGCTTCTGATTCTGATTCTGGGATAAGTGTTGGGTTGATGGATGTCCATGGTAGCATCGAACAGTCAGATGGCACTGCCAATCTCAGATACCCTGCACGAAATTCGGTTAATTAGTAGATATTCCTATTTACTACAAAAGACTAGTTAGGATTAGTTTCTACCCATCTAAGATTGACCCAGAGGCTATACCATCATATATCCCAATAAATC